GGAATACTGCATTATGATAAAAAAAATAGTAGAAGATCAAAATATCCGTATTGATATTACTATTAATTAATATTATTAGAGAGATTATTTCAATAAATCAGTTCCATAGTAGTCGGTAAATAAGTCGGTAAATACCTCGTCGTCAGAATATTATTAAAACGCTTGTAACCGAACAATAGCTAACATTTTCGATGTACTTCAAAGAATTTGAATCAATAGAACAATGTTATTAATAAGTCGTGTCCGATTTAGAAAAAGAACGAACCACTTTTACCTTTCTTTAAACCCCAAAACGAAAACGTGAGCAATATTTTATTTCTACATTGTATTAACAATATCTGACAAAAGTACTTAACAAAAACAAATTAAGACACAATTATTAATGTATGAATATACTGAGTATTAGTTTATACCCAGTATAATTGTGTTCTGTTGCTTGTATAGATCTTTCCATGTGAATGGAAAGGATCCGTCACTATAAGTATATTAAAAGTGACCCCAGAGCATTCATAACCATTACGACATATAATATTGTATTTAATAAACAGTTAATCATTGCATAGTGTTCATGTACACTCTGAGTGTTATTGAGGTCATCGTGGCCTTGTAAAGGTCAAGTCAGTGCAAATCAAACATTCTTGTGTGCAAAATCATCATTTATAAAATCTAAAATGTGAAAATATGATAAAGAATGTTGTTAAAAACTATTTTGACCTTAACCTTTGAACTTTCGAAAGTAGGTCAAACTTTCAAATTTCACAATTTTTGTTTTTATTTCTTTCATTTAAGGTCCATTGTTTTAACATTAAAAGCATCCAATGAATATATGATTAGAGTGCATCCAAACCATAAGGCAGACATAAAGCTTAATATTGTTAGAATATTGAATGTGAATATATTCTTAAACTTCAGAAAATATTATCAAGAGAAAAACACACAGTTTTGGTAAAAAAATGGATCACTCTTGGATTGCCTGAAAACATGTTCTTGGGTTGATTTAATTTCAAAATAAGGCATCAGTGAGTAAAGACTATTACCTCCATTATTTCATAAGAATTTAACATATGATCGTACGTTGGATTTATACCTTATTTATAATGACACTTATAGTGACACATCCTTTAATTCTTATTCATAAAAATTGCTTGTACTATTTAGCGTCTAATTAATTTTACAAATACCTTCATAGTTCTTTGATAGAACTTTCTATACAACATACAATCCTGAAAGAAATTGTCGGAATGGTACAGATATTTTTAAATAATATGCAGTTGTAAACTAAGTTACTTTTATCAATTATGAACGTAACAAAAATGAAATTAGGTCATTGGGATTAAAACTAAGGTCATTTAGTGCATTTAAACGAATGCAAAGGGTATTCATCAATTGATATATCAAAACATCATTAAGGTAGGACACAAAGGGCAATATATCAGAAATACGAATCATAAATAATCCCTGAAACGTAATATGACATCTGAAAAAATGAATCCTAATAAAGGTGTACTAGTCAGCAAGTGATGAGATCACATCAGATGGAATATAGGGTACCGTAAACAGTAGCCTTAACCTGTGCTGTCAACCTACATGTAGATGGTAGGATACTAAAGGCAATATCTTGAAAATAACAAAACCTACGAGGCATTAAACTCAAATGTTAAAACTCTAGTTGTGACCTTCCAATATATGATATACAGGGTGGCCCGAATGTATGCCCACGCCCTAGACAAACATATACCAATGTCTCAATAGTATGTGTAATATGTCATTTTAAAGCTCATCCGATGTTACATTGATTTGCCAAGTATTATGGTACAACTCACAAATGGGAAAAATTTGAAGGCATTTCAAAATGAAGATAAAATAAGAACAATTTTGACCATCCAAATATATAGAATTTTAATTCTAGTTGTAAGCCCGTTGTTTCATTTGAACCATTTATTCAATCTTTACCGGGCTGATGTCTGCAACTGAAATCATAGACCGATCTGATTCTAATAAGCAATTTGTTTGTTCAATATTTACAACTCAAAGTTATTGACAGGGAAAGAATTAAAAGTAAAGTTTATTGGCTCGGCTCCATGCGAAGCTATCTAAACAACGGATGATGAATAACATGATTTAATTACAACCTCCCGAAGTATAAATCTTGTTTCATTATTGTCTAAAAACTAGCATGGCATATTTATATATTTAGATTCTATTTTGGTGTCACGTGTTAACTTCGATTTATTTCGTTTCGATAAGTTCTTATCTTTATTATTAATTTATACAAAAATATAACCAATATTGCTTATCATCAGATTTTATACTTATCAGCTGTTACACATTTACAGTAAACAACATTATTTTACAATAATTATAAAATATAGCGATAACAATATAGCAATGGAAACAACAACTAGAAGAAAGAGGATGCCCCGTGATAAACACATTTCTACGTTTTTTTACATTTATTCTTTTATTATTCTATTCTGAGATTTTGAGGACTTCCTTTGTATATAACGTGCACTAGCATCAATTCTGAAATTGAAAACACCATGCCAAAATATTCAATATCAATGGAAGGGTTACTTATTTCAGTCTGAAACACGCTGTTCTAAACAGAAATGCTTGTGTGTATTTTTCTATCGATATTGCCTCTCATGGCATATTTATTCCATACTTTAATGCATGTTGGTTGGATATTATCGCATTTTTGTTCAATAGTCTATTTACAGTAATATGATTCTTGTCCTTAAATTCCGATTTATTTTCTACCCACACCTTTCACTTTGAAACAGTTTTCATTATTAGCCTAATCGTTAATCAATTAAAGGCAATATTTATCCCTCCAAACTGGAAATACGGACAGAACTATTTTGGAAGTATAGAACAATGAAACAAATTAATGTTTTTCAAACTAAAACTGATTATTTCCACCTTGCTGGGTCAGTTCTAGGGGTTTTACTGCTAGTTTAGAAGGCATTCATTTTACTATATCGACCTGACCAATATGTGACGTCATAGTGGCGACCCTGTCGAGAATGCAATTCTCGACCGGCAATTTTCCCCGGGAAATTAAATATCGTTCAGTGCGTAAGATTTTCTTGCTGTTTCAGTCCTGGTCATTAACGGTGTTAATAATACTAATAATACGTCGGCCCTCGGTCCAATATTTCACTATATTGCCCTTCGAAATGACGTTATTGTACTATTGACATCGCCTGATAGCAGGCACAAACCTTATATAAAGGTCTCACTGCATAGCTCTGATACTGAATGTTTTCGGATTTTTTTCAATTCTCACAAAATGTTTTTTAAGGTTAATATTTATTTCATATGAAACACATTTTACAAGTTAAGAACAAGTAGTACATATAATATTACAAACAATGTGAATGAAACCCGAGCCTAGGTCAACAGACATTTTTGGCTTGGTATACAGCAAACATAAAAGCATATAAGTTAAATGTTAAAAAAGTGATAAATCTCTTTTATATTATTTTGTATAACTCGTTACTGACACCTTTATGCTACTTTGTAGAAATCTTTAATGAAATTGAGGAATCAATTACTGAGAAAACACTTGTCAAAAAGCGATTCACTTTTTCTGGGACACCCGATATACAGGGTGGGCCAACAAACGTCCACATTTTTTATTTCGACATAACTTTTTCGACGCATGAATGGATTTCAATAAAATTTGGACATGACATGCAGAATGAAAATTCAAATTAAAGAGGCTTTAACACGTAGTTCAATGGGGGGGGGGCTAAGGTTGCCAAACTTATGGAGGGGAGTGTAGGACACCAGAAATGAAATCACCTGAAATCGTTTATAAAGCTACTAAATATTTAAATATGAAAATTCAATAAAATCATTCTAATATGATACAAAGTATTATCGCTCGCCAGTAAATTTTCTTCAAACATTCAAAATGGCTGACATGACTCATGATCAGCCAACGGGTCCAAAACCTAATCAGATGTAGAAATGTAATGAGTTGAACAAGAATTAAAGTTTTAGAACTAATTAATAACTGTGAGGCTCTTTCCCTTAAAGTTGGCCGACAGGAAGTAGGTATTGAGTTGAAATTTTGTCATCCACATCTGTATGCACTCATGGGTTATCCCTGGCCCTGAAAATTTGAATATGATATCTATCGGTTTTTGGGAAAACTGCCTCTGCGTCCGGACAGACGTGCCTAGGCCGACAATATGACCCCACACTATGTGCTAGGGTCATAAAAACGATGATTTAGGAAAATCTGCCTAACTGTGAAAGCTATTGAGATCTTATTTGTGGCAAAAAAGATCAGTATAGGCCGATGGTGCTTGGTTGAGCCCACACATTAAAGAACCTGTTTCTGCATTGTCCTTTAAAGAGACCCAGATTAATAGTAAATATAAATTAAAAGCCAATAAGAGAACAATATTTTTCATCCAGACTTTCGCCTACCAATTCCGTTTTTCTTGATGTTGCACCAGTCTAATCTTCCTTATCAATAGCAATACACTCCCAAATGCTTTGATTTCTATCGGAATATAAATTACATTTAGTGTACTGTACATATAATACATAACATGTTTCTCTGGCTAAATGTTTAAAATGCCAACCTAGAAATGTATTTGAGGCATGAGTATAATCATTGTAAAATTGTCACCCTGAACTTCATCCTGAAATCTGTAATTTTTCAAATATACCCACAGTGTCTTTTTGCCTTCATAATTTTAAAATCCCTGGGGATTTACTAATTCCACTTTCGGAACATTTGTAAAATTGATTTCTGCATATCTTGCAAAAATGGTCCACCCTGTATATGGAGTACGTTGTATGGTCTTTTATAGAGGAATTCGGTTTTATTTTTTCTTATTTTTTATTCAAGGCTTTCAACATGGTTAATATCATCGAAATCACGTTGACAGGTTTAGGGTATTGATAGTCAGGAACAATTTCTTGTCACATCTTGAAAAAGTGCTGCTTTGTATAAGTTTTTACTTCTTTTTTTATCCATTTCATGGTAAAGTAATAACAAAATAGAATATGCTGTTATAAATTGGAAACTGTAATTTATTGTGATCGACTATGTACAAATAAGGGTTGCATTGTCCTAGCCATGAGAAAGTCCATGTCCTAACCGCTCACATGTCTTCGCATGATGTTCTGAGTATAGGATTCATAACTGTATGGAGGTCATCGTAAGTTTCAAGATCGTAACGATATTGCGATCCCGGTGATGGTATATCTGCAAATTCGTTTTTCTTTAATTCTATCAGGTCGGCTAATTCGTCCTTTGACAGCTGTTTACCGTTCTCCCCGGTTCTAGTTTCTTCTTTTCTGTTTGGAAGTGACATTAATGCGACAACTGGTGGACTAACGCCTTCTTGGTAACTCGACTTTGCTTTTAATAACTTAGCTTCCTTAATGGTTTCAGGTGACTTCGTATGTGGGTGAGAAACTCCATCAGTCAAAACGAGTACGAAAGCCTGGAATTGAGCATAATAGAATGAGGTTTTGGTTTGGTTGTGTTCCTTGCAGAAAAATTTAATTATTTTTGATAAAAATTTGTTCCTCGTATGGCATGTGTTTCAAGTATGCATTTGGATGTTAATTCAGAAGGAATCTATACAAATTCTGAAAATAATACTTTTTGATTTGAGACAAATGTGCTTTTTGTGGGTAATAACATGTTTGTCAAATTGATCTAGTGACATCGAGCAATGTTTTATCAGTTAAAGGGCCTAATAAGATAGTGCTGAGAGTAAATTTTCGAAAGGCTTGCCACAATTCTGCAATATATTCGGTTTCATCATTCCAAGTCATTTCTTCTCTCTAAGAAGTGCAACGTTAAGTTTTTTTTGGCAAAAACAGAGTTCTGATAGATTTTAGGTATTGTAAGGAAAATATTGGCTTGCTTTTGAAAATACTGCCTCCAATATGTTACAAGTTATATTTCTCTTAATCATTGAGGTAGATTTCTAAATAATCTGACTCCTTGCCTTTTTGCCCCTCCTCCGTCCATTTTCAGTCGTTAAAAATTCTCGGGCCTGTTTCAAGGCAAGCCATGTAGCTGTCCCCTTTGTCGGCTTCATGTTCATTTTCTTTACGGCGTTTATAATCTTAAATTAAATTGCAAAATGTGGTGGCTAAAAGCTGAATCAATTTTTTAGTATGGTTCACATGATGGTGTTGTATTTGGTTATGAACTCAATTGTCTATGCAAAGTAGGGTCAAGAGAATGCCACTATTTTTCCTAAGGTTCCAATACACCATTGGAAAGGTAAGAATGTCAGCTTTAAGAATCTGGCCTAATTTGGAATATTTGCTATTTATACTGTATTCTGGTATGAGGATGAAATAGAGTTACTTAGCTTCACATACTTACCGATGTTCCACTATTGTACGAATCAAATTTAAGCATAGGGTGCACCTCAGCTCCATACGTTGCCCCTGCAACCAATGTGAATGCATCTCCGAGCCTTAGGTTTTTCAGCATATCTATCACAAATGATCTCACTTTCACTTTGTCTATCCATTCAATTGACGCTGACATGTCGATTATTAGAACGAGATCTATCCCACAAACTTGAGTGTTCCTGTCACCTAAAATGAACATACAATGTACAAAACCGGATGAATATTTTTAATTAATGTTTTCCCTCGAGACATTTCATCTTTTTGATCATGTCCTTACCTAAACCCTTTTCCTCTAACGTTTTCCTGCATTCTGATGCAATGCGGGAACAAGGATACGTATTGGAAGTGTCCGCAATTTTAAAACTGTTGGTCACACCCTTTCCATCTTCACAACGGGCCAATTCATAGATTGTATCTTTGCACACTAAATATTTGCAGGATGCATTTGCGTATCTGTATTTGGAACTGTCAGTTGCCTTGCACTCTGGAGAAAACAAGCAAATCTTGTAGTTTCATTTGAAAAACAAAACAGGTAGGTTTAATTTTATTTCGTAGTCTGTGAAAACTTTGTGCAGTTTCTTGTATACGCCATCAATCTAGTTTTCCTAAGATGTAGGAAGAAATATTTTGTTACTGAAAATAATTTAAATATTTCGCATTATTGAAAAAGCGTTTTCGTTGTCAATTTAGCTATTGAATGTTTGCTCGATGTACATAGCCTAAAAACGTTCACAGACGACCAAACAAAACTACATCTACCTGTTTTTGAATAAAATGATGGTTGCCCCTGTATCTCATTATTTGTTTATTTATTAGAACCTGGCGCAAATTCGCAACGAGTATTCTAAACTACCAGTGTATACTGCAAAGTCTTTTTTCTACTCACCAATACCAAGGTCTCTTATATCTGATTGTGGTGCACCCCTTGATTTTTTTGCATTTGCCGCTGGTCCACCACGCTGCTTGACTAAAACCAGAATACTCATAAACATGACTTTGTGCGCAAGCCCAGTGTCATATCAATATGACAAAGAAATAAACGACGATAAATTTACTAAATAATACAAGAGTTGTAATTGAAAAAATAATTGAGGCATTTGGATAACGTCGTTCTGCAGGGACCATGGAAGTTACTGCAACATATTTCAGACAGTCATTTGTTTGATTGTGGCTATTTCCTTAGGATTTTAACAGGTGCATATGTTAGGCCAATGCACTATCTCTTGGAAAAGTACTCATAGAGAACATTTCAGAAAAAACAACTCAACTCAACCCCAAGTCAACTCAACACAAGTCATGTCAACCCTTAGTCAACTCAATCCTTAGTCTTCTCAACCCCAAGCTTTAAGTCAACTCAACTCTTAGTCAACCCCATATGTCAGTCAAATGAATCGTATAAATAATAGTTTTTTCTCATTTAAATACGAGTAGTTTACTTTTTCTTTGGTAGCTCCCACCTGATGATATAAATGACATTTGGACCTCATCTATTTAAAAAAGGAATTAATAATGTGCTGTTTTGAAAAGACTTATAATGATTTTTTTGATCTGAAAAAATGTATGTTACATAATAATATTTTTTCTTTCTTTTTTTTTACATAATAATAATGGGATATTATATTTGCACATATTGGAAAAATAATATTTTTAAAAATTCGTCTGTTAAGAACTTAAGGACCTGTTACGCAGAAGGCGAATATTCTAACTGGTTATTCCAGTTTAGCTTTACCATATTTTTATTCAGGACGATACTTACAAAAGGATTTTATGCCTGCATTTATTCCCAGGGCACAACATAGCACTATGAATGCGCATACGTAAGTCCTCATGTCTAAAGAAAAAGTACAAATAGAAATAAGATTACAAAAGAGAAAAGTTTATTTCAACGTGCGGATTTCAAAAATGGGTAACATCTCCCATTGACTTAATGATCCTATTCCAATTTATCCACAAGGGGAACAGATATAACTTGTCACGGTGAAATGCCTGTTATCAATGTCCTATCATCAAAATTTCGAGCAACTAGAGCTATCGAAATAAAGAAATTGTGTGAATGTGACCCATATACAGCACCTATACAACCAGATAAGTAATACAAGAATATACTTCACATCTTAAACAAGCCGGCCAATGAGATTTTATCTGCCCATGCTTAAAAATTGATTTCGTTCCATAAGTATATTAATTCCGAAAGGACTATGTGGGGTATGGAAAGTGATTTTAGACGGTCACATCTTTCACCATGAGTACTTTCCGGCCATGAATACAATGTTTTTTTAAAAACCGTATGTTTAGTTTCAAGTGAAGTTCCCATGATAGTAAAATATCAATTCACCTCTCTGCAAAATATGGATTAGGACCCCACCGCCTTGACACTTTTTAAAAAATGTTACGCTTATTTTCTAAAAAGCATCATCTTACAAGTGTCCAGAATCCGTACTTCCTTGTTACCCCGGCCGGTAAAAAGAAAAGAGGTATTCTGGATTTTGAAGCCCTGCGTACTGAGGATGTCTAAAAAGGGGATCTTGTTTTTCTCAATTTTAACATATCAAACGTTTCTTCTACACTTTATTAACAATTCCTGAAAAGAGGAAGGTGATATCTTTAAAACTAGACTTTCAAACCATTCTACTTTTGAAGAAGTTTTAGACCCCTTGTGAATAATCTTTTCATGCAATAAAAATCAGAAAAAAGATCCTCTTTTGAGTAAATACATGTAGGTTCAACATTTTGGAAAAGGGTGTTGACATGGGGTCCATATTCATAATTTTTCGAATTGTTTGATTGATATTTTAATCATCATGGGTACTTCACTTGAAAGAAAACATTTTCAAAAAAATAGAAACCATTGTATTTATGCCCAAAAAGTACCCATGGTGAAGGATATGACTGTCTAAAATCACTTGCCATACCTCACATGGACCTTTGACAAAACACTAGTCTCGGTTTGGAGAACGAAGTTCAGCATCAGTCAACTGCACGTACCGACTGCTTTGGACAATTTTGATATTTTTACAAATTGTAGATTTAAATGTCGTTTGAATATCCATAGTTTAATTTGGGTGTTATTTCTATATTTTTTATTAAAAATATAAGCGCAGTACACTGATGAAACTTTGAAATCTAAATTGTTCATTTTTAAAAAAAAGAGTAGTTCGACACTTAAACATGTTTGTTCAAAGGCTCTTTCAACTTGTACTAGAATAACTTTTAATAACGTTTTAAACCATCGAATTCACAAAATTGATGCCTTGGTTATGAAATGATCAATTAGCCAATTTTGTAACGAGTGAACCTCAGTAAGCAGTCCAGATCGTGATGAGAGTTGACACTTTCATCTTTCAAAGGGTATATTCCAACCTTAGGACAGATTACGTTACTTCATTTATTTTCCATTAAGGAACAGACGCTTCCTGATGCTCTCGTCTGTTCAGCTGGACACAAATAGATAGGAAGCATGATATCAAAGCGGATGTGTTCATGAATGACTCAATTATTATATCATTTATAAGATGTCTTTGTTCATCTTATCTAATATCAAGGCTTCTTACCTGTTGTTTTTGATATCACCTATTTCTATTATTCCAGTAACTAAAAGTGAAAGAGCTCCGCATGTCTTAGGTATTTATATGACATCTCTCCATCTCGCCTTCTCATTATTTCTTAATTGTGAAATAAATATGAAGCCCATAAACAACTATTCTAATATCTGCAGATGCATGTTCAATAATCGAATATTTGCCATTGGCCTTTTATCTTCTTGTAATGCATCAACCAAACTAATGTTCAATAAGTTTGGACATGATGAATTATATATTAGATAAATAGATTTGTAATGTGGTTTAAATGATTTATCCCATACTTACGAATGAACTTGATACCTCTCTTGGGCAATGTTTTCTGCGTTTCACTCGAAAAAGATACTCCTAGAGCACAACCTTGGCACAACTATAGTTCTCAACCACAGTTCATTCTGGTAATTCATTCTGGTAGAAAGTATATTTTTTGTATTTCTTTCGAAAGGTTTAATGTGCTAAAAGATACATGTAATTGCATTAGGGTGTTTCATTTTTCAAGAATGTTCTCAGATCACAATGGCCCTTTATGGTGCTGGTAGTTCACTGATTTTTTTCAACATAATCGGAATACGTAAAAACTGGTACGTCGGTCATTCTTTCCGTCCCATTGAATTACATTGTGGGCGACGCCCACTTTTCAACGGAAAACATTATTTCGCACGTTTTTGCTTAGCATTTGCCGGGAATGGTTTTAAACCAATTTTCCTGTTATAAGCATTTGAATATAAACCAAACCACTCTCATTGATGTAAAATAGACTGTTCTAGAATTTTTATCGCCGAAATATTGTTATAAAATCACAAAGAGTGAAATATTTTTTATTGTATTGGACAGATAATATTTTCTTTTACTGGACATGTTTTAATTTGCATAACTATTAGATACATAAGGATGATATGAAATTTGAACCACTAAAACAGATGTAGTTTAAGTTAAAGGGAACTTTTACTATACCCGCGATGCTATCTGACCCGAACGAGCCACCTGGTGATGAAGCTGGTAACTTCCTACTCGCATCTGAGCTATTGAAATATTTCATGTAGAAACCTGAGATTTTATAAATGAAATGGGATATGATTTTCAAAATTAGGATTTTTAAATATCACATGCAAGTCAATCGAGCATTTCTTGATTGATTTATCAATTAGAGAATGACGAAGACAAAAATGCAAGGTATACTCTATTCCAATTCTGACAAATCAGAGTAAAAATCATTTTTCTAATAAATCTATCTTGTGATAACAGGAGCAGTTTTAATTTACTTGAATGATCCATCTCAAAAGAGCAAATAAAAAGGAATGCCGAACGTCATGATAAACTACTTCTTGCAATGATTAACAACAAATTAATGATTGAAATATATTTATGTTATTACAAATACCAAGGAAACAATGTCTATAGGTCATGAATCATCGTAGCCTATATAGAGTTTGAGGTTCAATATTCTAAAACAACGTAGTGTACTTTCCCCTCGTTCCTCGTTCTCAGCTTCAATTTGCACTATTTAACGTACATGTACAGTATGTATATATATATATATACTAATGTGTTTATCTTAACAATGGGTAAAAAGTATAATCTAACCTTCAGAAAAGACGTTGATATTTTTTTACCAAGGAAAGGTGTTTTTCATCTCTGGACACAAAAAAGTCTTCAAAACAAAATCCCAAGGTGTTTCTGCAGGAAAAATGCAACATGATTCTGAAAAACATGTTGAATCTTTGGTGAAAAAATCATGCCCAAATAAAACTCTAAGATAATTTGCTATAATGTATCTGGTCCTTTCAATTTAAACCTTCAAAGTGGTCTTATATTTTTCATTGACCCTTCTAGTCACAACAAACCAGTTTCCTTCTTGATTGGACGTACATGTACCTGGAACTGTTTAATTCATGGACATACAAAATCAATTGTTTTTAACTCAAAAGTTGATGCGGTTTCCACATCCAATGATAGTGCTATAGAAAATGTTGGGCAGTACAAATACCTTGGATGTGTATTCAGTAAAAAGAAGAATTTCGACCAGCATGTATTTTACTTAAACGAGCATGCAAGAAGATTTGTTTAAAGTTAAACAGCAATAAAAATTTAATGATATTCCAGTTAATGTTGCATCGCACCTTTTCGACTACTTAGTTGAACCTATTTTAACTAATATGCTTCAGAGGTGTGGATCAATGAAAAACATTTGAAGACAATAGAGACAATGCACCTATGTTTTGTAAATGTCTGTTGGGTGTTTCAAAAATCAACTGCAACATCAGCAATTTATGGAGAATTTGGACGCTCCCCGTTAAAAATACGTCTTGAAATCAAATTAATAAAATATTGGCTCCGTTTACTTACATTTATACATTTACATTTATTTATTGTTCCATTCAAATCATTTGACGCAGAGCGTATATTGTGTGTTTTAAAAAAGGTCTAAGGTCATGTAAAAGTAAGATAATTAATTGGTGGAGTATTGGAACATAACAAGTAACTAATAACTAATAATTTGAAATGATGTATTTTTGAGAGCTGCCTTAAATGAACACTTTCCTTAATTTCATTTGGTAATTTGTTATAGTATGATGGACGTGTAGCATCTCATTGCGAGCATCTTCAGTTTTAGAAGAATCCAACAATCCATGTGAAACCGAATCCGGAGCTAACATGCCACTGTGCTCGCATACTATAGGTTTTCATCATTACTCAACGGAAGTGTTAACAGTTTTGAGGCTACGGCACCCGGTGGCAAACTTTAGCAGACCAGGGATGACCTTTAAGTGTTTCAAAAGTGGACACGGTTCTATTCAGTCGACTAAAACTAACATCATTGGCAGTTCTGTCTTGCCATTCGGAGTTTTGTACAGCATTTATTGCACGTTTTACGATGTTTTTCCAAATTCTTAGTGGGGGAAAATGCCCACTAACTAAGTATTCGCGTTATGAATCTGGGCTGTATTTATTCAATATTCTGTGAATATCAAGAATAAACCCCTTCTTCGTTGATGTTGTAATTAGAATTGTGTTTTACAAAAACTTTATGTATTTGTATTCAGTAGTTTAGTCTTAGGTCAATTTTGTATATTGTAGTTTTTATTTTTTTAGTGACTAATATGTCATTGTAATATGACATCAGAGATTCAATAAAAGATACTAGATATAGTATCACGTGTTCTGGTGATAGGAAGGAACTCCCAAAACGTCGAGCCTGCTAAAAATTAATGTTGACCATAGTGCTTTTATTAGATATAGACCGTGTGACAATGTACTTAAGACGAGATGGAATGACTAAGAACTGATACTTTTCATGGGGGTAACCATGAGGGAGGGAGGGGGTGCGATGGGTGCATCCCACAAAAAGGAAAACCGGCGCGGCTTTGTTTATTTTGTCAAAAAAATTAACAAGTTATACTTTGAAATTCTTAGAATGCACTATATATAACGATGTAATTTTTCCAGGGGTGAACCACCATACCCTATTTTGGGGGATCGCTTTGCTCGCAACGATTTAAACCCAAAATATCGCGCATCCCTTGACAATTGCTGGCTAATAGCTACCGCCCCTGTTTTTATCCTACCGGTGAAGAGTTATATAGAGCACGTATTGGCAACGAGGTTAAATTTGACTACGATAAAAATTCACCTTGAATCTGACATTTTAAACCAAATATAAATGTACACGTTTTTTCAAATTTATAGCTCGCATATTATCGCAATTCTGTATTACACCCAACGACGACCTGGTAACTCATACTGATAGTCAGATATAGAATTATAGATTAATGAAAAATTATAATTGAAAGTGATAAATCATGACGTTTCAATCAAACGCTCGTCTTCGGTTGATATAAAGGGGAACTCAGAAGAATATTGTCTACCACTGGATACACAGACCAATCTGACTCTAATGAACAAATTGATTTGTCCAATATTATTTATACAGCAAAATCCCTACCATGACATGGCTTCTTCCTGAAAATTCGTAAGAAATGTGTTTATTAAGTTTTTAAGTCTGTTGTGTTGGATTCACTTTTTCTGATCGATTCCTTTCTTCATTTATTCCTATATTTCTTCCTATTATTTATGCACAACAATATGACCAGTCCTGCTATCAATCAGCGCCGTGATTCCGGATGTTTAGTTTCCAGTGAACGTGAATTTATAATTGAATTAACGTTATTGTCTCATAGTCGTTCTGATCAATCACACCTTTCTGTTTTTCAAATAGAAAGGAACTATAGAAGAAGCCTTGATTTCTCAAAATGTCTCATAAGCGAGTGGTTCTCTATTTGCAGTAATCAACTATTGGGTAATTGCTGTCAAAAATCCTACTGGCCATTTTGTTTCATCACTGCATTAAATTTTGAATTTTCTAAACTATAATCTTAAACTTCAGAGATACAAAATAATTTATTAATTTTGTGTCCCCTTCAGTATCACTCGCCATAGTTTGTAAAATGTATTTTTGTATTTTCGTCAATACCAGTGACAATGGTTTTACAATGTAATGATCATTGGAGTCCTATATGATTATCAAAAACAAAACGTTTTATGTATCTAGGTTGTTTTGATGGTAAGCAAGAAGTCTGCGAGATTCTTCAAGAAAAGGCACATGAATTGAAGTCGCAGTAACCATTAATCTTGAAAAGCTTGTGGAAATCTTTGATAATCATACTGTCTCTTTAAAAAGTTTTTCATTTTTTTCCTATTACTTATTGAATGAACTGTAATCTGTATTTTTGTCAATAATAAGTTTATTTACAAGTATTTACATATAATAGAATAAATTGAACTGAGCGATCGACCAGATACATATAAATTGCTTGATTTAGTGCCATAAAAATCTCGTAGTATTAAAAAGTTATGAGATAAGATCAATTAACGTACAAAAGACTCATTGACGTCTTATCTTCATTCCATCTTGTTTATTCATTTTCTGTAAATACAACATTATCGTCAGAGAGTAATAATTTGTCCATCGCTTTTAAAGGAATGTTTCAAGACATTTCTATACGATACAATAGTAAACATTACAATTATAACTAGATTATCAACCACCCTTGACAATCGATGACCTCCTAGAATACTTGTGTTAATCTGTGTCTCATTTAGTTCTCAACTAGGATTTAAAGTAGCATGATAGCGAAATTTCATTTCATTTTCTCACGTTAAAAATATTTTTTGTGTGTTCTTGACACCATTCCCTACCAAAGTAAAAATCTATTTGTAGTGTACCATCAAAAACACAATATGAAACATGTGTTATTGTAATACAAGAATGTTTAATATCTGTAATTCAATCTGAGACTGGCATAAAATATAGACATATTGTAATTCCTGGGTGGATCCATTTGGATATAACTAAGTATGAACACGTCTCACAATGAAAGGATTGACTATATATGTTCTGTTGCAGATATTCATAAAATATTTGTAGAATTATGAAAATTGATATTCATATGCGCATTAATGTGTCCTTGTTTGTTATTGGCTCTCGTTTACCGGCGTACACACTACAAATATCGTTAAAGCAAAGTATTCATTCGTATTTATACTATGAGTTAAAAATGAATAAATAAATTGACTATACAACGTGTATGCATCTATTTCTATATATATCTGTAAACATGTGACAAAAATGTAGCTGTTCTTGACTTAAATATATATTTTAAAAAAATAGTTGAATTTGAAAAATAAAGAATGAATTGAAAAAAGTAACATCAGAATTATGGATCTTTGGAACCACTACAAGACAGTGTAATGCTCGTATACATTTATCGTAATAGTGAGAGATAACTATAAACATGACAATGATTGCTTTATTTTCAGAATCAAAGTCTCCAAATTAAAGGCAGGCCATGCTCATCGATGGAATAGAGGAATTCCACGATATACAATGCTTGGTCATTCTCGATCTAAAATACGTAATATGGCAAGGTAAAGTAGGTGTTCGCAGGTGTCAAAAACGAAATTTGCAGAATAAACGACTTTGGTCAGCTTTTTGTGTAAAACGGTCAAATTGTAGCCTTATTAACAAATATATACAGACTGTTAAATATTTTATTTCAATGAGATTTTGAGCTTTTGAATTTAATGTTATCTTTACTTTTCAGGTGGAAGCTTTTAAAAAATTCAAAAGTTCGGCACCATTGTGATGGTCTCAACTCACTCACGTACAGATTAAACAAAGTTGAATTAAAGCCACTCTATACAAGCGTTTCTATCAGTATGGATCTAGATTTCCTGAACTCGACATTGTTTACGAAATGTAACATGACAACTTTCTACGAGGAAATCAAATTTGTCGAGGAAATAAAAAGACTACAACGATTAGGAAACCCCTCTGGGAATGACACACTAGACAAAAATATATAAAAACATCTGGAAAAATATATATTGCTGAAAGTGAAAAATGTTCAATATATCAACTAAAATCTTGTATTAGTATCATCACTAAAATGTATGCAACACTGGTAGGATAGTTAATTAATAAATAACTGTTCGCATGGATAGTTGTAAAACATACGGGATTCACTGTATTGCAGGTAATCCAATAAGACACTTTTCTTAAACAATTCACGCGTTCCTGCCATCTATACGAGAACGAGTCATCCATCCACTACCACTTCTAAAATATCACATGATTTTATAATGTGTAACAATGTCATATTTTATTTTTGAACACAATTAGTTTGAGAAATCGTGGTATTTACTTTGCAGAGACCACTGTTGCATTTAAATGATTTTATTTTCATGACATTAACTAGAACCATTATCTGCTGTAAATGGTCTTAATGGCTTACTAAATCGCCCCAAAGCTAGAAAGGACGAATGAGGAAAATGGACCTTGTTATGCAAGTTGAGCGTTGGTGGATTAAAAGTAGGATCAGAATGAGACTGTCCTTGAACAATCATGCTAAACCCTATGTTATTGTAATCTGATACAATGCTGTTTTTATTTTCAGATTTTTCAGACTTGCATGAAACATAAAACAACTTTAGTATATAATATGTAGTGATGTTTATTACATACAGGAATAATAACACACAGCTAAATTTTTGAGAAAATCACTTCATAAATATGATGATACTGCACATTTACTTGAATATGTATTCTGTATTATTCTTATCTACTGTATAACATGTACATGTATAATGAACTAATAAAAGCTATAAGCACATAAATTATAGTATCACACAAAAAGCAATCAAAGAATCTATTGCAGTATTTGATAAATTGTTAAGACTGATTTCACTGCACCAATCAAACCCGTTTTTCCAAAGAAAAAATATATACTTATACAAAATATGTCCAGGTATCAGCCGAATAGTACAGTTAGTTTGACGGAGGCAAAATATTGAATCAACTGTTTTTAAACAAATGTCTGTGTTTAAAATGAAAAAAAACTTGGACTGAATTTACAAAGTATATTGCTAGCTTCAATGATAGTTTGTAATTATTTGCCTGAAGACATGAAGACCATTCACAGTTTTACACTCTCAAAAGATATGATGCAAACTGAATAAATCTTCACTTCAAACAGATCAACTGTAAAACGTGAAGAATTCAATTCATTTTAAATCCAAACATAAGTGATTCAAGTCGTTTCTAAACAAGAGATGCCCTTATGTTGTTATTATTTCTTCAATCCTTAACAACATAACCGTTTTATTACAGCCTAAAGATATATTATTTATATTGTCCATGCACAAATACATGTCCATATTAGAACCTGGTAAAAATTATATACAAAATCCAATGGAAATAAGGTATCCATATTCTTATCATACATGTTTTAGCCCCAAATATAATACATAATAACTATATGCAACTAGAAAACTGTATGCTACTCCACAGAGTAGCAATTACCACCAAATAAAACACGTTTTCTCAAATCATTTTTCATCTCATGCTTTTTGGTTTATTTTACCAAAAATGAAACCTTTGACATATAACTATTTCAAATATGCATGAGCAAAATATGTCAATCAGTATTTAAGTTATTGGCAAAAATGTCAAATTGAACAGGCTTTCATTTAGAACTAAGACATCATTTTGGCAGAGTCACCATTTGGAGCATGGCGCCTTGATCAGAGGCTCCATGCCCATAACTTAGACAACCAATAAAAATTCTAACCAAATCTGAAAACCGATGTTTGTGTTATTGCCCAGTCAGACAAAAAGCTTCTCCATATCCTTACATAAACTTAATCCAATGGGATAATTATAAGTATTATTACAATACTAAATTTGCATGCATATGGATATGATGAAATTATGTGGTACTGTCTTATTAGACTACCCTCTATACTCTCTATCACAAAACACATTGTGAATGGTCGTACCAAATGCTCAAAGATCAAAGATCAGATTACTATTATACATAATGCAATGTTATCATTAACATTAGATACATTAATTTAACTTTGGTACCAGGCCAACTAGAGGTATAGCCAATGGACAATGAAATATTGGTAGTCTTTACAGAATATAGCAATACATCATCAACTATAACTCCCTCCTTATTCAGCTTTCAGGTTGCAAAATTGAATACCTAATGCATTGGTAAAATCTCGTAAAATGACACCATATACTTGTACAATATGAGCCACATTTCTATTATGCATTAAAAGTACAAACTGATTACAGTATGAAAAGTAAGTAGAATTATCAAATCAGTTTATAATTTTGACTCTTGGCTGCTTTATTGCATGAATAGTTTCTGTTTATACAGAATTCAAATGATGCAAAAAACTATAAGTACAGGGTGTCAAATAAGTCCCTTCCCCCTGCTACAGCTAAAACCTTAATAGATGGTACCTAGTGTGATATACCATTGAGAAGATCATCCAAAGTTATGTTAACTCACCAACTCTCAAATATTTTGGATGAAATTTACCTATATTTTTATGATGTCCTTTACGGCTAACGTATAGTCCTTTAAGCAGCTTTTTTGCGTCAAAATGACAAGGATATGACCTCAGAAATATGTCAAAAAGTTAATCTTTTTCGCATTCCACTTGTTAAAAAAAGGTTTTCAGCATTTTCCTTGCACCTCTATTTTCTACACATCTAACCCTATCCAGAAATTGGTTAAAGTCATTGCCATATACATGTACATGTTTAATCAAGTTTCGGTCCTTTGACCTTTCTTATATCTGATTCTTAAAATCCTCCCAAATGCGCCAAATTGCCATGTTTCTAGGCCTATGATCTCCTCAATTGATACAATGTAAAAATTTGTGAGATTGATTGACCTTTCCAATGATATATCACACTTGGTACCAAATATCTTGGTTTTGGCAGTAGAAGGGGGGGGGGGGCGGGACTTATTTGACACCCTGTATTATCATTAATATAATATACTTAGAACTAAATGAAAGAATATAATGTTCATACAATATCAGTCATCATAAAATATTCAACACAGCCCTCTGAATAAAATATCTCAATGCAGGGCATTCAAAACCCATTACTGGTTAAATTTTCACATAATGTACTCCCAAGTACTGCGATTATAGTACTGCATTTTCCTGCATTTTTCTCATACAGACTATACACAAGAAAGTGACATACATGATAAAACAGATATTAGAGATGACACGGAACAACAAAAAAATCAGTATGGTTCAGAACAGAGTGACTTTGTGTATTTGTGTTTTGGTTCTGGAACGAAACCGAAATTCTTAATTTTTGTTTTATGTTCCATTCAGAGAGCGTAATTCCGCGGGTCGGAACACAATAGGGTATCCGTGACACCTCTAACAGATATGCTAAGATAGTAGATCATTCAAAATTCATTATCTATGACATAATCTAGTTTTCATGATCTATTTTTACAAAGGGCTACAGTTATCTATAATGGCGTGCACGTATCCTTTCATTCATAAATATGTTAGTTACCTCTTATTTATACATTCATCGAATAGTCATCAATCTTATGCATTTCTTTCTTAACTGTTGGCAATTATTTTCATCAAAATCTGTGGTGTTTAAATTCTTTGGCAATCAAATTGTTGTCTGTTAAAATTGGATGTGACATTTGCATGTAGAAACATGAATGTTCTGAACTATTTTCACAAAAGTAGCAGTAACACATAATATTATGTAAGACAGAACAACGATCAGGCTAACGTCTTGGATAATAATGTGTCAACAAAGCATTATGACAGAATATGACAACTTACCTTTTGCTACTGTTGCAACATCAGCTCCATATTTAATCCTCATTTTAAAAGTATTGTAATGTTTTCCTTTCCTTCAATCTTTCCTTAAGCAGATATAATTTAGTTGTTTATCATAAAGCATGAAGTTCATTTAAATTATTCCATGAACTTCATTGATATTAAAAATACTGATCGCCAGTAGCAGGGTTATCATTGGCCTCACTATCAAAATGCCTCTGAACATGACGCTCAAAATCGTGTTGTGGGAAGTCCTTGTCAAAGACCTGCTGACACATTGGACACATTGTGACAAAATGACTCTGCACGTGGTCCTCATAGACTGCCTGAGGGCACTCTTGGAATGATGTCATACACGTGGGGCATAGCTTTACACTCTCAGGATCCCCAACAGCATCATGGAACCTAATTTTTAAAAAAATCATGAGATTCAAAAATCAGAAGTGAAAGAAAATTTAGAAGAAATTTTCAAAATAGGAGAAAACTGGAACGATTTCATCCTATAAAGGACGATGACCACGGGATAAAATCCTATCATCAGGTTTCCTGGAATGACAAGATTTATTGGATAGATTGATGGATGGATGGATGGATAAATATTCAGTATAATATTTTGTGCATATTTTGCCCATTAAGATCTATAATTTTCACTTACTCATCAACATCGTCCTGCTCCTTGGAGGCATGTCTCTTCAACTGCTTCAGGCCAGCACCCTCACCAGACTGAACACCCTGACCTGGGCCAACCTTAGCCACCTGTTTCACTGCAGCAACCTAAGGTACAATTTAAAACATGAAGCGAAAATATTATTATTTTTATGAAATAAAAAATCCTTTGAGTGTATTTCCTAGCTGGTTGTTAATTGAGCCAAGTAGTTTAAAAATATTCTCCACAAACACTTTCATTGTGAAATTATTTGTTCTTTTTGGTCTTTTCTGGCCAACATGGGTATGTTTTAGCGTTATATTACTTTGATACAGTATACATTTTCTTGAGTAATGTTTAGAAACACATTTACATATTGACAAATCTTTTCCATAGTTTCAATAAATGCTTTGTACCTTTGCAGATGGTAACACCTCTGGCATCATTGGAGGAGGAAGAGGTTTTAATGGTTCCTCTAGCTGTCCAGTGGGTAAATCTTCATCCAATGATGTTGTACTTGAGCTCTTTTCTTTGTCCTCTTTAACAAACTTCTCTGCAAGTGGGTTATGAAATATTTCAATTCTAAGGAATTGTCCAAGGAAATCATTAAGTGTTGATTAATAGGCTAGGTTAGGATTTCATATTCCAAGAACATAAGGGTTTATAGTTTGGAGTCAAAACTTCTGACAATTTGGGCATATTGGTAAATTAACCAGCTCCAACTTTCCTCCTTTGGGGGTTAGAGTCACTTTTTCACCAAAACATGCCTTATTCAACTTTAAGAAAAGCCATAAAGTTTGAGGACATTTGACCAAAATACCTTAGGGGAGGGGGGGGGGGCAGATCTGGGCCCCTGACCATTTAAGGATTTTTTTTAAAAGTATTAATGTAAACTAAATATCGACATAAAAATACCCCTTGAGCCTAATAATCATTAATGGAACTGAATGGCAGTTTAATGTTACCTTTGAATAAGCTATAAATGTCAACATACCCGTGTCATCCACATATGGGTTTCCATATTTCAGTGGAGGTGGTGCATTAACTTTAGCCATTTCAGCATAGGGATTGGGGTAGAGCTGCTGTGGGGGTTTCAGCACTGGGCTACATGCTGCTGTATCTTGCTTCTTCGCAGCCTCCAGTTCTCTTTGCATCTTTGCCATGTCTTTATTTAGTTGGTCTATCACTCTCTGCAGTACACAAGTGGATAAGAATATTACATGTATTTGGTTGAGCTGGAATGCTTTTAAAAACCAACTGAAATAATATCTGAACATAATTCAATGTCTATACAAGAGCACTGCTGATGTTTATACACAACTGGAAAAGTACAACTTAAAGGATTGATCATTTTGAATTTATCAATTTTCTACAATTGCCTTTTATTCCAAATTATAGTTAAAGCAATGTCATGGAAAAAGTTGGAATATAATATGTAATATTAAACTCCTTTGCTTCTTACCTGTGAACTCTCCACATTTTCTTATATGTTATGTTAAACTCCTTTGCTTCTTACCTGTGAACTCTCCGTATTTTCTTATATGTTATGTTAAACTCCTTTGCTTCTTACCAGTGAACTCTCCACATTTTCTTATATGTTATGTTAAACTCCTTTGCTTCTTACCAGTGAACTCTCCACATTTTCTAATATGTAATGTTAAACTCCTTTGCTTCTTACCAGTGAACTCTCCACATTTTCTTATATGTTATGTTTAACTCCTTTGCTTCTTACCAGTGAACTCTCCACATTTTCTTATATGTTATGTTAAACTCCTTTGCTTCTTACCAGTGAACTCTCCACATTTTCTAATATGTAATGTTAAACTCCTTTGCTTCTTACCAGTGAACTCTCCACATTTTCTTATATGTAATGTTAAACTCCTTTGCTTCTTACCAGTGAACTCTCCACATTTTCTAATATGTAATGTTAAAATCCTTTGCTTCTTACCAGTGAACTCTCCACATTTTCTTATATGTAATGTTAAACTCATTTGCTTCTTACCAGTGAACTCTCCACATTTTCTTATATGTTAATGTTAAACTCCTTTGCCTCTTACCAGTGAACTCTCCACATTTTCTTATATGTAATGTTAAACTCCTTTGCTTCTTACCAGTGAACTCTCCACATTTTCTTATATGTTATGTTAAACTCCTTTGCTTCCTCCCAGTGAACTCTCCACATTTTTTTATATGTAATATTAAACTCCTTTGCTTCTTACCAGTGAACTCTCCACATTTTCTTATATGTAATGTTAAACTCCTTTGCTTCTTACCAGTGAACTCTCCACATTTTCTTATATGTAATGTTAAACTCCTTTCCTTCTTACCAGTGAACTCTCCACATTTTCTTATATGTAATGTTAAACTCCTTTGCTTCTTACCAGTGAACTCTCCACATTTTCTTATATGTAATGTTAAACTCCTTTGCTTCTTACCAGTGAACTCTCCACATTTTCTTATATGTAATATTAAACTCCTTTGCTTCTTACCAGTGAACTCTCCACATTTTCTAATATGTAATGTTAAACTCCTTTGCTTCTTACCAGTGAACTCTCCACATTTTCTTATATGTTATGTTAAACTCCTTTGCCTCTTACCAGTGAACTCTCCACATTTTCTTATATGTAATGTTAAACTCCTTTCCTTCTTACCAGTGAACTCTCCACATTTTCTTATATGTAATGTTAAACTCCTTTCCTTCTTACCAGTGAACTCTCCACATTTTCTTATATGTAAAATTAAACTCCTTTGCTTCTTACCAGTGAACTCTCCACATTTTCTAATATGTAATGTTAAACTCCTTTGCTTCTTACCAGTGAACACTCCACATTTTCTTATATGTAATGTTAAACTCCTTTCCTTCTTACCAGTGAACTCTCCACATTTTCTTATATGTAATATTAAACTCCTTTGCTTCTTACCAGTGAACTCTCCACATTTTCTTATATGTTATGTTAAACTCCTTTGCTTCTTACCAGTGAACTCTCCACATCTTCTAATATGTAATGTTAAACTCCTTTGCTTCTTACCAGTGAACTCTCCACATTTTCTTATATGTTATGTTAAACTCCTTTGCTTCTTACCAGTGAACTCTCCACATTTTCTTATATGTAATATTAAACTCCTTTGCTTCTTACCAGTGAACTCTCCACATTTTCTTATATGTAATGTTAAACTCCTTTGCCTCTTACCTGTTGACTCTCCACCTTTTGATCACACTCTAGTTTAAGCTCATCAACTTCAGAATCCTTTCTCTCGCACTCATCTCGAAGTTTCTTCAGCTCCTCATAGTAATGATTCTGCATGAACTCTCTCTTCTCATGCTCTTCTTGGTACAGCTTTTTGTATTTGTGTTTCTTCTGATTGCGCTCCTCAAGCTCATGACCAAGGTCCTCCAGTTGGGACTGCAGTTCTGTGCTGCTCAACTGTAGAGCTGCTGAGTCATTGTCACTCTGTGTAGAACTCTCTTTTGAATCTGTAACAAAGAACATGTAGATATTTCTTGCAAAAATAAGGGCTTGTAGTTCTCTTACTGTTCTAATATTATATATCTTATATACTTGTATATCTATATTATCAATGAATCAGTCACATTTGATCTACTGCAATCATACAGCAGCCATAGCTTCCCAAAATCGAGAGAAATATGCAGCATAAAATATAGGTATAAGCATTACAATGTAGATTTTCCTATCGATTTGTAAGGCTACGGCTGCCATATGACTGTCGTAGAGCAAATATGACTGAGGCTTTAGCAGCCAATTCTTCAAGTCTTTATCCTAGACACTGTAATGTTGTCAAAATGTTCTCACATATCTCCTAAGGACCCGATTATAGTAGCCTTGCACAAGTCGGTATTTTTTTACTAATCTGATCTTGAATTATTACCGCCTTGTACAATCCTATACATCTCGGCTGATATTATGCTAAGATATTCAATGGTTTTGAGATTTCCATAATACCTACGCTATCAGGGGTATCGCGAAACCGAATTGATTGACAGATCGCGTGGACGACACGACGTGTGACTTCAGGCTGATTGACCAATCAAAACGTTATCAGGTTGAGCTGCATAAACAAAGCAAACTTCCCGTCTACGACTTGAAATTCAATGATCTGATCGAGTGTTGCAATATCATTCATGAACATATCATGTAATTAAATGTACATTGGAATGCTAGAGTCATTAATATAAATTAAATCATGCGATTCAATGTTGATTTAAAACTGATTTCACGATGAAAATGCACGATGAAAATGTAGCGGGTCATGCAGTCGTCGATCAGTGATTATTAGTTACCACCTTGCCGGGCCAGTTCTAGGGGTTTTAGTGCTAGTTTAGAAGGCGTTCATTTTACTATATCGACCTGAGAAATGTGTGACGTCATAGTGGTGGTCCATATGGACCGGTCTAGAATATATTCTGGACCGGCAATTTTTCCCCGGGGAAATTAGATATCGTTCAGTGCGTAAGATTTTCTTGCTATTTCAGCCCTGGTCGTTAATGGTGGTAATAATACTAATAACGTCATTTCTGCGAGCAATATAGTGAAATCTTAAATTTCACTATATCGCCCTTAGAAATGACGTTATTGTACTATTCGATCAATCTCAGCCTGCATGTTCGATCATTTGAATTCAGCGATCGTTTCAACATTTATTGTTGAAACCTTATCAGCTCTGGTTATCCAACTGATGCTGCGGCATCCACTAAACTCTGATTGATATTTATCTGATAAAATATTTGTATTTTCATGATGAATTCATGCAAGAATTGTTTGTGAAAAGTCCCGGTGAAAAGTGTACTTGTTTTTGACCGTGCAGAGCTAACGCTACAGGGCCGTCGTTCATTGGTCAAATTATCGGTAAAGCATGTGGCTTTCTCTTTGGTACAAGGTGATCAAAATAGAAATCAAGATAAGTAAAAGAGACCGACTTGGGCAAGGCTACAATTATAGGTTTCTAATGCAATCATAAACAATAACAATTACCTGACTTTACAGATGTCTGTACTGCACTAGTCTCCATCGAGGCAACTTTCTCTGCCTTCTGGTTGGTTTTTACTAATAATGATAATAATATTATTATAATATTGTAGAATAAAATGACAGAATAGAATCCATAGAGTAGCAAATTAAAATAAAATATCAATCATTAATGGTACTTTTCAATGTTTTTTTTCATTTTGATTATTTCATGAGGGAAACAAAATGTAGGGGTGTAATAAAATAAACACATTTTTGGGTGACAATTTTTAATTCATTTAAGGTCACAGAAAATGAATTTGAAAGACAAATTGGTTCATATAAAATGAAGAGCTTAAAGTGAGAGTCAGATGGAGAAATCTATATAAATAGGGAGTTTTTGTTACATATTTAGTTGCAAGTCAATGCACATCTCACAGTAGACTATAAGTTATGATTGTACCAAAAACTGACATCTGAATAATACTTTTTTTGGTACTTACTCTGCTTCTGTAGCTTCCTGATTTCAAGCTGGTATTTCTTGCACTCAATGTATTTTTCCTTATACTCCTCAGCCCCCATTGCAAGACGCTCCTTCAAGTCTTCAATCTCACGGTGCATGTCACTTTCAAGTTGGTCCTTGCTTTTCTAAAGACAGCAACATAAAACATGAGTTCACAATCGCACTTAAGAGTCCCTTTTAAGCAATTGTTCTTTTTCTAGTTTGCTAGTAGGCCAGCTACAATAAATTGCTTTGGTCTACATATGAGGATATCAATAATATATCTATGAAAAGATTTTGAGGCAAATGTAAGAACACATTAAAAGAAAGTGAATGATGAATTGATTATTAGTAGCACTTAGCAAATCAGCTAAAACAAAAAAACATGAATACAGGTCAAAATTCAGTGAGTTAATGTTTTGGAAGTATTGGAACATGTAACTGGAGATAGTTAATTGAAATGTGTGCAGGAAAAGGGTGCAAGAACCATTTACACATCCTTACAAGACATTTTATAGCCTCATCCCGGTCTTTCACAGCATCTCCATGTTGTTTCTTAGTCTTTTCAAGTCTCCTCTCCAAATGTGCCTGTGCAATCCTAAGTGCATGCATTGGGCCATCTTGCTCAGTACGTGATTGGCTGGCCTGCTGCTTTAAGGACTCGCGGGTTTGATGGAGCTCATTTATTGTGCGATCTTTTTCCTGCAGTGATTGGATATTAACTGGCTTAGTGTTAAGAACTAATTTCTGTATGGGATATTTTGAACATGTTTTCTAGCTATTAATGACAACAAAATCATTTGATAAATGGTCCATGGGCTGTTAATTAATTATACTTCAAGAAAATCCAGTAGATACTGGCAAATAGACATTTTGCAGTTCTACTCAAATTCTCCAAAATGATTGTCCATCTATTCAGATATGTTTATTGAGACCATTAACTTTAAGGTAGACAAGTGCAAGGTGTTAGTTCAAAGATTAAACTGAACAAGTGCAGGCAAGGATTTAAAACAGATTTTCAACAATGTTAGTAAAAACAACAAAGGACATACGATGTATAGCCCCTCGCCCTTTCTGAAAATACTTTTAATGTAGAATGTTGATTTGCATAATATCCATGAACAGAGTGCAACCAAGCAAAATAATCAAGGAAAGCTTTTTCTCATACCTCTTGAACTCCATCCAGAGTCATCTTAAGTGCTGTGATCTCATCATTCAGTTCTTGTTCCTGTGTCTTCTGGTGGTCTTCTAGCCTTGTTAACTGGCCCTTCAAGCTGTGGGCATCAGATCTTGCTTTCTGAATACAATATAAAACACACACTTGCATTTTGAATTACACACCAGATGCTATTTTTTTCCTGGTAGCTGGTCTGCATTTAGTATTTCATGTTTCATTTCAAATGCTTCCTCTTGCATTAATCAGTCCACTGTACACAAACTAAAGACTCCAGTATCAAAATAAATTTCAAACATAGTCTCAGTTTCTCAAAAATGTGCCCAAATTTTCAAAAAAGAACCCAAATGATATTTTCAAAAATTTATTTTGTTTCCAAAAAGAACCCCTTAATTTCTTACTTCATTCAGGTAACAATTTTAAAGATTTCAACATTGATGAGTATTGCATCCTAAATCAAGTTTTTCTCCTTATGAATTCGCAAATTTAATGAGATGAATCATACAACTGAACACATGGGTTATCACATACCGCTAAGCTCTGCGCCATCTTATCATGTGCTTCCTGTATGTTGGTCACCTCATCGTTTAGCAGTTTCTTACAGTGCTCGGCTGCACTAAGTTTGTCCTCTGTGTTCTTCAGGCGCTCTGTCACACAGTTTATATGTTCCTAAATAATAAAATAGTTTTTATAATTGATAATGGAATTTTAAGTTCAGTTGAGTTCAATCAGGTCAGAAACATTTTTGGCACATATAGAATCTCTGGAAAGACTTTGCAGTTAGAGTAAATACCCAAAATGGTACATTGTAAATTATAAAATATTTGAGTGTAGATTATTTGAGGAAATCTAAATGACAACTTACTCTGTCTGTTTTGCTAACACTTGACTGTCGTTTTAATTTTTTCCTTTCCTTATCAAGTTCCTCTCTCAGTCGCATTGTTTCCTCAGTCTGTTTCTGGCGTATGTCCTCCAAGTAGGCAAGCTGTTTCTTCAGGTTGTCAATCTCCTTCATGTAAGCTTGGATCGTACTCTCTGATGATGTAAAGTGAGTCTACAATAGAGAACCATTACAATATAATACAATAGACATATAGTATTGCTGCAGTGTTCTCTTTGGTACTATTTCCTCAAAATCAAAAGAAAATACATGGTTAAAATAGATGTTCAGGTTTGTTCAAGCCTTTGTGAAAAATGTCATTTTGGTAATGCTGGGTAGATCATTGTATTGGAGCTTGTTGTTTAGTCTCTCAAACAAATCTATTTTGATAAACAGCTACCAGATTTCCCTAAATATTATTTGTGATTACTATAATTAATTTTAAACTCCAGGCTTGAATATTAAATCATCTGTTACAATGCTCCAATGCATCATTATTGAATATGTCATTTTTAGTTCAATATTAAAAAGGCTTGTCACATTGATGCCAAGAAAGTATATAATACAAACATTACACTTTTGGATTTCCTCAGTGATATTTTCCAAAGAACACAATTCATTAATAATTTAGCTTCAGGCATCTTTAGCATTTCAGTGAACCTACCTTGAAAAGCTCTTTCTCTTCTTCCAGCATTCTATGTTTACCAACGAGAGCATCTTTGTCATTGTTCAATTCCTTGATCTTTTCTTGTAGTTTCTTAATATAGCTATCATTCTCATCTAGACGTTTCAGAATTTCTTCTTTCTCCATGTTGACAATACTGAGTTTTTCTGTCAGGGCATCATGAACCAAAGCCATGTCCTTGGCCTCGTTGTGCAGTGAATGCAATTTTTCATTGCTCTCCTGTATGTATAGTCATTTAATGTTAGATGTATGTTATAGACTTATTAATATTCTCATTTTGTTCTAGGACTTCCTTTTAGACACCTCATAGTAAATGAAAGAAATGAACCTATTGTATAACTCTGCAAGCCAATAAAATTTCCATTTTGATTAATTACAAGTTATTTTTATCTCTATTGTTGCTTAAGTTTCAACATTCAGTACCAATACATACCTGGACATCTTTCTGCAGTTGTTCAACATGATCTTCCTCAGTAGCCAGAGTTTTACTGATGGTCATTAGTTTATTGAGTAAACTGTCTCTCTCAACTTCTAGAATATCATGTGTCTGAATAACAAAATTGATAGTTTCAATAGGTTGAGGATGGTGAGAATCATTTCTTTTGTATATTTAATCCAAAATAACCCACACTTTGGGGTATAACCAAAAACTTGCTTTAAATAGTTTTAAATTACAACAATAATCATTTTTAAAAATATAAAAACATAAATTAAAATATATATGTAATTTATCTTAACCTTAACTAGCTGCTCATTTTCGGTTTTGACTTTTGCTAAACTGGTCTCGAGGGTCATTGTTTTAGATTGAATAACCAACATGTTATTGTCGTCATCTTCAATCTCAACATAGTCTGTAACACCAGGTCTCTTGAATTGGAATGGCGTACTTGCTCCTCTAACTTGGCCCGACTGTGTCACATAACAGAACTGGTAAAATTCTCCATCATCTTTTGGTAGATTTTTTGCTGAAATATAGTCATAAGTTTAAAATAAAACTCATGTAAACCTTTTATAAGTGATAGCATGTTTTCCAATATGGTGGCAGAAACATATATTTTCAACTTAATAATTAGATAACCTGAAGTAAACTAGATAACCTATTTGATGTGTAAAACCTTCCTCCTGGTAATGATGACTAGATTTGTTTTTCCTTCCTCGTGCTGTTCTGAACCTCATTGTTAAGAAAATTAACACATTATCTAGAATTGTGCAGCATATCATTCCCATAACCATGCTTGACTGTACCTAGCAGAGATGCTGCTTTTGGAATTCAGATCAAGAGCTAAGGTTATGCTCACTACACATTTTGAAGAAATATTCAAAGGGCTACATGCAAGTTCAGGACAATTATCAAAACAAATGAATTTTACTAAATAAATTTGTGCATGCACCTTTAGTACATCTTGGATTTCCAAGGCATGATATTTTCATACCTTGGAATATCAGGCTGAAATTTCTGCCCAAAACCCTACTAATTTGTCCTAGACTGAGGATTCTGATGAATGAGATAACATCTTATTCAGCCTACATTATGCTAATTCTTATGTATTAGGTAAATAGAAGCTGAGCAGTCAACCTCATTAGTAGTCAATCCGAAGGGCCATTAACTGGTTTAAAAGGAGTTTGACCAATGAGATCCTAGAGTAAAACAAACAAATCATCTGATTGTGCGCTGGATTTAACATGCACCAATCAGATGATTTGTTTGTTTTTCGGATAGAAAAGTTGTCCACTGATACCAGTGTGATTGAAAACCAAACTGGGAAACGAGTACATGTATATTTTTATGCCTTTAATGAGAGTAGAAAATCAATTTCATTATCAAACCTTTTTTGCAAACCCCTCCATTTTAAGAAAGGTGAGGATTGACAAAACTCCATTTCAAAAAGTCAAACAAGAACTCGAATGGTGTATTTGACCATTCTTGGAAACTGGATTTTCAGCTTAGATATAGTTACACAGGATCTTTTGAATGAGGCAGGTTTTGAATGGAGAATTGTTTCAACTTGAAGTAAAGTTGAGTGACAAATGCGCAAAATGACCTTTTTCCTATCTAAATTCTTGACATGATGTTGTCATAAAATTTCTGATTTTTTTGTGGTCTAAAATGTTTCTGATGACAGCCCTGCAGGGTTCACATAACTGTGCTATAAATCACAGAATTTTGATCTCTACCACTGAATATTTCACATCAATAGATGTATCTTTTTTTGTTCAATCATTTTTAATAATTATTTAAATACCTTGGAATACTATAGTAGAGTCTATGTCTTTGTTCTGTTCATGGTTCACTGGCATAGGTGCCCAGTCATAGTATGTGTAGTCTCTTGAAGATAGCCAACCAACCTGAAATGACATAAATGGTATCAAATTGATTTATTTACATGAGGGTGTGCACTGGCTGATTAGGGGGGGGGGGGGGGGCATGGGGGCCCGCCCCCCCCCTTGGGTGGGCCCAGAAAAAAAAATTTGGCCCAAAAAAAATGTTGGGCCAAAAAAGCCCTTCAGGCCCCAAAAAGTGGGCCTTTTTGGTCATTACTGGGCCTTTTAAGGCCTTATTTTTTAATTTCAGGCCAAATTTTGAAGAAAATGGGCCTCAAAAGGACGATTCTTGGTTTGGAGAACGAAGTTCATCAATCTAAATGAGCATTATCCCTGCTTCGGACAAATTTGATTTTTTTTACATAATATAGATTTGAATGTCTTCTTTTGAATAGTCATAATTTAATTTGGGTAATATTTCTAGATTTTTCGCCAAAAAATATTAGCTCAGTACACTGATGGACTTCTTTCCCCGAATCGAGACTTGTATTTATATTGATTCGGTCTATTTGAGCATTATCTCTGCTTCAGACCAATTTGTTATCTTTACATCTTGTAGATTTAAATGTCCTCTTTTGAATATTCATAGTTTAATTTGGGTAATATTTCTATATTTTTCATGAAAAAAATTATTAGCCCAGGAGACTGTTCTCCAAACCGAGAATCGTCCTTTCAAAATTTGGGCCCACTTTTTGGTTTTAGGGGCCCAAACATTTTTTTCGGACGTTTTTTTCTCTGACTTGAAATTTGGGCCCCCCCTTGTTGATTCCCAGATCCGCCCCTGGTGTGTACTTTTAGGTACACCCAGTCCCTGTATGTGTTTCCTTAAAAGCTTCACTTAAACAAACTGAGAACCTTCTAAGAAGCTCATGCTGAAAGAATATTCACCTTGTAAATTCCAACCCAATCTCTTGAGGTTGGAATGAGCTGTGATGTGATTGTAAAACGACAATCAATGTTGGCATCTGTCGGGTATGATTCCGCAATATTGTGGAAAACCACCTGAGCATAGTCTGGTACTTCAACTTCTGTATCTTTATCCATCTCGATATGCTCGAATTCTACTGCACTTTTAGGTTCTGCCATTTTTTATACTAATGTATGACTAGTATATTCTGGAAGTAGTCTAGAAAAATTATATTTGATTATCTTGAAATATGAATTTAGTTAGTGTGCCAATGATTCCCTTATAATTTTATTGCCTGAAAAAAGTGTTACACATCATTGCAGAAAATAAACCCTTTGTTACACATGTGACTTTACGTACATGCACTTTGAATAGAAGAGAATCATGTGAACACCCAAATGTTCTTCCTACATGTAGAAGTAATCATACATTTTCCAAATTCAGGCATGACGACATGTTCTGATTTTTAGTGTTTTTTCTTCATTCAGATTACTATTTCGACGAATTAAAAAAGTTATTGCTTGTGAAAACTGATAATACAAATCAGGTGCTGATGACGATTCATTGACACGATGACACATGTTTAATCTGACCAGTAATAATCTTAGAAATCTACTGCTGTCCACTTGACTTTTGTTTTGTTATGATTTTTTTGTGAGTCACAAAATTTTTTAGAGCATTTTCTCCCAAAATACTACCTATTAGGGATAGCAAATTGTTCTTACCAAGAGTTATTTATACACTTCGTATTCACAGTGACAAGGTGGCAAATTCCACGCTGACCTTTGAACAAGCTGAAAGACGAAATTATGAGGTTTTGTGCAGTTTTTCCATCCTGATTGCAAAGTTTATTTTGGTTCGTGACGTCATGAACTTTACATCGGCTATCTCCGCTTATTTCCGATAAATCTAAATAATTAATCTGAAGAAAATTGCAAATTTATCTAACTAGAAAAGACTTGAATAAGCAAAAAAGAATTTCAAACATATTTCAAAATAATATCACATTATTTTTTTCAATAATTACATCCTCAAGTTCAAAGGTCACGGCCATTGTCTATCCTCGGCATTTGATCTTGAGTTCAGTTTTGCTTATTTGTTGATCGTTTCACTGTTCACACACATTCCTGATCGTGATAACAAAAGATTAAAACAAGGGGAAGTACTACCGTTAGGAGCATGTCGACGCCGAAAAGAATTTGCATCATAGGGTCAGGAAATTGGTGAGTAAATCTGTCGACCTTGCTCAATTTTTGGAAAAATTCACGTCAACTCCGAGTGAACTGAACTGATTCAGTGATTGATTCACTGACTCGGCTATATACACCCATGTTACTGAACACACCTAGCTTTACTCGAGTCTCTAGTCAATACTTGGCTAGAGGTGATTTCATCTGGAATACTGTGAACTCTTACTCGAGTCTCTAGCCAATACTTGGCTAGAGGGGATTCATCTGGAATACTGTGAACTCTATTTGAAAAAAGCTGCCGGGGTGTCATAAATTTATTGAATATTTTAAAAATCGCCAGATAAATAAATCATTAATCAAACCGGACCCAGCTCGGCTCCTTGATGAGATATGACATGATTTCATCAGGATTTCGTCTAAAATTAAAACAAAATGGCTCCAAGAAAAATGGCGATGTTCGAAAACTGGACGAAATGTCGTTACGTCTGACATTAGTAACTGGCTGTAAATTCTAAGTTAGCGATCCAGAAGATGTGAACTAATACACTGATCACTTTGTGTGTGTTTTGGAATTTTTGGTGAGGTAATAAGACCAAAACTCGCAATTCAAATTGTGATGTGGAAAAATGGCGGACATATGATTTCAAATTTTATGATTACGACATGACCAGTTGTTCATGCAGGAATATATCTGTACTGGAAGGCCACGATACAGTGGCCTTAGAAGAAGGTAAGTGAACTCCATTTGAAAAAAGCTGGCCGGAGTGTCATAAATTAGATCTAGTCTAATTGAATATTTCAAAAATTGCCAGATAAATAAATCATCAATTAAATCGGAACCGACTCAACTCCTTGATGAGATATGACATGATTTCGTCTAAAATTAAAACAAAATGGCTCCAAGAAAAATGGCGATATTCGAAAACTGGACGAAATGTCGTTAACGTCTGACATTAGTAACTGGCTGTAAATTCTAAGTTAGCAATCCAGAAGATGTGAACTAATACACACTTCATTTGTGTTTAGGAATTTTTGGTGAGGTAATAAGGCCAAAACTCGCAATTCAAATTGTGATGTGGAAAAATGGCGGACATACATGTATGATTTCAAATTTTATGATTACGACATGACCAATTGTTCATGCAGGAAATTATCTTTCCAGGAAGGCCACGATACAGTGGCCTTAGAAGAAGGTAAACCTAGCTGAGGCACCGTCCATTGCATATCTATAGTCTACTATAGGCTATTGCTCACAGACCCCAGTATCCCCACACTGAAAGCATTTAGCAAGCAGATCTTCTTATTAGTTGTTCAGAATTAAAGGGCTTTAGGGGCGGGGTCAAAATATCGATGTTCATATGGAGACGAAAGTACTTTCGCGAGGGGGAGGGGGTTTTTGGGCACTTTCGTTGACCAAAAAAACATCGATAATTCGGATCTGATATACAAAAAATAATTGGACTTACCCACTTTTTCTGGCGCTATGTTCTGATAAAAAGGCTTGTTTTCAATAGTTCGTGAGCTTTTTTGTGTGATAGGTCCAAAATATCGGTAGATAAAGACGATAATTCGATCATTTTTCAAATGAATTCCGTACTTTTCCCTCCTCCTTTTGAAGAGTTCAATGCAGTTAAATTGCGAACGTGTGTTAATTCACCGTAATAATAAGCCGGCAAATAGGATACGATTATGCCAATGTTTTTTTGAAGTGACCTAAGCTTTCGTCTAGAGGGGGGGGGGGGGGGTGGGGGGGTTGTTGTCCAAACGAAATTACTTTCATCTCCATATGAACATTGATATTTTGACCCCGCCCCTTAGATCGTTTTAATCCATCTGCTAAAAGGTGGCGATACTGGTGCCTGTGCTATTGCTCACAGATAGCAGAATTTTTCTTAGGAAATACATCCTAAATAAATACAAAGTGAGGAAGGCTTTTTGAAAAACAAAACAGATCCGGAGCCAGATCCAGCCCCTGTTGGTAATAGGCTCAAAGGATGAATGGGAAGATGAGACACGAGCCAAAAATGGCACATCAAAAAAATGACCACCCAAAAATACTGACCCTCATACTGACCTTTATTTTTTCCAACTGTTAGACATTGATTGATCAATATTTACCCTGTAATCTCTTCTTTATGTATTAGTTTGAATGGTTGCATGATATCCATTATTGATGCTGTAATTCGACTTTTCCCGGGACATTTATTTCAAATTTTCAGAGCGTAAAGATAATGGAGCACTTCGGTAATTTCTGGGAGTGTCCGATGTTGTTCGTCTCTCAAATTACGTCACAATGCAACAAACAGCCAATGAAAGTAAAGAATCGCGTAGCCTAATAAACCGTCGTTATTGTTTCTACGGGAGTTTAAAGAAACGTCATGGGACTTCTCGGTAATCTCTGATGTGACGTCATCCGGAGTGGCGTCACATTCTCACAAAAGTCATTTGACTTCGGGAATAATCATTTGAACATCGGAGATAGCCGAAGTGCTCCATTAAATATATGCTCGCTTATTTTATGCTTTTATCAACAGAAGCTTTCTTGGATGTTTGGCTTTAGTGATTGGAGTTGAAGCTAACAACAGTACGCATCGTTTGAGGTATGGCATGTGATATTTATTGATAAACTGACTCAAAAATCAAGGAAAAATAAATTTTCCGAAGATGTCGTGTCTTGTCCTTGAGTATATTTATTGAGCCTACCCAGAGGAGGTTATCTGGCAGAGGTCCGTGAAAAAAAATTGAAAAAAAATTCTTCCGGGTTTATAATTTGCAAATTGTACATCATAAAACAGTTGAGAAATGACTAATCAATACAGATTTACGATTAACAGGGTTCAAGGCTTGAGTTAACAATGAAAACTTACCGCAAAAGGATCGCAGTATTGTCAGGTCTTCGAAGATTGTTGGAGAGTTTGAAATATTGATCGTTGTTCTTCGCATACGGCACTGGCAGTATAACTGCGCGTAAAGGGAATTACTCAGATGCGAGTATGTAGTAACCAGTTTCGCCACCAGGTGGCTGCCTCGGGGGAAATAACATGGCAGGGTATTACAAAATTCCCTTAAACTTGAATATTCATCAGTTTTAGTGGTTCACTATTCATATTACCCTTATGTATCTGATAGTTATACAAATTAAAATATGTCCAGTAAAAGAAAATATTATCTACCCAACACAAGAAAAGATATTTCAATTTTTGTGATATTACAACATGGGGGCTATGGGGAATCTCCCCGACCTAGAAGTCACATTTTCAAAGAAAATTAAATTTTCAAAGTTGATAAACTCTTTTCAAAACCATATTTCTAGATGTAATTTTACATGTAAATTCCAAATATGACATCAGTTTGACTGAATTTTTAATGACATGAATCAAGATCATTTCTACTCGCATCTAGGATATTGCGTCAATGCGTACCACCTTCGTTTGCGCAAATTTTCACCAGTTAGTTTTTGAATATAACATATTGTTGTGATGTTTAATTGATGCTAACATATCCCTTACATTTTTCTTTATCTTGGTGTGAAATAACAAGCTATGATATTGATTAACATGCCAGAGATTGAAATAATATTATTCGAAGCGTTATTAGAAAATTCGAAAATTTTGAACCGCCATATTTGTTTACCGATTTGGACCAATCAGGACAGTATGTCATCTCAATACTAGTGGAACAAGTAAGTTTTTAAAATATTTTGCTGTTTATTTAGTATCACGAGGCTCAATTTTGACCAAGAATAAAGTTAATTTGTTATAAAAAGACCGTAAAAAACAATGGTGCAGGTTTCATAAGGAGTATTATGATAGAAGAGATATCGGACTTTCAAAAACCGGAAGTAAAATTATATCCATTTTTTCCAAGAAGCCTGCCTCACTTTGTATTTCTTTAGGATGTATTTACTTAGAAAAATTCTGCCATTTGTGCTATTGCTATCTATTGGAAATCTGAACCTGTGAGCCCCATCATGATAACCACGCCCCCTTTTTCTTGATTTTTCCAAAGTGGCACTCAAAGGACAGATAAAAGTAGGTTTGGTAAACCAGAATATATAGGCCTGTTGATCATTATGAAGAATCCACAATTCAACTTCTGAGTCAGTCAAAGCCATGTAGAAACAAAAATAGACAAGATTCAACCTCCAAACACAGCCTATCTGGAAGCAAACAAAATTCTCACCAACTTTTAACGTGGATTTTGAGCTGTGAATGGTGAGAGATCCTGTAAAATGCAGTTGATCATAACTATCTACAACGGTTAGCATGAGAACTGAATAATGGATATATCAAGTTGATATAATCCTACTTGACTTCTCTAAGGCTTTTGACAGTCCCACAGATAGAACTCGGTGTGTTGTCCTTGATGGTAACAGTCCAAGTTTGCAGCCAGAGTGTGATGTTATCATATTAAAGAAATCGAGTCTCCTAAAAATACAATTAAAGTAGCCCCCTGATTTTTTCATTTTATTTGATGTAAAACAAGTTTGTTTATCAACTTACCAATGCTGAGGCTTGATCGTTAACAGTATCAATTTGATGATTGTTCATAGCCATGAATTTCCACTTACATCAATAGAAATTCAAAATAAAAATTAAAAAAGCCCGCTCAAATTTGTTCCAGTCTGGTTGGCTTTTTTCTTCAGTTTGAACAGATTGTTTTGGTTCAGAGGAGCCATATTTATTACTTCTAAGGGGTTAAAATATAGATGAATCCCCAAAAAACATTGTTTATTGTTTTCGACTTATTGTGTTCAATTCTGCTCTGTTGGTTGTCCTGTTGATTTCCTCATAGCAATTTATTGGTGAAATTGAGCTTCTGATTTGGTCTCAAGATATATCTTAGGTATATATGATGTTTTATGCGCAATTATATTGGGACATTTTTTGTTCATCCAATCCTAGTTTGATGTCACCTTTAGGGGCACATTTTATTTTTTGTATTTTCAAGTTTCTTCTTAAATAATGTCAGAGAACAATCATCACTTATAGAATTTCTTTTCTTATTTTACAGTTTAATATTACATTAACACATACATGTAGCTAAGCAAGGTGTGTCCAGCCAATCAGGATACGCTATTTCATGGAGCTGCATTCCGTTATGTAACCAATAACACATTTTTGTATTGTTGTCAAGGTGAAAACTTAGACTACAGATTGAAATTGATGATTTGCCAGCTTGACCCTTGCAAAAAGTTTCATTGAAAATATGTATCTTTAGGTGATTTTTTAGAAAATGTTTTGCAATGTGAATTTAAGCCCAAGACTCAATGCATTGTGGCTGCTTCATTTCACTCAGGCGTTATTTCCTAAACTTTGCATGTGTTTTCAGGGGCTCTGTTATCGCAAAAATAGTCGGAAACAATGTGAAGGACAATGGTAATTTTGTAACAGAAGTGAAGATGTATGTGTATGAAGAAATGATAAATGGACGCAAACTCACAGAAATCCTCAATACAGATCATGAAAATGTGAAATATCTACCAGGACACAAAATACCAGAAAATGTCGTAAGTGTAGATTTAACATTAATATCATCATAGATAGCTGTTGTAAAAGATAAGTGAATTTCATTTTGATTACTATTATTTACAGTGGCCTTCCAATAAGTAGAGATTTACTGGTCAAAATTCCAAATTTTTCAAATATCTACTTGGTGCCCTTGGTGCACAGAAATTTTCAAATCTCAACTGAGTGCAGAACTAATCTTGTGTATTATTATTTCAGATAGCCATAGCTGATCCAAAGGAAGCTGCCAAAGATGCCGACATCTTAGTCTGGGTTTTACCTCATCAGTTTGTTAGGGGAATATGCAAAGCTCTAGCTGGTAGTGTAAAAAAAGACTGCATCGCTATATCACTTATAAAAGTAAGAAATTTTCATTTAAGGTCAAGTGTTTGTGGAGTATTTTTTGTATGTATTTATATTGTATGTCTTACAGAGTTTGAGAACAATGAGTTGATGACAAATCTCTGCTGGATACTGGAAACCTGAGTATTAACAGGGCTCAAAAGATTTTCAAGATTATGACTCAGTAATAATCTTAAAAAACATTCAGGGTCAGAATTTTGAAATGAAAAAAAGTTGGAGGGAAAGTCAGGCTTTTAGTAGACTTTTAAAGGATCGGATACATCAGCAAAATATATCATTAAAAAAGATCAACAATATTCACTATTTTCAATTATATGTTTTCAGCTCTCAATCCAAGTGTTATAATTAAAAGTTTTTAATGTGTGAAAGCTTGGCTGTTTAGATAGGATTCCAAACAAAACATGTATCTTGTCATATAATGCTTTTTGATTTGGATTGTTCAATCAATTGATGACTGTATTAAGAAATGTGAACCAAATCGTAGAAACTACACTCAGGTGTCAGGTCACACATTTTTTGTTCCAAAAGGACCAAAGAGTTTAAAAGTTTATGTGCCCTGAATACCAGGTGTTCATTTACTGGTTGGATGGTTACTCCTTTGGAAGTTTAATATTGCTAATATATGATTAGAAAAGTTTAGAGTTAGGGACATATTATTTTAGTTTTTGGGGTGGTTGGTGTTTGGTATTCAGCATCTGTAACAAATGGCAGGTAGTGATATTTTGCATATAAATGCCTTAATTGTGTAAATGATCATCATTGTCAATGGCACTTTAAATATGTTGGTTGTGATTTTTTCCATATTCCACTTAATCCAAGGCCTCTGATGATATAAATGCATTTTAGAAACAATAGCCATGTGTTCAAATGTTTATTTCATTATACAACAGTCATTTTTTGTTGATTCATTTTGATTTTAGTTGTTCCTTTGGTCAGTGTTTCTGAAGTAGTTGATATTTTCCAGGATTTGAAACATATCCTTTCGGAGATATGAGTATTTAGCAGATGCACTGTGTGTTTGTAAGAGAACACAGGTATCCCAGGTAATTGCTTACTATTTATAAAAATTTCCATGGGGTGCAAAGGGATGCAGGCCTTTTTTGACAACACCCACCGGCAGGCCTGCTTCATTGGGAGATATGGCATGCAAATTGAAATCTAGTCCTATTTAGAATGTGTGAGCATTATGTACAATGCAACAATCATTTACAGGGCTTCCAATTGGGAGATTTAGATGGAACGTTACATCTTATATCCAATATAATCCGAGGTTTCCTGAAAATTGAGTGCGCCGTAATGATGGGTGCCAATGTAGTACCACAGGTTGCTAAAGAAGAGGTCTGTGAAGCCACTATAGGTATAAATCATGATAGACATTCACACGTAAGGTGCCTGCCTCGTGCTGTGCCTGGTGGCTTTTAATTAATCCTCTTACATGTTTATGTACTGTATGTATATAGGCAAGCCAAAAAAGACCTCAAAATGCACTGTAGGGGTAATTCAGGTCTTTGATGTATTTTCATATAATAATGACTGTGGCAATGTATTTTGAGGTCTCATTTTTGGCAGCTACTGTACATAATCTGGCTACTGAAAGGGGTTATATCCAATTTATTTGGGTATGGTAGCTTGCTTGTTATGCATGTGGTCCATATTTGTTCTGGTGGTAAATCCATTTGGATAAATGTCATGTCAATAAATACATTTAGAAAGGTTAGCACAACATTCTCACTTAGCAATCATACATACCATTTTTAGCTGATTATAGACTGTGTTCATTAAAGAAACACAAGAGATATACTTAAGATCTGATATCCTAATGGATATTGCAATCAGAAACATGGACCTTATTTTTAGAGCAGAGAAAATGAATATTGCTGACAAGTTAGCTGTTTTATTCTCTAGGGTTACTGCTGAATGAATGAATATAATGCCTCCAGGCCCGTAGCCAGGATTTGCCAAGGGGTGGTTCAGTTTTCAAAAAAATTTCCAGGGGGGTTCACATTTGACAATTTTGGCCCAAATATGGCTCAAATCACTTGAGTAGTACTCAAAATGGTGAAAAAATGCATGGTATTGAAAGAATTTTTGGCGGGGGGGGGGGGGCGAACCCTGCGAACCCCCCTTGCTACGGGCCTGGCCTCCATGCTCCAGGCACCACTTGCTGGCACTTCTTCAAGGCACATCTTTCATCCAGCATTAATCATTTCAGTTCAGCACCAACTAACAAACCTATACAGTATTATGTTCTATGTGTAGCGATTTTGCATGCAATGGTTTTGTAAGATCCTTATTTTAGGCATAGTCATTGTGTGTTTCATCTTATTCATTTACTGTGCTACCTGCTTGTCATACAAATTTCATTTCCTCACTCCTAATATGATTTCTATCCTTCAGTCATCTTTCATCACGTTTTGTGTTGTTTTTGTTGATTTCAGGGTTTAGATATCAGTGAAAAAGGTCTAGACTTGATCTCTAATGTGATTCGGGAACAACTGGGAATAGAATGTAGTGTATTAATGGGGGCTAACATCGCACCAGAAGTCGCAAATGAGAATTACTGTGAAGCAACTATAGGTAGGAGTCCGAATGAGTCACTATGTTTTTACGAAGAAAACTTATTGGTCATTGGTATTTCACTAGATATACCTGTATTTTGATAAGCTTTTAGGGCTCCTCATTGGCTTCATGTGACTTCGAAATTTTCAGTTCTCGGAGAGTATTTTTATGATTTTTATGGATGGGCGTGTGATTGGGATGAAAGAACCCAAAATGTATTGATTCATCAGAGAGATATGCTTATAGTATTAGATACATACACTGTAATATCTTTAAGTGTTAAATTGAAGTGATCCTGTGATAAATATGTTACATCTCTAATTATGATCATGAATATAACTAGATACAGTAAATGCAGAAGTTTGCATGTATTCAGTGAAAGAATCTTTTTATGAATAATCTTGTGTCTAACTCAGATTCTATTTTGCAATAATGGGGTGATTAACGGTCTGTCATTTTTCACACTGTACTTTGTACAATCAAGTTCAATGCAAATAAAGTACAACATGTACTCAGAGATTGTTCTCTATGTTGTAACATCATGCCCCATGTGCATAGAGTACATTTATCTTTTAGTTCTACTTAACAGACATGCACTCAATATTCATGATTTATTTAAGATATACAATATTTAAAGATTTACTTTTTGACTGAAGAAAATTCACAGGATTGATTACTGAAAATATCCTTAAATATGTTGGTTTGGAGAGGTTCTTTCCTCGAGGAAAAATGAGAACTTGCCATCCCAATCAAGATCGAGTTTAAACCTTATCCTATTGATTACATAACTGTAAATCAAGAAAAACAACACAAACCTAAATTTGATCAATTATTAATGAATATATTTTGAAGCCATTTTTTAAAGTCTGGCATTTGCCAATGTTTTTAAAGACTGATATCACAACCTGATTTGATTAAACTAGAATTTTCATAAGCAAAATACACTAAACAAAATCTGTTATTATATGGATAAATTCCAGTAATTTTGGTGATGGGTAATGCATCGATGACTCACATCCCCTTGACATCTAAATTGATGCAATATTTAACATTATCAGGACCTCTTTTCTCACAAATCATTTTAATGTATGCACCTTTTATCGTTTTCTAAAAATCATTAGTGGTTTTGATTCATGAAAATTTATATTTTATGTTCCTCCATTAATTTATGCATGCTATTTTATCTGCTGCTAGTAATTACTTGGGCTAGGCTTAACATTGTGTGAATTCCAAAGAGATCCATGCTTTTAATCTACATTGTTAAATCTATTATGCAACAATATAGTTCCATCCATCACAATATAGTTATTATTGTATTTGAGGATGATTATTAGGATAGTATAGGGCTTGAGCAAGCTATTGGTAGCACTTTTAGTCCCATAGAAGTGGATTTTCAAACTTGCTAGAAGAAAACATTTTCCTGAATCATAATTTTACTTAATGTCTTACCTTTCATTTTTTATTGACCCAGAGATAACTTTTTGCATCGATATTGAAAAAAATCAGGATGATATTACAAGCCCCAACTTTGGCTCTTCGGAAAGGACACACACATAATTGCAATTATAAAGGGTATATATAAGTTTCAATATATGTTCCACATTTTTTGTTTTAAAGCATGCACATATATGGTTCTAAATAACTAATAGTTTTTATCTGAATCATTATCATAGAAATGAATTAGGAAGACCAATCTCGTCACTTGGCCCGTGATTTCGGCAAAAAAGTTCAATCATTTTTCCAATTACGATAAAACTTAATAATGTTGAATATCCTGTTGATTTTTCCTTCTGTCTGAATCATTACAAAGTCCTTAATAATGTTTGATTATATATGAGACAATCATGATAGTATATATGTGTACCATATGATGAAACTACACTTGTCCAAAGCTCTTCGGAAAGGACATTTTTTAGTGTATTGCTAAATACTGTTTAACAGATTGAATTTGAGGGAGCAATTTTCGGAGATTGTACATTTCTTTCTATTCATGTATTCATGTTTTCGAGATTTACCACTGATTACATCATTAACTGTGATTTTTCATAGGTAAATATATGGGCGATAATAGGGCAAAACATCATTAAAGTCATCACTTTAAGGCTATCATGAATGTACTTGTAGTTTTTTAGTTGCTGGGCTGGGGACATGTAGGCCTATGAAACAGCATTATGCACAGAAACGACTCAATTGTTGGTGGTAATTGTCAGTGAATTGAACCTATTATCACAGGAAAAATAGTGATGAAGATACAATTTTATATTTGCGGCATTCTTCATTTGCAATTTTACACTTGAGTGTTTTAAAGGGTTTTACAGTACTGTTCAAATCAAGATTCAATGTAATATTTGTAAACATTGTGCTAATGCCTTTATACATCAGTAGAAAAGTTAGTTATAGACATCCAATACAGCATTCCTAATCAGAGACTGAATTGCTCTTCGGAAAGGACACATTTACTTTTGTAGTTCCTGTTTAAGTCTAAGTTACTTCAGTAAAGATATTTTATGTATAAAAGTTCATCAGAAAATATATTCCAGTGTGTTTCTCTTCAATATTGTTGGTAAATGCACTGTTTTGACAGAGTTTGTCTTTTCCGAAGAGCTCTTCGGAAAGGACTTTTTTCTTGTGTCGGAATTTTAAAATTGATTTAACAGGTATATGACAGTTCAAAGCTATTTATTTGTTTTGAATATTCAAGAAACTAAATGCATTTTGTTTTAAAATAGTTTTTAGGGTATCATATTACTTCAGTCTTAAAATACACATGCTCTTCGGAAAAGACATATGCGTGTCGGAAAATCAGTTAGTTATTTTGAGAGCCAATATCTCAGGAACCACTACAGCCTTTTCTATAATTTTTTTAGTGACAGAATTTTAACATTCCGTACTTTTGATATCATCTTAAAAAAACTGTAAGCAAAGATTGGAAAATATGTTGAAAAATTCAGTGTTTTTTAACATAAAATTTACAATGAAATGTTACACCAATGGTTGTGTGCTACAAGCAGTTATAAAAACTCTATACACTATTATGGACACACTTGTTGCATATCACTTTAAAGCAAATTCCTTAATCTTTCCAATGCAGCCAAATTACTTTAACTTACTCTATTCAAGTACATGTTTGAAGTATATATGTAAAGGTGGATTTTTTCTTGGGAATTTGTTACATAGAGAATAAGGCATATTTTGATACATGAAAATTTATAAAAAAATTATCATTCATCTTTCAAAAAAATGATATCTTCCTCAGACATATAGTGGGTATACCTAATTAATAAGACTGATTTCCCATCTGTATCTTAAGCCTTGCATTTCTTCTGGGTGCCAATATGAAAGTGCTACCAATAGCTTGCTCAAGCCCTATACTATTACACTGTGTGTTTCCTTATTGCTTATATTCTTAGATAGATCAAATTTTAGGCACAGCATTAAAGAAACAATTTAAGACAAACAACATTCATTTCATTTTAAGAAAAACTATCAGAAAGAATAAATAAGCAGGCAGAGGTTTAATCATTAAATATAGAGCAATCTAAGCAAGCTAAGTATTTAAAATGACATATAGATATTTCTGAAATAGTCTTGCATCAAGATCCCCTATCAAACACCAAAAAGGTTGTACAAGTATTTAAAAGAAAGTTAAAAAACAGATCTTAATGCAAGACTCACTATGACAGAATTGGTCAATATAATTTACTTTTGCTTGTGTTAAATCTTGCAGGTTGTAAAAATCGTGAAATGGGTCTCTTACTAAAGAGCATGGTCCAAACTCCATACTTCAGAATAGTTGTAATAGATGATGAACATACTGTTGAATTATGTGGTGCTTTGAAGGTGAGAATATAATTTATAGTTTAATATAAACATTTTGAAACATGTACAGTATAAATGTTATTTGTATTGACTTATAATCTGTGAACTGTATTATGCCTCATTTACAAATTTAATGTGAAGACTTTCAGTAGAATTATGGAATTACAGCATTTTCATTTGTCTTATTTTTTATCTGAGATGTTGTTCTTGTAAAAAACATATAAATATAATGAATCCAAAAGTATCAATGTAAGTAAAACATGAAATTGTATACATAGTGCCATGGTCTTTTATATCTTTCAATTTAGCCAGCCTTCTGAGGCAATTTTCACCGGTTGCATTCACAAAATCGCCTGTTGTTTTTAGTGACTTTTCAACATAAATTTAATAATCATTTTTTGGATGGTAACATTATAATTTGAAATATATATTTTTCTGTATATTGTTTTAGAAAACACATTAGACACTTCTTTTGTTCTTCGTATCATATGTTCGGAATGAAATGAAACATCTAATCCGAACCTCATTGGAACAAAAAGACATAAACACAACGTGTTAAGGTCTCTCAATATTGTAATTGTACAAAGGAAAGTTTGGTTTTTTTTTTTTTATATTTTTATATTTCCTTTATTTCATAATACATCATACAAACAGATACAGGGCCTACGCCGAAGCATTATTGGCCCTGTTGAAGTAGTTACAATATAAGTTAAAATAGGTCATAATGTAAAAATGATAGATATAGAACATATTTATGAACATGAAAATAATCTTGAAAACATGAAGACAGGTCAGAGATATATGTATAAATTAATGAATATTGGACTATTTAACTTCCTTGACAATAGAGTGTAAAAACTCGGCTGTTAATTCAATAGCCTTTTTATTTGTAATTGTGTCAAGAGAAGGATCTGCAAAAAGTAGAAAGTCTACCCTGTCCTCCTGTTTTCTATTATTAAAAGAGTTTAAATTAAAGGATGGCAGTCCCCCTAGTTCTCTGTGAAAATTGAGTCTTTGAGTGTTAAAAAGAGGGCAATGGAGCAATAGGTGTTTGGTTGATTCAGTAGAGTGACCACATTTACATTTGGCATTTGGAATATTTTTGAAGTTATGTGTAAAAAGATGCTGCCTAAAAATGAGATCACATCTCGTTTTATTTAAGACAATTTCTTTATCTCTGGATAGGTTTAATCTTGGGGTTGTGAATTCTTACTTTTTCCCATTCAAAAATGTTCTAATTTTATACTTAAATGAGTTGCGTGAGTGTGCTTGTTTCAGTTCATCAGGTAAATTATCCCATAATTTAATACTGGATAAAGCTGTAAACTTTCTAAGTTTAGCAGATGCTTTGAATGGGATCTTAAAATCATTGGTACGACGAAGTCTTTGGTGGGTTACCTGATTCTTATACTGTTCAAAAACATTTGAAACATATGAAGGCATCTTATAATTATTTACAAAGTCAAACATAAAAACTAGTTTTTTTTCTTTTCTTCGATTGGATAAGGATCTCCATCCAAGACATGCCATCACCTTCTCAGAGTTTGACCCTTGGATGCAACCACTTACAATAAGACCCGCTCTATATTGGACTCTATCTAAACTTGCTAAGAGGTTTAGATTTGCGCTGTCAAAAATAATATTGCCATATTCGAGATGTGGGAGAATGAATGCCATGTAAATTGTCTGTAAGTGTTTTGATCTTACTGAAAATTTGAGTGCTTTTAATGGATTTAACATTTTATTACACCTAGTAATCACTGAGTTAATGTGTTCTTCAAAGCTAAGGTGTTTGTCTAAAATGATGCCTAAATGTTTATGGCTATTTACAAGAGGTATTTGCTCATTACTCATTGTTACTGGAATTTGTTTCTTAACTTTTCGTGTGTGTTTAGATTGAAAGATAACCTCCTTACTCTTAGATGCCTTAAATTTGAGTTTCCATTTAGTGGACCAATTAGCCATTTCATTGATATCTGATTGAATTTTTTGATTTGTTGTTTCAACTGATTCATTCTTTGGTACTGTCAAGAAGATCGAACTATCATCAGCATATAAGAAAAGTTTACAATTATGAACTGAGTCTGCTAAGTCATTAATATATAACAAAAATAATAGGGGGCCAAGAATTGATCCTTGGGGAACCCCACTATTTATTTCATAGGATCTGGAGTCTCGATTTTGACGATTTTGAGGAATATTTGCACCAGTTTCAGCATTACATGAAATGTCTGAATAAGTATCATTGATCCTTACTTTTAATTTCCTATCTGTTAGATATGAGGTCAATAACTCTATAATATTGTTGCCTAATCCATAAGATTTCATCTTATGGAGTAACAAAAAATGTGGGACTGCGTCAAATGCACCTTCCACGTCTAAAAATATTCCACGGGTTGCTAGGTTAGAGTCAAAATTATCGGCTAACATATTAACAATAGAAAATAGTTGCTTCTGTGTATTATGGCCTGGTAAGAACCCGGACTGATTTTCATAAATGAGGTTCTTCGAGGAAACATGGTCAAAAATTGCTGTATAAATTATTCGTTCAAAAAGCTTTGAGAGATTATTGAGGAGGCAGATTGGTCTGTAGTTGGATGGGTCTGTTTTTGAATTTTTATTCTTATATATAGGAACAATTATACCCAGTTTCCAGCAATCAGGAAATGTATTTGTCTCCAAGAAAATAGTAAATAATTTAACTAGTTCAACATCGATAGAGTCAGCCACAAGTTTCAACATTTTGTTAGTGATATTATCTTCTCCACCTTTTTTGGATGAATTAAGGTTCCGTAAGTTATCATTCATATTTTTTCGAGAAATATTTATGTAAGTCAAAGATTCATTTGTTTTCATAGGACAGGGCGGCAATGACTTATCAATTATATTATGGTGGAACTTAGTCATGAACTTATTTAAAAAAGCATTTGCTTTTCCAAGGTCATCATCAATAATTTTATCATTTATCTCAAGAAGAGGAATGCCTGTTGAAAACTTGGTTCCTATAAGTTTCTTTATAATTGTCCAGTAGTTTAGGCCATTTGCTGCTTCTTCATCCAAGTTATTACAAAGTTTATCTTGATAGTTGTTCTTTGAGTCAGTAATTAATTTGGTAAGATATGCGTTTTGCTTTTTAAATTGGTTGATGTTTAAGTCATTAAGTTTGGTTGATTTTAAAAAAGTATCTTGTTAATGAAATAAAAGGATTATCTTGATTTTTATCTATTTTGGGGGGTTTTGTTTTAAGTCTTTGCATACTTCTTGTTAAATCAACCAAAAATTTCCTTTGTATAACTATAATATTGAAAAGTGTCTAAGAAAATGTTGTATATGCTATTTTGTTCCAACAAGGTTCGGAAAGACATTTTATTTCATTCTCAAGAATTGGTAGAAAGGAATAAGAAACAATTGTACCAAAAACAAAAATGTTAACAAAAACATTTATATAAAATGTATATAAATAATTTTTGCATTAAATTGTTGCCAATCAGTCAACATTACATAAAGGATCGTGTTATTTTACAGAATGTTTTCAATAATTGGTTTAAGAGAAAAACATTGTTGAATTCAGTTCACCATATCAATACCTATCCTTTATGATTTCCATAAATTTTGCCTGTTGGTTTTAAATTATTTAGCCTGTTGTGAGAAATTCTAGTGAAACCCCTGATGAAGTGTGATGTATTCTTATTGCCACCCTTGTGTGACAAATGTAGACAGTCAGCATCTATAACAAATTATTGCACTTTTGTAACCATTTGCAATTTACCTACTGTATGTAATTTCTATTCACCTTAGTATTGATTGTTGTAGAATATTGTAGCTGTTGGTGCAGGGTTTGTGGATGGGCTAGGCTATGGGGATAATACAAAGGCAGCTGTCATCAGGCTAGGACTTATGGAGATGGTTAAATTTGCAGAGACATTTTATCCAGGTAGATTTTTTCACATATTTTCTACGAAAAATCTATAGAGCTCAATGTTACATGTGCGCGTATAAGGTTTAGGTACTGGGAGGTTTTGGATACAGAGTTTATCGCAAAGAAAATATGTGGATCTCCCTAGACCATGGGGACTAAAAAGAAAACCACCTCGTTATTTTTATATGCAATTTCATAAAGTGTCCCAAATTGTATCTTTCACTGGCAGTTGAGTCAAAGTTTCTGGAAAGGTAGATTAAAAGTATGTAGTGTACTGTAGTTATCCTTTTGGACTTTAGTGTATAATCTACCTATTGTATAATCTTTTGTTTTAGGCTCAAAAATGGACACATTCTTAGAGAGTTGTGGAGTTGCTGACTTGGTTACCACATGTTACAGTGGAAGAAATAGGAGAATTGCAGAGCAAGTTGTCAAAACAGGAAAAGTGAGAACTTTATGGCATATTTACTAAAGCTCTTGATTCCAATATTTGCTGAATACATCATGATATTTAGAACTAGAACTAGATTTAAAACTAGAATACCCGTAAATGGTTTCGTAATTGTCATACATTATTCTGGATATCAAAAGAATGATTAACATAAACTCACTGTTTTCTAATCGCCTTACAATATTTTAGGATATCAAAACCTTAGAGAAGGAGTTACTGAATGGTCAGAGTCTGCAAGGTCCACCTACAGCTGCTGAGGTTAACACAATGCTCTGTCAAAAAAATATGGAAGAAAAGTAAGTTATCATTTAACAAGGTACTCACTGAACAATACCAAAAAATTAAAAAAGCCATGTTAAACATTACTTTGTATGCTCAGAAGTATAATATATGCCTTCCTCTCAGCTGAAAATCCCTGTTTCCCTATATAAGTATCTGTTTCCTTACCAAGAGTAGGGTACTTGCTAGTTTGAAGGGATATAGTCTTGAGAGACTTGAATTAGATTATAATCTGTTTTACAAATGTATCCTATTATGGGAATTGTGAATGCAGGAATTGCTCAACATTTGAAAATGATAAATGAATCAGTATCCCAAAAAGTCGAGTTTGTATACTCTGAATTCTTTTCACTCGCAATAATACTTTGGCAGTTATTTAGAAAAAAGGAATAGTCCATTGACCAAACTTGCACGTTAAACTTAAGTTCAGGAAAAGTAATATTACCAATAACAAAATCAAGAAGCCAGCAAAAATAAACTGTGAAATTTGAACTTTGACCCAGTTGAAATTGTCAAGTACTCGTTAAGTTAAAAATATTTGGAGATGTTCACATAATGTACTTCTACTTAATTTGGTGCCATTTAAGTTTGACGGATCCACCAACTTGTTTAAGGCTGCCAAATTAAGTAGCCACCAAATTCAATATTGAATATTTCACTTGAGAATTTGAATGGAATGGTGTATACATTTCAATATTGCAAGTCTGCCAAATTAAGTATTCGCCAAATGTTTAAAACAGCAAATCTACCAAAAACAATAGCACCAAATTAGGTAGAAATACTAGCCTGGGGGTTCACGCCGTATTAATCTAATTGTTTGTTTGTATGTTGCAGGTACCCTCTCTTCACAGCAGTGCACAAGATTTGCAAGGGAGAGTTAAAACCAATAGCCTTCATAGACTGTCTCAAGAATCATCCAGAGCACTTGTAAATAATTAGCTAATTTTTTGTGTATATAGAAAAGTACTCAGACTTAAATGAATCATGCATGAAGTTCATTTTGTTAAAATATATTGAATGAATTATGTACACTGTACAGATGAATGGGTGAATACTATAAATTATTTATATTTTTGGAAATTTGCTTCAGACAGTTTTATTATAGGGAGAGTTGAAATAAACCATATGCAGGGTGTTACAATCAAACAAACCAATTTGATTCAAATTAATGCATTCTAGTGTTGTTTGTATGTATGATGCAGCATTTACTTATCCACTCCCTGTAATTATATGAATCCCACACCAAGTTCTAGATATTCAAGTTGTTGCATGACTGCTTCCTTCGGCACTTACTTTTTTCGACATTTTGCCTTATCTTGCCCTGTTTTTTTGCATCTTAATTTTTTCATGTCATGTTATGATGGCTATTTGTCCTTATTTGTTTGTAGCTTAGGTAGAATATTCGTAATCACATAGTGTAGTTCATTGCATGTGCTTATTCAGTAGTTTTTAATGCTAACAGAATTTACTATTTGTAACTATTTTACTATTGTTCATTGCATGTGCTTATTCAGTAGTCACTAATCCATTTTGATTTTTTAATGCTAACAGAATTCACTATTTGTAAATGTGTGATTCCTTAATTAAAACATGTAGCAGTGTATGATGTTGTAGCTTAATTTTTTAGCTTTAATATATTATTTGCTCTCTTATGTTGCATGCTTTTTGTTTGTGTTTCCAGAGATGATGACATGCCAAGCCCTGCTCAGCTATAACCAGATACCAGCATGCATAGATTTGTTTAATTTAGGCATTTTTGTAACATATAGTGTCTAATTTACTTACAAAAATCAGCTTGATGCACTAACAAATAAACTATTGCCGAAATTATAGACAATCCTTTGAATTGATAGAAACTGTTTTGAACCGTATCACACCTAACCATTGACAATGTACAATGACAAAATATATGGGTGTACACTTTGGCTGTACATTGTTTTATATTAATGATCTGAAGCAGAAACTGTGATGTTGGTTTAAAAAATTTATCTGGGGAATCTTATGCAGTATTCTATGTTTAATTATCCCATCGAACGAAGTTCGGAGGGATATAGGGAACGCCTCCGTCCGTCCGTCCGTCCGTCCGTCCGTCCGTACGTCCGTACGTACGTCCGTACGTACGTACGTACGTACGTCCGTCCGTCCGTCCGGGTAATAACTCAAATACCGTTGGCCCGATTTTGTTCATATTTTGTACACATATACCCTATGGGGGTAGAAGTTCTGCTCGAAAGCCGATTTTCAAAATGGCCGCTCATTTCAAAATGGCGGCCATTTTAGTGCCGATTTTACAGCAATTTAGGTGCAATATGTAAAACTGTTATAGCAATATGTTTTAAATGTAAAAAATGATAAAGGACAATAATAATGCTACAAATGTAGATGTTAAAGAAGCACATGGCAGCCATCTTGAAAAATGGCGGCCTTTACGCGTCATTTTACGATTTTTGCTGTAACTCAAAAAATAGTGGAGTGATTTTGTTCATATTTGGTATGTGAATACTATAAGCATTGCACACTGTCTAAAGACACTTTTGGTAGAAGGCGGCCATTTTGAAAAATGGCCGCCATTTTAACGTATTTTACTATAACTTGAAAAGTAGTAGAGTGATTTTGTTCATATTTGGTATGTGAATACTATAAGCATAGCACACTGTCCTATGACACTTTTGGTAGAAGGCGGCCATTTTGAAAAAAATTTTGAAAAATGGCTGCCATTTTAACGTATGTTGCTATAACTCGAAAATTAGCGGAGCGATTTTATTCATATTTGGTATGTGAATACTATAAGCATGGCACACTGTCCTATGACACTTTTGGTAGAAGGCGGCCATTTTGAAAAAAAATTTGAAAAATGGCCACCATTTTAACGTATTTTACTATAACTAGAAAAGTAGTGGAGCGATTTTGTTCATATTTGGTATGTGAATACTATAAGCATGGCACACTGTCTATTTCTAATGACACTTTTGGTAGAAGGTGACCATTTTGAAAAATGGCCGCCATTTTAAAGTATTTTACAATAACTCGAAAAGTAATGGAGCGATTTTTTTCATATTTGATATGTGAATACTTTAAGCATGGCACATTGTTTAATAAAACTCTGGGGAGTAGTCGGCCATTTTGAAAAATGGCCAACATTTTTATGTGTGTGTTATTTTACAAGTACGTGTGCGATTTTTCAAAAATTTTAGAAGTGGCTACTTAAAAGCATATTATTTCTTCTGATGACAACTTTGCAAGTGAGCAACCATTTTGAAAATGGTGGCCTTTCTGGTGTGTTGTTTTATGATATTTGCTATTCGTTTGTAAAAATGCCAGCCATTTCTGTTCGATGGGATTCGCTACGCTTTGGCGTTGCCGTTGTTCTGGTTTCATTTGCATGCTTTCATGTTCATGTGGCAAGATTTTAACTTTGTAATTATGTAAAAAATGAATATAACCAATATTTTGATCAATTATGTGGATAAAGCTTTTAAAACCTACATCACAATTTATTCTTCAAATCGTTTATGTAGAGCTAAAGTGTGCCCCTGTATATTTTGTCACTGTATGTTGTCCATGGTTAGGTGTGTTTGTATTTATAATAAATAACTAGTCAGTATTACAACTATGGGATTCAAGACAAGAATTTTGACGAATGAACTAAAAGGAAGCTTTAAATGGTATGTTGTTCAGCATGTTTATTTTCTCTATTTTTGTGTGTCAGCTCTCAATTGTGTTTGTAGTAAAACATCTATATGTGAACAACTCAAGACATTTTGACATTGATGGTTTCAATTGTTTCCCAAGTGTTCAAATTAGATCAGTTGTAATGTCTATGTGTTGCAGTAATGAAATCCAAATCATTCTCCAAACCTTTTGTTCATCGTGTTGCTTCTTATTCTCTGCAGACCCTTGATTCAGATCCTGCGATTGTCAAAATAAAGTGATCGACTAGACTCTCTGTTTTTATCACTCATTTACTGACACTTTCTGACAAGCTATCTACATTTCGAAGCATCTAAGATTTGACAGGGGATCAAGAGTCTGCAGAGACAAGAGGCATGATTGCACTGAATGAAATACTAGGAGATTGATTATAATGTATGTGTATTCACATTTGTTTAAGTGCCAGAATAGAGTCCAGTTTGGTGTTAGTTGGTCATAAACTTGAGTTAAAACATGAGCACTTAGTTTATGGAGTCTATGGTAATTGATTCCTCCCAGTGCAAAGTTTGATGTTTGTTTTCATCCTATACAATATAAACAATGTAAACATCTTGGTATAGATTTAGATGTAAAATGTGCCATAGTCATGCATCAGGTTCCAGAATTAAGCCGCCCACACTTTCCACTTCTGCAACTATGGTAAGATGGAGAGGGGTAAATAAGGGGCTTGATGCATGATTTAGAGTGCCTCTTGAGCGAAAGGTGTTAAGGAAAGCTTTGACAGGGTCCCTTTATGTACATGTAATTTATGTGTAATTGGAACTTGAACAGATTGAATGCAATATTAATATTGTTAGTGTCATATTATATGAAAAATTCAGATTTTTTTCCATTGAAGCATGTACCTCTGGTATAATTATTTCACTTGTACACCCGAGTATTAAAAAACAGTGTTAAAATGTAAATAATTGTTAATTAAACTTTATTTGCTACATTTTGTGCATTGATATTTTGTATCCAAAATCAGACGGTCATCAGGCTAGCTGAATTTTGAGTTTTGAAAAATACTTGTTTTACCCCTGATTGGTATATTTTATAAATGTCATATTTATAATTCTAATATGATACATGACGTCAAAATAGCTAGAACAATTGATTTACTAGTCTATATTGGAGTATGTATGACCTCTAAAATCCATAAATGCAAATAGTTGTGTTTCTTGTCTGTTTATCATATTAGAATCTTAACAAAGACCTTGATTTATTATGTTTTATGTCAAACATATGACCTCAAATTATATTCTGGCCATTGCCGAAGACCTCAATCGCTACGCCATAAATCATAAAATCTCGGTCTTAAAATTAATATTAAATTAATATTTGATTTTGTCTGTTGAAAAATATCTGAAAACTGAAAAAAAACATCTACAAAGGAACTCATTGAAAATAGAATGGGTCATATGTGAATGACACAAATGTGTTCAAATGTCTAGAATTAGTGGATTTCCTCAGATGGATCTGAATTGTTTAATATTGAACAATATTATTGTTCTACACATTTGTACAATATTGGAGGTAATAAAAGTGATGATTAATGTAAAACTGTATTTAGTTTTATTATTATTGTATTCATTTAAGTGTCACCCATACAATCAGACAAGTACTTGTACAAGCCCGAAGACAGGACTTGTGGGGTGGTTTTATGCCAAAAGCTTGCAATGTTAAAATTACGAGGTATTACGGGTCCTGTAATTTCTAACGGATTAAGTAAACACTGTAACCGAATGATTATGTGAGGAAAATTACATGCATTTGTATAGATTTATACATACAGATTGCCATTTTGATTTTACATGCAAGCTTAAAGTCTCCATTGTCAAATGTGAACCCCCCTGGAATTTGTTTGGAAAGTGATCCCACCTTTTGCAAAAAAACTGGCTGCAGGCCTGAAGAAACTACTATAAATAACTTCAGTATGGTGATATTTAATTTTGTGTTTTTGCCATTTCTTCGGGATACTAATGGTGCATCGATCTCCCCCTGCACCCTGTTGAAAAATGTAAAAAGCACATGCTATACAGCAGTGTTGAAAATCTATTTGAAACGGTCAAAAGGGTGACTATTGAAGTATTTTGAAAAATAGGGGAGATAGAATTAAGCATGACAAAGACCTGAAGAGATCACCAGATGGCTTTTTACAATTAGAGTTTTTCTCCACAGAATACCAGCCGTCCTAGTGGTTTCAATTTAGCTAGAAACTGTTTTTAGGGAGTATAAAAAAATATGTCCACATCGTTATATGCATATGTTTTAAAGCCTGAATATTGACCAGTCTTAGTTGTGGTCACTCAGCAACTATTTTTGACACTTATTAACTTGAACATCATTATCCCGAAAATCGCTGCATCCTGTGAATACGGGGCTTTTATATCCAGAATTTTTTCTCAAGTGAAAATCAATTTATTATGCCATCCCCAGATGTGTTGACATATTGTTATATAGACTCCAACTTTTTTTGGACGATGTCTGCCAGGTGTTTAGTCTGTAACAGTGCTCAGCTTGGTGTCTGTAATAAACTGGTGTCAAGCACCTAACTTCTGATAAAAACACCACAGAATAGAACTATATGTAAGAGATTCATTTTTTGTACATTTATTACTTTAAAGCATGAGTACATGCAACATATTTACCACTACATGACTTTAACTGTCAGCTGAAAAAATATCAGAAAGGACGAAATTTCATCCTTTTTTGCTAATGTCTAAAGAAAGTTTGGATTATCAGCAATCAGTGGCTATTAAATTTGTAAATTTGTGTATGATATGGTATACAAAGCTCAAATCAGGATTTCTTACCAAATATTCTCATTTTTCATATATCCATCTTGAAGTTTTAATTGACTACAATATTGTTAATTCGACAATTACTACAGTAACCAAATATGGTTTGGGGTGGAACAGGATGATTCAAAAACATTCATTTTTGCTACAATAATAACCACTGTTTAATTGTCATTTTTTGGCTCGCAGATGACTGGCATAATGTACATAGAAGTATAATGTTAAACATTGAAAGATTGTGATGTTTGAGTCAATTAAACAACACACTTCCTATAATTTCATATAATATATTTCAATGTTCACTCATTTGTAAACTTTTTGATAGGGTTCCCGATTTACATTAGGCTATTATTCACATTTACTCTTTATTTTCCCATACTTCACACAGTATGACTTGATTGTATATTTGACTTGTGACTATTCATACTTTTTGACTATGGGTCACTTGGTCCGCTTCCCTTTGTCAATCTTTGATATTATGATTGCATTTATGTGCCTGTGTGTACTATAGTACATTCCCATCATCAAGTAGTGTTTGGGGCACTAGAAGTGGATGGTTCTGTCAATGTGTTTTCAATATTATCTGTACTTTCTGTGGTTTCATTGTGCTCTGTATTATCCGTGTTCTCAGTGTCTGAACTACTCAGTTCATCTAGGTCTGATGATAAATCTTCCATTTCAGCAAGTCTTTGTTTTATTGCTTCTAATCTTTTTAATAAATTAGTATAGTCAAATTTCCCACGCTTTTCACCAAATGGGTCCTGAAATTGTAAAAGAGGGAAATAAATATTCCAAAATAAACAGTGATTATTAAAGATGTAACAATATGAAAGCAAAACAAGTGAGTATGTACCTCCCATTATAATCTACTACACTGTACTTCCATTCATTAATAATTTCTTTCAACAAACTTACCTGCATAGTGGATCCAGAGAGATATGTGTGTGATTTACATGTACTTTCATAATAGTCATAATACTCTGGGAATGACTTCTCCATCACCACCCTGCAAATAAAGTAGCTTACACATATACATACAAATATGAATGTATTCCAGAAACATCAAGTGAGTCTCGAAGCAGGTGATTAGGATGTAAATCAGATGCAGATTTGTATCAGTTTTAAAATGGGATGTGAATACATTCAAGGATATTTTGAACTTTCCACCATTTTGCATTTCTCAGCATGGCGATGGTTCGAGTAACACGAGCGTTATATCAACAAAAACGTACTTGAGGGCTGATGGACAGGAACACCTCCCTTCTAGCATGTCACATACTGCAACCCTTAACGTCTCATGCTGGATGATGTCATTGTAACGTTTCGCATCACCCCCAGTTCTTTCCTGGAAATATTACATTTTATACCCATTGTTATGATGTCATCAATGAACAGGCTAATTTCTGGAGTCAGAATCAAAGTGAAGGAACTCACACTTCAATTTAAGACTCAAGTATACAGTAAGTACAAATAAATGAAAGGATCTCGTTTTAAGAATGGGATGTAAAATATGAAGTGGAGAAAAGTTCAATTGAAAGAAATTAGTTGCGTTACTTATTTGTTATCTTCAAGAATGATCAAAGGCCAGCTGCTTAATTTTTAACTGATGCATATGACTATAGGTTGTTATAAGTCCATGATTAACATATTAAAACCATAGCCTACATGTATAAGTCTTTGCATCAAGTAACTCTTGTGCGTTGCAGCCCATTTCACATCATATGCAAATGAGAGGGTAAAACAAGAGACATGAAGTCAACAGTATAACAACTGAGTTGACTACTTTATGTCATACAATTTCTTTAAATGAGATCTTACATGCTCAAATCCAGGTTCGTTGTGGTATGGCTTCTCATTGAGGAGGGACTGTATTGATATTAACACACTGGAAAGACTCTGGGCTGGACTCCATGCAGGCCCTGTCCAAGTTCTGAAACAAATATTTTTGTCTTATCTGGTATCTTAAATTACAGCGAAGTGAAAAGTACAACATTGCATATATTTCACAGAGATAGTTTTTGGGCCTAAACTTTAAAAATCCTTTACTACATGTACATCATTTGACCTAATGAAAACACAAAGTTAGCAAAAAATTCAAAAATCTTACCCTAAAATACTGAGACAAACTTTGCCATTCCTGTATAGATTTGGATTAAATCTAACTTTTCCATCGCCTGTTGTAACAAGTTTGACACGTGGTGGCCTGATAGGGTAATCTGGGGGACACCGGATAAGAAAGTAGAAAAAGCCTCCTTCATATGGTGTGTCGAATGGACCCGTGATCAATGCATGAATCTACAATGTAAGCAAAAAGTGTTAAATAATGTGAGAGGTTCACACTTTTTATATTGTAAACTGTACATTAATGTGGCAATGTAAGAATGGTAGACTTTACCAAATTACCATGTACCAGGTATATGGAAAATTTGTAATATCAATCAATCAAAATGAAAAGCTATTTGATAATTGTGGTATAGACTTACTGTATGTACCTGTTTATGAAAACATATACACCTTTTACAACAGACCTCATGTGATCATTTAAAGGGGTATTCCTTGCCAGACCATCTCTCTCTTAATATGGTAGCTATAACCATATACATACTTTGCAAGTTTAGCAAAACACGGAAAAGGTTTTTAAATGGTCAATATTAATCACTTAAAAATATAGTGCTCAATTCCAGTAGGCTGCCATCTTTTAAAATTTCACTCAGGAAGTGATGTCATCGACTCTCAACTTTGCATATAATATTAGGTAAGGAGCTATTATAATCACTAAACCAGTTGTATATATTTTTCAATTTGGTCTGTGATTTAAATCCCTTTGATGATCTCTTCTTTAGTTCTAAGTTGACAACTCGTGAAAATATTTTTACACAGAAGATAAGGGCTTCTTGTCTTGAAGTGATTTTGTACTTCTTTCCTATACTGTGATAGAAAAGGTTATAACAGGTGAGAGTCGATGACATCACTTCCTGAAAGAAATCTTAAAAGATGGCAGCTTACTGGGAATGAGTACTCGGTTTTATATGATCAATATTGACCATATGAAAACATTTTCCTGTGTTTTGCTAAATATATAAAGTATATATATGATTGTAGCTACCATATCAGGAGAGAAATACTCTGGCAAGGAATGTTCCTTTAAGCATGAACTATACAGGAAAACAGCAAGAATTTTATACCTGTAAGTGTATAATGGTTCATAACTGAGTTCTGATCAGTCAATAACCAGACCTCATTCATATCTCATTGACTTACCAGAGTAAAATCTTCCTTGTCAGGTACTATACACATCCCCGGAGGTGGCTCATTGTAAATACTCATCATGTCCCTGAATATACAGATACTCATAGATTAATAGACGATGGAAAACTTCAAATCTATGGAATAGCAAAATTAGAAATCAGCAATTCCATGAACATTTAATAGCAAATCCCAACAGACACAATATTCATGAATCTATGTAATAAAAAAAGTGGTTCAAAATGTGCAGGACAATGTCGAAAGGTAAATCTCAGTAAATTCAGTATCAGTGGTTGCCAAGTGATCAATGCAACATTTCAAAACATGCCCAGCCCTTGTGTTCGCCATTGTAAATAGCCAAGGCAACATAGCAAAGTCACCAAAGTACACGTGGTACCAAATAATGATCAGGACTTGCCTTTATCCCCATCTTCTAGCCAGAAATCTAAATGGAAATTAAATTTACGAAATAGAATTTGAAATCTCCGGTGATTTCTGCATTGGAAGTTTGGACATCTTGAAAAGGTTAAATTGCATTTTAAACATGTCTTTATCAGTTTATGTTATGAACAAATTTGTGTATTCTCTATATGCTAACTAGGAATAGGATGAAGAAAAGATATTTTCTTAATCCTAGATCCTAACTTGAGCATTGCCCAGTAGGATACAGGTACCCTGGATAACTACTCATGAACCCATGTCTGTTGTCTGTACTATGATCAGGTTATCGAATTGTACAGGGTGTCAACAAAGTATGTTTACAAATTCAATACAAATGCAATTAATTTGATACTGTACCATTTAAACCTTGATTTGTGTTCAACAGAAAATCGACTCATTTGCTTGTGCTGATTTAAGAACGTTAAACAATTAATTTGAATGTTAAAATTAGATGCGTTATTGTTATTATCCAACATAGAAAGGCCTCATTTTCATTTTTGCCTTTACCCTATGTATCTGCACAAACAGTAAAGAGAAAATCATTGCTGGCATAGATTCGCAACGGAATATTGAAAGCAGGGTTTTGATACATTGAGCTAAAATGTTAATTGTGTAATTATCATGATATTTCCCTCTGGTCCCTAAACTCTACTCGAGTCTCTAGCTTACAGCTAGACGAAACTTCATTGATTTCGTATGTACTGTGCTACACGCACCTACACGCACCTAGAACTCATTTTTAATAAATTTTATAAATATTTTTAAGAATATTAATCATATTTAGGATGAAGCGTTGCTTGTCTGGATTTAGATATTTCAAAATTTCATTTCGGAGTTTGACACATGGTGAAATTTTCTCGCTGTAGCTAAAAATGGCTTCCGGTTCTGGACGTGAATAACATTTGAAATTATTCTCGCTTAAAGAAATCAAATATAACAATAGATTCAGACGGGGATGTGAGCTGATGTTCTTCAAATCTATACATAAAGGTATATTTCATATTATTATGCCATATTTACTGTGCGTGTGACACAATGATTTACAATATTTATAATACTAAGGCAGCTCAATCTTCCTCCTCAAAGCCGGAATATAGAGAAGGCTTTGGACCGAAGTAACCTAAACTTACGATTGTAAATTTTCAGATCATTCATAAGGTTTCGGCTGAGACCATCATTTTATGTTATACTCAGGGTTTCGGACAAATGGACTTCGGACCAATGGCATTGGGATTCGAACCCATGGTGTCTTATCGCAGCTACGACCCCTTTAGATTGTAGTACGCGCATATCATTGGTCAGTCAATGTTTTTACAAAGTTGGAGAAAATACTACGCATTGCACACCTAAATGACCTCCCTCGATACATTCCTTAGTATTTTAGAATTCTTTTTATGTAGTTGAATCGCCAATTATATGGGTTTATCGGCAGAACGAAGAGGTTTTCGTTTTTGATAGCAATATTTGCGTGTAATATTTAACTTATTTCAACCGTCAAATTCCTCCATTCAGTTCCCGGTATGCACCAGTCATAAGGGAAATCCCTGGGGAATTCCCCTTCCGACATTTTGAAAATTGCTGACATACTTCCGATGTAAAAACGAAAACCTCTTCGTTCTGCCGATAAACCCATACAATTGGCGATTCAACTACATAAAAAGAATTCTAAAATACTAAGGAATGTATCGAGGGAGGTCATTTAGGTGTGCAATGCGTAGTATTTTCTCCAACTTTGTAAAAACATTGAATGACCAATGATTCGCGCGTACGACCACTAAAGTGGTCGTAGAATTCGATAAATGGTGTCCACTGTCCTCCTCCATTTGGACATATAAAGTAAGCAGCTGAATTCAGTATTTCACTTGCAGCAGATTTACAGAGGGCGAGCAAATGATGTTCTATGCAAGGATCAAGGTGAATATAATCAGCTAATGGTAGGACTTCCCAGGTTCTAAGAGACCAATCACTGCAACGAACTGAAGAAAAATCAGCAGCAGAAGTCGATTTTGATTGAAATCAATTTGAAACCTAAATTGAAATCAAAAACACAAACCTTTTGATTCTCCCAAGACAGTGGGACGTAGGCTTTTCTTTATCCCAATCTTTACTGAGATTTGGATCCCAGTTAGTCGTCGAAGTACCTGAAAGTTCATCTGTCAAAAGTGTAAGTGCATCTTGAGCAGTTGCCATATTTCCTGGTTTACGGACTGAATTTTGTTTGGACAAAATTATGCTCATTAATACATTGTATAATTTCAATTCCAATATTGTATTTTTAGAGAAAAAATTTTACGGGAAATTTTATCAAAACTGAAAAAATCATTGAAAAATATAAATATAATGAATTCTGATAATCCAATCAAACATCAGCAATTTATTTAGAAAAAGAAAAAGTTCAAGCGAATTCTTACGCAATATAGTCCTCTAATTTGTATAGTAGTATTTTCTTCAGTGCTAATAAAGTTATTTGTATGTATTACGTATAAGATAGAAAAGGTTAACCTCTACTTTAGTAGTTTAGAAAATTGTAAAAATAGAAATATAACAGAACCAATATTGTTATCAATGGCGGAAGGATATACAGCTGCAATACGTCGACGTCCATGCAACGTTTCGAATGACGTCATTTTCCGAAAATGGTGACCAATCAGAAGTCTGTATTTATATCATATGACATAAAGTAACCAATCAGTAACCGTGATCAATTTCATTACCACGTTACTTGTACGTTACCACCATCGGAAGGAGGAACTCAAATACTAAAATTTGATTTTGGTGAGTTTTACGGGTTATTTACCAAATATTCAGACACTAATTAATAAACAAGACCTGAACTTTGTAAATGTGAGACTCAGGGACCAACGTCCGAGAGTCATAGTTGAACTTGATAGGGAAAAAAATTAATTTGAGAAATTTGTTTTGTTGCCTTCGTTGGACTCTTCGTTTTGTGAACTTCTGCATGATAGACAATATGATGATGTCATCAAATAATGTATTGATGTCTAGTGCTTGTTTATCAGATGCTGCTGATGACCTGGAGATCCCTCAATATACATTTGATGATATAACAGTGCCTGGCGAACTGATGAACACCACAGGCATAGACAACTTGGAAGAAATCTGTGGACAAGATTCAATCTCATCAATGAATCCTGATATATTCCTCAACAGTTCGAACAATTCTTCCCTTATTGGTAAAACATCACCTTCCCGAAGTGTCGAGAGTGGTATCGAAAGTATGTGTAGCCCTCATAGTGTGATTGAGCTTGACAGCGATTTCGATGTTGAAAATGTGTTCTCGCCAACGAGCATTGACATGGATAACAATGATGAAACAAGTCTGGACTTGTTGACATACCTGGCTAATGAGACTGGTTTATCTGTTGTTGAGAGTGATCCTAAACCAGAACCACAATCTGAGAGGAAAATGGCATTGCGACAACATAAGAACATTGGGAAAACTGTGTCTTCAGGCGGTAAAATTAAACCTTTTGTAATGCAAACAGTCAAAATCAAGCCTTGTACAAATACTCAGGCTCAACATTCAAACACAAAGGCCCCACAAAAATGTATCCAGGCCAAGCGTTCTCCTACCTTTACTTGTGAAGAAGACGATGAGATATATCCAGATCCAAGTCGTAAAAATGCAATCCAAGCAAAGATCAACAGAGAGAAGAAAAAGTTGTATGTTGCTACACTTGAGAATGATGTCACAAATCTAAAGAAAGAAAATGAGACACTGAAAGTTAAATCTGTGAAAATGGAGAAACAAATGAAAATAATGCAGGATGAGGTGACATATCTCCGGAATGTGTTGGCAAATCAGAGCACTCTCTCGGCCCTTTTGAAAAATATTCCTAATGCATCGGACGTTTCCCTCACATCATCTTTCAAGAGACGCTATGATGTTGAGAATGATCATGGTTATCAAAAACCAAAACATGCGCGACATAGTGATGGAGGAGTGTGCCTTCATGTTGAAAATAACAAAGTGTCTCTGGAGTTTTGTTCGAAATGTGCTAAGTTAGCCAACAATGAGGATATAATTGAAATCTCCTGAATAATAAACAGTAAATGCCTGGAAACAAGGTTGTATCGTAGTACAGGACAGGGGCTCAAATCTATGGATTTTTCCCTAAAGTGTGTATAAAAATAAAAAGCACAAAATACTGAAAATCCAAAAATAACAAAACTGGTACAGACTGGAAATGAAGCAGACACTAGGCTGGTGATACCCAGTCATTTCTTTCAGGGCAAGAGCTGTACAATTCATGCAATCCTGAGAAACCATTTCTACCCTGTGATGAGACGTGACACCTGGGATCCATGGTCCATTTCCTGGTTACGTTGACTGAGGCGTGTCTACCTTACCTGACTATTTGATGGACTGCGTCAAATGTGCTATGTGTTGGTAGCATCTAGCGAACATGTGAATTGTGAAGCCTACTGTATGTGTGGTGGTATTGGTTTGAGTTGGTAGTAAATACTGTTGTGATTTTACTGAAGTGGTGTTTAAATAAACCATTTCATGCCATCTCATGTATCATGTATAGTAATATAGAATAACAGTTGCAATGTAAAAGACAACTTCAGTTGTCAAATAACTGAATTAACTCCAAGCTGATGTGTAAAAATGATGATATGTGTTTTGGACTTACTACACACACAGACGATAAAGGAACTGAACTATAACCCAATCTTAAGTTTTACTTTTAGGTAGTACCTGTATCACTGGGGTTCAGAGAAAGAAGATGTAGATGAGATGCCCCCCCCTCTATTGATCAGCATATTAATCTTTTTTCTGGTAAGGTTTCTCTTAATCTGTCATACATGTCATAATGTTAATTCAGGAGTTAAACTTCTTCAAATTTCAATTCAGTCTAAATGACAATACTAAATCATGAATGTGAATATTTGAGAAGTTGATAGTTTTGAGATATTATGACATTATGTGTGACCAAAACAACAGACTTGCCAACTTATAAAAATATTCTGGAATTTAATCTATATTATTTTCCAAAGTATAAATACTGTTCATTTTGATAATTGTTGGGATATTCTTGTATCATATGGGATACCATAAAAGATTGGCAAGTCTGCAATTTGATAAAAGCAGAGGTACATAGTCGAGAGTATGACGTTTAAATTTTAAAAACTCTGAAACAGTGCTAAATGGAGTCACATTTACTTGGACTCCAGAAGAGAAACACACATTCAACATATTGTCTTGTATTATGCTATGTAAAACAGGTTTAGTCTCTGGGACTTATAAGTCTTTTTGGTTTATTAGCTTTCACACATGAACGAACTACAGGCTGAAAAGGTGAAATAGGCCCTATAATGTTCTCGTGAGAATTTACATTAGAGTCACAGTTCGACAGTTGGTGAGTGTAAAACAGGTAGATCATTAATATTTGAATTTTATGTTAGTCTATTATTAGAATTAGTTCATTTATTTTATGAATAACAATAGTGACATGTAAATATTGTATATAAATAGTATGACCATGAAAGTTTATCATTGCCAATTGAAGTTGAGGATTATAGAAAAATTCTGTAAGTAATTGTGCTTGTAAATAATTCCTTACTCTAAAAATGGAATAACTGACCAGCCATTCTTTTCAATACTGTATTTATCTTTCCATGAAATCAAAAGTTACAAATCTAACAGTGAACCATGTTATATGATGTTTTCAGATTTTAACATTTTTAGTATTTCTTACAGAGGCTATGAAAATTTGTTGAATAGCAAACAGAGCCTCCAATCACCAGGTCTACAAGGTCTAAATATCTACATAGTGTTTGTAAGATTGGCGGATCCAGAAATGATTTATTATAGGCTTATGGTAATTCCAAATGGGTCATCTTAGGTGGTCTCAAAATGATGTGAAATAAAAGTTTGATCATATGGCTAAGCCGGATGAAAGATCATAAATATTGTGCATATAAGAGGGTTATTTTGACTGATTTTCTTACCAGTTGAATTCTAGCATACTGCTTAATGAGTAAGGTGGATTCCATTTGATTGATTTAAATTTTTTGGGGGGGGGGTGGTCCTAATCTCATCTCCCTGGTATAAGTGCAAACTTTGCAATTTGCTTGGGGTACATAATTCACTATCATCTGTTTTACTATGCCAAGTTCTAATAGTAACCCATTTCTCCCAAATCTGCCAAGCTTAGTCCAAGCTTGAAAATTGGTTTTAGATTCATGTTATCACAGTATACTGTTAATTGCTTTAATTTGACAGCTGTTTTAATTTTGCGGCTTGATAAAAATTGCCAAATGAAGTCTCTGGAAATGAAATTCTGGGGATTTTTGTTTAGTGCCTTTTCCATGTGTTTCCTTGCATGCTAAGACTTTGGTGAGAATCTTGATTGAAACAATAAAATGTCAATTTGAAACTATTTCCTAAGGTCTACAAAGTACCCACTGGTTTAGATAAAACAATCAATACCACCATAGCTAATTGCGCAATCCATGGCGAGCAGTGTGAAGTGAGTAATATGACTGATGATATCAATCTGCCAAATTAAATAGCACCAAATTAAAGCAATTTACAGTACTTACTTTGATCAAAGTCTAGGAGCATGTCATATAGATAAGAAACTTCAAGGTTTTTACAAAATTTGACTTCATGGACTTTTAAGCATTAATTAGATTCTCTTGCAAAAGTATGGTCAACATTGTTAGCTCATTTTGTCATTGCATTTTTTGGCTCAATTTGTCTGCAAATAAGCAGTTATTGATTATTTATTAAAATCAAAGTAACATATATACAGGTTATGGTGGGTACCTGGGCTATGCCGGCCATTTTCACTTTACTGAGAATCTAGATGGCAAACGATAATATATATGATATGAACACGCAGTCACGCCCATGGAAAATCTGTCATAGAAGACTGCTCAGGTGTGCCCTGATTCCAGTTATCTTACACCCTAGCAGTTAAAAATATTATTATAAAAAGTATATAATTTTTTTTTCATTTGTGAGTGATTTCGCTCCATCGATTCCTACTTCCAGTGGAACTTGAACCAAAACAAAACTGATTTCATTTATTATGTTTCTGCAACTGATTCACATGCAGTTTGATGGGAAACACTACTGTGGAAACACTGGACACATACATTAATGAGTCAAGGTAGAGATTAAAAGATGGATTGGATCGAGTGGATTGGATTCATGTAAAAGGTGGATTGGATCGGGAATCTTCAAAATATGGATTTTTTAGTTGATTTCCCTCTAAGCAATTTCCTCCGTCCTAAAGTATTTTGTGATTACTTGAGTCCCTTTAAGGAATTGACAAAGCAATGACAAATACATGGACATTTCAATTAGTTGATAGGTCCTAAAGTATCTATCTGCTCTCCCCTGTAAATCAACATTAGTAAGACATAATAAACATAGATCTGTAGATAAAAGCTGTCATTCAAATTGACGTGTGGGTGTTCCCCAGACATTTCTGCCATGTTCTATTAAAACAGATGATATGGATCTTGGACTTCAAAAGTCTGCCTTATGATTTGTGAAATGTCTAAAATTACCCTTGGAATGAATAATATTGTGTATCAGGTCACCTTTCTCATGTTTCTAGCCTACCCAAGCAAAATGATATAACATCTATTATTTGACATTGTGGAAGTGAGGAGAGCATTAATCGTCTGATGGGAGATCAATATAAATTTTTTAAGGAAAATCCATATTTTGAAGAATCTTGATCCAATCCACCTTTTACATGAATCCAATCCACTCGATCCAATCCACCTTTTAATCTTTACCTGATTCAAAGCCAATAGTAGTTTGTTCCGAAGCATTGATATCAAAGTTCTGATACCAGTTTTTCAAACAAAAGTTTGCGATTCGGACCGATTTCAGTCAAATGGTACAACTCGTGGCATGTGTGACCCTCAATAAGTTCAATAAATTGTGTGAAAATCTTGAAATTTCATGTAAAATCGATCTGCTTCTTGCTGTTCACCAAATTTGGCAATGACATCCCATGGTTTTGGGAAAATGGGACCCACATTTATGCAATTTCTGAACTCAATCCAAACACTGGGATTTCTCAGACAAATAACAACTCCACTTGTTTTTTCTCAGAACTTTGACACATGGATGATGTTTTAACAAGAACTATTTGAGTCACTGATCTTACCAGTCATAAATGTTGGGGAAAAATTAGAACAATTGCTCTGCCTGAGTACATGTTATTTGCATGCATCATAACTTCTTGGGCCTAAAGCCTATGACTCGATCTCATTTGGAATGATCTTGGAATTTTCTGGATCCGTCAAGTCGTATGGTAAGATTTTATATACCCAAAACTGTATGTTGATGTTGTAATGTATTGATGAATGTGCATCTGTTCTTATATTATGTCTGTACATTTTGCTTAAGATATGAAAGAGAGAGGCTGTAATATATGAACTTGGTGCAAAACAAGTTGAATATGTAAGTGGTGGCATAACAGAAAACTGATGATACAGTAATATATTGGAGTTTGGTTGAAACTTTTGATGAGCAAACGTTCACAAAATTTTGCAAAATTATTTGTTATAATTTAACATGGAATCGGATGCGTGGTATATCAAACAATAGTTGATTTTTGTAAATGCAACTCGAGTTACCTCCCAATTGCTTATGAAACCTCTGTATTTTAAGGGGAGCATAGTATTTCATCATTGTAGTTTCATGCCGCCACTCACATGTACCTATATTATTTACACTTTTAAAGGAAGGACCAAAGAATGAAGTGTAGCACATAGCAAAGTCAGCATTTCAAAATGCTATATTCTACAGTTATGTTATCTGGATAAAAATCCAGTGATGAAAGATAGACTGAGAACCAATACACCATTTATAGGATACCTCTGTATTTAATTACAGAAATATAGTGACAATTAAATAATTTGCATCTTGTGACAGGGTATGAGGGTATGGGGTCTTGTCAAATATCCATATGTTATTTTGATGGCATGACATCATTATTGGAGGGGTTAAGAGCCCACTTTTAGTATTAAACTATGAAATGGTCTGATATTTTATTTCATATATCAATGTTCAATAACTTGGAGGGGGGGGGGGACTAAGGACGTGGACAAGAGGTTGGGATAGGGACTCATTTGATCACTTCCTCCAAAATAAGCATTGAAGACATTGACCAGACCTCTAATCCTTCTCATTTGATACATATTAAGGATATCATAAATATGATAAAGGCTATTATGATGTTCATAAGTGTAACCAAAACTTGGTATTTTGCTGTGTAGACCTGGTGGTTATGGTAAGAATGTAATAATTATTTTGTACTAAGATTTTGCAGTGTTGAATGGTTGGCTCTTGATGTACACACAGAGCACCTGGTGGCGTGGCCTGCTACTTGAGAAGCCAAAAAATATCAGAATATTATAACATCAAATGTTTATGGAGATAACTACTGAATCTTTAGAGTAGAAATGTAATCTTGCATCAGGGCCTTTTGCAATCCCTCACATCTTTTCCCTCACCTCTATCACAAGTGATGGAATGGGGATTGCACAGGGTTTCCTAATTGCATATATTCTAGAATTGCTGCAACCCTTGTATAATTTCCCATCCAAGACTAGCAATTTTCATGTTATATGGGCACCTTAGATAGATATTTATTTCAACACAGGTGGCTCCACAGGCTCCAAGCTACCAGGTGCTGTGTAGAAAATAATAGATATGTTGTGGACATTTATAAATACATTGTGCCTGGAATAAAAGACATTCTGTAATATTTTTGTACAATTTAACTCATCACTGAATAAAAAGGAATGGAATTTTAACATTTGTATTGGTGTTGTATATCATTGAACCCCAAAAAATTGGAGCATAAACATTGGGATCTCCAAGCTACCAAATAACAGTGTGGCCACAATTCAGGCTTTTAGTATAACAAAATACTCTTAACTGATAAACAGAAAATACTTGGTGTCAATTGCGTTGTAACCTCCTTCCACAGCCAATATCGGGAGGTACCCACACAAACTATATATGAAAGGAGGAGTCTGGGTATACTGAAAATTGTAATACTAAGTATCTGAAAAACCAACTCAGTTACACCTATTATTAAAGTTCAATATCTTATCCTTCTGAGATTACAAAAATATCAATTTGTATCACAATTGATAAAGAATATTGGCACCGAAGAAAATGCATATCACTTTGCCAGAATTGAAAAAAAATCAATGGCAAATATTAAAAAATGAATGATTTGTACACAAAGTTTGAAACATATCCTCCAAAACATTGCTTACTTCGTATAGACACTGAATGGTATTTCTGGATAAGTGCATATGTGTTCATCTGTTTAATCAAGGGATTACTGAGCATCCAGTTTTGACACTGTGTTGGTGAACAGGTGAAGTTACACATATTTCAGTCAAATTCATGCTGAGTTGTCAAAACTGCCCGGGGTGGTCATACAGACTATTAATCACGTAGCCTGATTGTTACAAACATTGTGAGTAGAAATCTGAAACTCGGCATTTATCCAGAATTAAATAAGCTTTAATTTGCTATACAGTTTGCGTGGGTGCCTTCACCGGTATTGTGGATGGGGATCACAGCGCAAATTGACACGCTGGTAGTGGAGATGTCTAGCCCATTTTGGCGAAATGAATCTTAAACCCAGAACATCTCCCATTAGAGTTAACATATACTATAAAACATACTGGCATTTCTGTTTTAAGAAAATCAATAGATCTCTATGAAGTCTATTAAAGTAATTTAAGTAATAGTAAATAATAACGTTAAAAATAGACAATTTAAAAAAATATTGGGCCTTATTATGGTCTATGGCTCAAGAATTTTTCTAAATAAAAATCATTTTTCAAATAATTAAATAAGAGGTTAAAAAATCTACGGAATTCCCACCTTCTGTGTTCTCTACCCATTTTTTATGTCGCCATCACAAGTAGTGACATATTGTTATCATTTTTTTGTGAACGGGGATTGCCATTCGGAATTCGGCGTCTGTAACAAATGCCAGGTGGTGACATTTTGCATATTAATGCCCTGTTGTATAATAAGACTGCCATCTATAAAAGGAATTTGCTTATGCTATATCATTCTAAATGGGGAGCATAAAATGACCAGTTATCCTATTTTACAAGTATTGAATACTGGGGTTATGCATTTTTTGGAGCTACTAAAAAAGTTCAATTCACAGACGACCAAAAAGAACTACACCAACCTATTTTTGAAATAAAATGGCGGTTTTCGTTGTTGTTTTTCGAAGTTTCCACCCCCATGTTTCTCATAAAGCAAAGCAATGAATACAAACTCAAGAAACAAACGGTAATTTGGTTCATTTGTGTTTACTATATATAAGTGAGCTTTCACAAAGACATTGCTTGCGAGGCATTACTCATGTTTATGAAGATCAGTGTGGTACGATTTTCCATTGCTATGCAGAGTATAAACAGATCTAGCGAGCAGCCTAACAAAAATTGTTTCAATTTTAGAATATTTCTGGCCAATGTGTCATTCCTTTTCATGTCTATTTACTAAAAATCCCTCAAGTGCACACTTTATTTCAGGAAAACTAAATGTATTATTTTTCATAAGAATCGTTATGCCTGGGTCACATTTGCTCCGATCCATCGGCCGGCGACCGGCCGATTGAGTGTTTTGTTCAATATTATATTCAATTTTGAACAAAATACTCAATCGGCCGAGCGCCGTTGTGAAAATCGGAGCAAATGTAACCAAGGGACACCATTCTTATTATTTGGGAAAATGTTCACCCTTAGCACTTTGAATCCATTATAACTTCACCAGTTTATAACATATCGTGAATCTTTTGGGAGATGTTGTATTTGAGATCATAAGGAATATATTGGTGGGTCAATTGTACATGATGCTTGTAATTTTGTGACTCCCTATATCTAGATCTGATTCTGACTTTAATTAAATTAATATAAACGACCTATTGATAAACACTTCACTTTTTTCTAGTAATGAACCAGTTTTTTTGACTTTTTTAGACATTAAGCGAATCAAAATATTCAACTGGAAACTTCTTGATGCTATTGCAAAAGTTGCCACAACTAAAATTGGCTAATAGTTCATATCCAACAAGTCCGATGGTAATCCTTAAACAACATTGCGCTTGTTAATTAATCAGACAAAAAATTGATAAGTGGGCAAGTTTTACTCGACTCATGCATCCTCTTTGGAAGATATGATGGCGGATGCATGATGTCTTGTTTCCCCTGTGGTCAGAGAAAGATGCTCCTACTTCATGTCTAATCGCCGAGTCGGTGGCTTCAGGCCCGCTTCACGTGGGATGCCAATATTTGTTCATGGTTAGATGCTTAGAAAACCCTGAGGATTGTCCGACATGGCTGTGCAAAAACATAACCCTTCGAAAAGCAAACGTGGTACTCATCACTGCCAGTGGATCGGTCATTGTGTTTGAGCGAAATTGAGCAAGGTTTCATTCTTGGTTCTATTGTCTTTTAACTCTGACATACGGAGACTATCGCCTCCTATCATTTGGCGATTGTTCAAATCCTTCAATTGTTTCTGAGGAAGTTTGTGTTGCACTTCGATCTGTGTTTTGTGGTGGTCGTTGGTTGTCACTCTGGTGACAAGATTGTCCGTTTGTGTTATTATGAGGAAGAACTTGTGCAGAAGGCATATTACAATTTCGGATAGACGAATTTGGATTCTTCCTACTTTCATTTTGTACACTCGATTCGGAGTCATTATTATTTGGAGTGGCGCATGCATGTGATGACCCATGCGAGGTAGTATCTGGATGTGAGCTAGTTTGTACCACCCCCGATGCCATGGCGGAGTTATCTGCAGCTGGCAGTGAAGCGGCTACTGTTGGAGCCTGTTGTGGCAATGTAGCTACCGATGCATCGGCTCTTCCCGAAGAATGTGACAATACAGACGCTGATGCGACTGTTTGCAGCGGTACTGTAGTTCCTGATGATATGCCCGCTTCGTAAGGCGGTGGTACCTCTACTGGCGTCAGTGTATCTACTGGTGACGCAGTGGAACGTCGCAGTGCGCCAATAGAAGTTGTACCCGCTTCATATGGCGGGGGTTGGGGAACTTGTACAGGGGTTCTGTCATTATCTGAATTTTCTGGTTTTGACTGGAAAATGAAGCAGAAAATAAGCTTGGGACTTCTTTTAAATGGTTTCATCCGAGACCAAACTTTGAGATCTTAAACCCCTCACATATGAACGAAACCCCCCGACGTCAACTTGCGTGTACTGACGTATATAACTTTGAGTAAAATTCGTTCCCATTAATGTACGTTGTACATCGTTGGGGTGCTCGTATGTGGAAGAACCCTTTGCAAAAGCTTCGGATGGCTTCGGAAGCATGCGCAAAGTAGCGCTTCGGTTCGCACGTTAACGTTCCAAATCGCCAGAATTGACAAGTTACCCAATTCGTAAGGCTGATATTAGTGAATTCGTTCAAATGTGAGGAGGCCTTTATCACATAAATGTACATATTATAGAGTCTTCTAGGGAAGTAACAAAGAGCTAGTTATAACTGTATGGATAACTGATATTAACTTACATAGTCTATTTTATGCCTAAGACTTAATGATTGCATCCATACTACTTACAAAGTCAATGTCCTCGTATTTTGGAGGAAGGGGGATATTTCCATTTGCCGACGCAGATATCGCCCTCCCAGCCATATTAGACTGGCGTATTATTGATGGTGGCATATAACTCAAGTCATTTGTATAGTCAAATACACGCCCTGTCTCCATTCGGTCGTCAAGTTCATGCGAGGAAGCTGCAATAACAGTAAGAAGGTTAAGCATGCAAACCCCCATGACCACTTTAAAACATAAATCGTATCCTATGTGTATTTCGTTCCATATTTGTATTAAATGGTGCGTAAGATTGCACAATAAAGTTAACGTTCTTCAAATGGCTATCCAATGAATTATTCTAGTATTTCATGTATTTTAAAATTCTCGTAACGTTCGCTATATTTCACACTCTCATTAGAATTATCTGATCATTAATTTACAGTGATCAAAGTTCCATAATTAATTCGTTTTTTGTGCAAAAAGAGTAGACACACAAACCGAGTGAGCATTTTGTTCACGGGTGTTAATATACCTGGTTCTGTTGTGTCATTTGTTGGACTAGTATGTAAAACCCGCGTGTTTCTTATGTTGCGCCGTCTGGTTGCACTGACGCAATATTTGGCCAACAGCACGGCACATACGAGGAAGAAGGCAAAGAATACCATTGAACTGTACACCGAAGAGGCAGGCCTTGAAATTGTTGGAGCTGAAATCATGCAGTAGATAAATAAACATATTCGCTGAACCGTTTTAGTATATCATCCTATCAGGTCACTTGTATTCAGGCTCAATATCTTGTTTTCCTTTCCATGATGTGTCGTGATAAGCAGGTATACCCCCAATCACATGTACTCATAATATAGCCAAGTGACCTACATTTCTGTTACATGATCATGACCAAAGTTGTCATGTTACGGCCGGCCAAAGAAAATTTTACACTATGCACATGGATTTTTGTTTAGGACTTTAATTCTTTTCACACATTGCAAAATATTCTCTACTACGTCACTAAATCACAACTTTTTGCAAGGGTCAAGTTGGCAAAGCATCTGTTTCAATATGTAGAGTTATGTTGTTACCTTGGCAATCATTTAAGAAGTGACCTTGGATGCGGTGATTGGTGATATAATGCACTGCAGTTAAATATGAAATACTTTGGATTGGCTGGAATCGGACACACCTTGCCTAGCTATGTGTGAATTTGCAACAATGCTTACGTATTCAAATATAAACAGATAAGACTTACGGCAATCTAATTCATCCGTGCCGTCAATGCGACAGTTCTTGTAACCATCGCATCGCTGCCAGTAAAAGTAGCATTGATTCTCCCAGCAACAGGGGTACTGCCCATAGTCACATGAGACTCGCTCGGTGGTCGATGCGTATCCAAGCGTCGTTGTTTCATTTGGACACTGGTAAGGTGATACTCTACTCATTTTGACCTACCTAAAAGTCAGTATAAGTCTATTTAGAGGAAGGATATATTTAGTCTAGCTAACAAGCCTTCGTTACCCCCTCCCCCCTCTACTTAACTAAACACCTTCTCACACAGAGAAAGGGTGTGCAAGGGCTTGTATGCTCGACTAGAGTAAATTAAGTGTTTTGAAATATCATATTTTATTTGGGATCCTTTGCAGGGTCGTAGCCAGCTTTCAGTCGGGGGGGGGGGGGTGCGATCTCCAAAAAATGTCCATTTTCATTCAGATTGTGACATATACGTACAAGCAAAAACACACAAAAAATTATGGTTATGGGGGGGGGGTGGGTGATGTTCATGTTATGCTTTGTTGTGTTTATACTCCGATGTCAGTGTCAGTAACAGTAGGCCTAACTATACCTATCAGTTTACTTACAGGTGTAAAAGGGTAGGAGGTCGTATCAAAATATGGTCCTACTCTTCATTGATATGGTGACCACTTTCCCTTATTATCTTATACGCAATTAGGGCCCGTAAGGGCCGTTAAGAAAGGGGACCATAATCCCTGGGGGACCATAATTTCTTTCACACCGGTATTGGGTTAAATGTTTTCACCTATACAAAGTTTTTGACCTCTATAAAGATAATTTTTTATTATTAATTCACAACTCATAAAATCAGGTATACAAAAGTCCTTAGGCATATATCACATCGGAAGAGATAAATGTTAGTGTTGCAAAACTTAATAAAGCTAGTTGAAACCAGAATTTCAAATCAACAACTTGGAATTTCGGACTCCACGAATTTACTCATTTAATACTTCGTTTTGGAAGATGTCAGAATACTTACTTTTTAATTCAGTAAATATAATCAAGTTCCTCCTTTTGTTATATGACTTGTCCTACTATGTAATTGTGGTCATAAATAATTTTAAAGAAAATGATTACTTAAGTACGAGACTCCCAATTGTTTTGTTCGTATAGGGTGTATAGTACATATATACTTAACTCTGTTGTTATATTACTTGAGGTTAGTGTTAAATAAAATTGGACTTCGGGCACATATGGTTGCTTATCTCAAGTTTAGCCATCAATCGGTTAAAATCGATGAGTGTTAAATACTAGACCTACAGACCTATGATTAATTCGTGTAAGTTGGGGACTTAACTTGGTGACGAAGGCTTGGATACGTATGACGTGTTCGTGTAGCTCTCCAGACTTCCATATCTCTAATAGTTTGTACGTTCTCGTTCTCAATTGCAGCCAGGAAATCTTGCTCTCTCGTACTGATGGGTTTTATTCTGATTTCTTGACTGATTATCGAAAAGCTTTTTAGCGTGTAAGAAATGCGCTTTCAAAGTTTTTTCTTATCGATCAACAACGGTCGATATGTATGCCATCTCTAACATATGGCCTGGAACTAATTTCTGTGAACGAGCAAGCATTGAGTAAACTGGAAGGAGGGCATAGAGAAATTGCTAAAAAGATTCAAGGAATTTCAGCAAAAACTTGTAATCCCGCGTGCACAGCAACACTAGGGTGGCACTCAATATCAAGTAGAATTTTCATTAGTAAACTGATGCTACTTTGGCAGCTGTTAGCACTTCCTATCACAAATGTGTATAAGAAACTGGTCATAGTAAGATTAACCTTTGCAACGCACTATAACCTTCATAAACTGTCCCCAATTGGAGATTGTCTTAAGATAGCTAGATCGTTTGGACTTCTGGGTGATGTATATGAAATGCTTAATGTTGGAACTATTCCAAAATTGCAATGGAAAAGACGTGTGAAAAATGTTGTGTATGAATGGGAATTAAGCAATTGGAGAGTACAGTGTATTTTGTTTGAAAAGTTGTCTTTATTCAGAATGGTTCAAAAAGAGATAAATCCCCTTGTATGGTGGACCCTAGCAAAATGTAATCCCATGCTACTTAAACCATGTAGAACCATGGTTAAATTATTAACGGGTGAAGGAAATCTCAGTGGTTAACTGTAAACGGTGGTCGGGTGGCAAGATAAATGATCTATGCTTGGTATGTGGCGAAGCTATTGAGAATTTAGTTCATATGGTACTAGAATGTCCGGGACATAAGGCAAAACGAAAGGATATTGAGAATATTCTTATTCAGATGTACCTTGATACCCCTCTCCCACCGAATGACGTGTTATTACCGAAAATAATGTACTGACAGAGGATCAATATATTAAGATAGCTCTGTCAATTTATGGAGTGTATGAGGCAAGACCAAATGTAGATTTTTGATTAGTTAACCATAATTTTAGGTGGAGAACTTGTTTTTCTTATTGCATGTAACAGATAGTAACTTGACGGCGTCAACGCGGTAGCCTGACGTCCGTCAACACCAGGGATTGGTTGTACATAAACATTTTAATTGTTTTTTTTTATTATTGTATGTAACATAATAATCTCAACCCCTTATGTAATATTTTATATAACACATGTAAACACACCAAGTCTGGTGGATAAAATAAACATAAATAAATAAAAAATCTCGCGTTTGACTTTTAACCCCAATACCACGTATGCACTCCCCATCCAAAAGTTTGCCAAGCTTACCCCATGGGATATCGAAAATCGACATTCCCAACAAAGCTATAGGTCTCCAAAGTCGAAATTATGTTTCAAGAAACTTCCCCATTCTAAACACAGAAAAAAGTTACAATTCAATTTTTTATTATGTCACCACCAAAAGTGGTGACATATTGTTATGGTCTCCGTTTTTTTGCGACGGCGGTTGGCGTCCGGCGGTTGGTGGTTGGAGGTTGGCGTCCGGCGTCTGTAACAATTTCTTCCTAAACTTCCTAAAACTTAACAAATACTGTTTAGACTGACTTCAATTTTTTTCTAAATCATCTACATGTTCTCAGAAGTTCAAATCTGACTTTAGATTTGACATTTGACCTTCAATGACCTTCTCAAGGTCAAAAAGGTCTTTTTTCAACTTGCTTCACATTGACTAAATTTTTTTTCAAAATCATCTACATGTTCTCAGAAATTCAAATCTGACTTTAGATTTGACTTTAGATTTGACATTTGACCTTCAAATCTGACTTTAGATTTGATATTTGACCTTCAATGACCTTCTCAAGGTCAAAAAATGTCAAAAAGGTCTGTTTTCAACTTGCTTCAAATTGACTAAACTTTTTTTTTCAAAATCATCTACGTGTTCTCAGAAATTCAGATCTGACTTAAGATTTGACTTAAGATTTGACATTTGACCTTCAATGACCTTCTCAAAGTCAAAAAAGGTCAAAAAGGTCTTTTTTCAACTTGCTTCAAATTGACTAAATTTTTTTTTCAAAATCATCTACATGTTCTCAGAAATTCAAATCTGACTTTAGATTTGACATTTGACCTTCAATGACCTTCTCAAGGTCAAAAAAGGTCAAAAAGGTCTGTTTTCAACTTGCTTCAAATTGACTAAAAATTTTTTTAAAAATCATCTACGTGTTCTCAGAAATTCAAATCTGACTTTAGATTTGACCTCCGTTTTTTTGCGACGGCGGTTGGCGTCCGGCGGTTGGTGGTTGGAGGTTGGCGTCCGGCGTCTGTAACAATTTCTTACAACTTCCTATAACTTAACAAATACTGTTTAGACTGACTTCAATTTTTTTCTAAATCATCTACATGTTCTCAGAAGTTCAAATCTGACTTTAGATTTGACATTTGACCTTCAATGACCTTCTCAAGGTCAAAACGGTCTTTTTTCAACTTGCTTCACATTGACTAAATTCTTTTTCAAAATCATCTACACGTTCTCAGAAATTCAAATTTGACTTTAGATTTGACTTTAGATTTGACCTTCAAATCTGACTTTAGATTTGACATTTGACCTTCAATGACCTTCTCAAGGTCAAAAAAGGTCAAAAAGGTCTGTTTTCAACTTGCTTCAAATTGACTAAATTTTTTTTTCAAAATCATCTACGTGTTCTCAGAAATTCAAATCTGACTTAAGATTTGACTTAAGATTTGACATTTCACCTTCAATGACCTTCTCAAGGTCAAAAAGGTCAAAAAGGTCTGTTTTCAACTTGCTTCAAATTGACTAAAATTTTTTTTCAAAATCATCTACGTGTTCTCAGAAATTCAAATCTGACTTTAGATTTGACTTAAGATTTGACATTTGACCTTCAATGACCTTCTCAAGGTCAAAAAAGGTCAAAAAGGTCTGTTTTCAACTTGCTTCAAATTGACTAAATATTTTTTTCAAAATCATCTACGTGTTCTCAGAAATTCAAATCTGACTTTAGATTTGACTTAAGATTTGACATTTGACCTTCAATGACCTTCTCAAAGTCAAAAAAGGTCAAAAAGGTCTTTTTTCAACTTGCTTCAAATTGACTAAATTTTTTTTCAAAATCATCTACATGTTCTCGGAAATTCAAATCTGACTTTAGATTTGACATTTGACCTTCAATGACCTTCTCAAGGTCAAAAAAGGTCAAAAAGGTCTGTTTTCAACTTGCTTCAAATTGACTAAATTTTTTTTTAAAAATCATCTACATGTTCTCAGAAGTTCAAATCTGACTTTACATTTGACCTTCAATGACCTTCTCAATGTCAAAAAAAGTCAAAGAGGTATTTTTTCAACTTGCTTCAAATTGACGAATGTTTTTTTCAAAATCATCTACATGTTCTAAGAAGTTCAAATCAAACCTTCTTAAGGTCAAAAGGTATTTTCCAACTTGCTTTAAATTGACCAAATTGTTTTAGGTGGTGACATTTTGTCATGTTAATGCCTTGTATAAAACTGAAGCGAGGCGACGAAAATTACAAGTTTTTCATTTTAAACCAAAGTAATGCACATTTTTGTTTGAAATGTTGGTAGTATATTCACAACATCTTTCTTTTTCACGTATTCCGTGTTTTTCACCCTTACCCCCAGGGGCCTTGTATGAGGATCGGTAAACAGGAATTTTTGTTAATTTTGAGATCTCTGAAGTATAGCTTAATTATACTCAATTCACACATAGCTAGGCAAGGTATGTCCGATTCCAGCCGATCCGAACCCAGTATTTCACATTAAGAAGAGTGTGTGAAATATCAATAACACATGCAAGGTCACTAGTTCAACAGTTGTCATGGACTTTTCATATTTGATTTGATGACTTGCCAACTTGACCCTTGCCAAATGTTCCATTGAAAATGTGTTCGTTTTGGATGATTTTGTATAAAAATTGCAATGTGTGAAAAGAATTTACCCCCAAGACTCAATGAATTGTAGCTGCTTCATTCCACTCAGGCGTTGTTTCCTAAACTTTGCATTCCCCTTGCGCGGTCATGCAAAGGTTTGGAAACAATACCTTCATGGTATGAACACATGGGTCCATGGCTTAAATTCTTAAATGAAAGGCAATTTAGAGTAGATTGCAATTATTGTATAGTTTTTCTGATTTAGGCCTCATAGAATTCAAAATGGCCGCTTAATGTAGGATATCGCAATCATTTTCTGACCTCTCCAAAGTATGGCTATATTATACTCAAATTAAAGGAGTAAATCACAATTATGGTGTTGTTTTTCTGATTCGTACTTCAGAAAATTCAAAATGGCTGCCTAGAGCAAGAATTTGATATTTCTAGAGATCTCTTCAAAGTATGGTTACAGTATACTGATAGAAGACTAGATCTCAAATATCGTATTGTCTTTGTGATTTGTGCCTTTGTTGAAACTTCTACATGGCCTCCGAAATTCTGATAAATCTTCATTTGGTTTTGGTTTTCTCACTCCCACTCGTTTACCTGATTGTCATCAATTCACATTCGGTGATTAAACAGCAGCTAAAATGATCTATGCGAAACGAATTACATTCTACCTTCCCGGCAGCTCCACCATAAAATCCCAAGCCATGCATGCAGCATGCATTAAGAACATTAATTCCAGCATCAACATCACAATTTGTCGTTATGCATAAATAGTAAGATACATTATATATCATTCAATTGGTATCATGAACATTTCGTATATTGTGTAAAAATTAGTTCCCTTTGGAGTAAATAATAACTTTAGGAACTCTAATAAAATACTGTTTGAATTCAACTGTTAAGTTTCACATGTATCAGTCGTTCTTGTCAAGAGGTTTTTGAATGCCATTTTGAATACCATTGGTAGCTGTCTGGTGGCTTTCAAATATATCAGTTCCACTCAATAATCTGATACTTTGTACTGTCCAAACTGCTGTGAAAACAATGAAGAGTCCCTGTAGAATATGCAATATGACAGGTACAGTATCTCGTTGACTAACAATGTACATGTTAACACCACAGAATACAGCACATCTCAAACACTCTAAAACTGCACCATGCGCCCTGCAAAATATAGTTCAATGCATGATGAATATTTGATGATTCTGTAATATTGTCGTACACGAGGATTGTGTTTTCAGTGTCAAGAGGTCTTCAAAAAAGAACACTTGAATGCCTAAATGCTGGTACCAAATTCTATAAAACAACATGATCCGATAATAAGTGATTGATTTGCAAATGTACAGGGCCATGAAACAGTTTGTAGAAAATTGCTTTAGACCTACCTTTTCTCCAGTATGGCCCCAGATGTATAAAGGGACATGAAGAGGAAGATCATACACAGCAGCACAGTGCTCTGGGAGAGACCCTGTTCGAGAAGTTATCAACAAGAATAATATTAACACAAATGTTTTAGTATTTGAAAAATCAATACGCGGTCATACAGCATAACAAAGTAAGGTCACGAGCATGTACTGTTATTATCCTCCCTGAAACATTTTGTGGGAAGTGTCTAATCCTGAAGTTTATAGAACATTACAGTGCTCTTACCATCTTCCTAATTGTGACCTCCTGGCTTATTCCCAGTGTGATGAAGAACTGAACCCAAACGTATACTCGTGTCCAAAGTGGGTTTTGTGTGTTGTAGGCCTTCACAGGGGCTTTCACCTAGTTTTTAAAGGATTTATTGAAATAACTTAACTGTGTTAATTATTCAATTGGGTTGGGATACATGCTAACTTTTGTTTTTTGAAACTTATAACATGTCTTTCGTGTAGCTACATTTTTTAAGATGACAAACCAGTAATTTTTTTTCTTTTCTACGTCAGACTTAGGTAATGGAATATGGGGTCTCAGTTTTCAGTGTTTGCTAAACGTATGAATCCGAAATTACAAGTACTAATAACATAATCAATGTAGAAATTAAAATAATGGTGTTTAGAGATTGTTACCTTTGGAAGGTCATTTGGGTCTCCAAGTCGGAGATTAGGTTTTTCTTTGGTCCATCCAGGACCTTTGAATATGACTGAGAGCTTGTTTGACAGACCAGGGGTAGAGCACAACAAACCCCACATATACTTTAAATGACCTAACTGAAATTAAGATTCATCAATTTCAGACCTATATATTGTAATTAGGAAAAACATGAAAATTATGTCAATATATTTTTCTCATTACTTGTAATGCAATTAAAATCCAAAAGCTTTTTGAAACACGTAATTCACTTGGAGAATTTGAGTTGTCAAACTTTTACCGGTAAGATAATGTACCTGAATGTCCCAGGTCTGCCAGGTGTTAATAGGATGCGTTAATCCATATACGACCTCCTCATCTTCTGCTTGGAATGTACCTGAAATATAAACAATGTCCGCGTAAAACGGGGGAATGAACATTCAAGTGACATGTAAAGTAATGTACGCGTTACAAAACGCAGTGGTTGTCACGTCCAACAAACAATTAATGTGCTACATAACACACATTCGGGTAACAAATAAAATCAGGAGAATATAAAGAGTTTCGGTTAAAATTCGCATATACCAAACATCCTGTCCCATATGATGAGTGTACCAGCATAATTCTTGTCAATACAATAGGGGTTTCTACCGTGATGTACTCTGTGGTGACTAGGAGTGTTCAGGATGTACTCTAGGGGACCCAATGTACCAACAAGCTAGAATGTAAAATTGAAATAAAAAAGTCGTCTTACAAGCTATTTAGATAAATCCTATTCTGAGGGTTGGTGTAAACATTGAAGCCCACCTTCCGAAAATATTCATATTTTGTCATGTGTTCCAGCATTTGAGCTACGGTGGCCGACTCTTTCGAATGGCATATTTTAGCCATGGTTTTCATGCTCATTTTCCGGACCTCACACTCGTTCTTCCTGCTTTTCTTTCCTGGTCAATCGAAATTCAATTTTTTCAATAGTTTGATTGTATTCACTTTCAATGTAAATATGCATACAGCGTATAGACAAGTGTTACACCACTATACCTCTGTGTGAATCCAGAACTGATAGAGAAGGTTGAACTGTTTGTGAACCATGAACACCGGTGGAGGGATACACAGAGCCATTGGAAAATAGAATATCTAAAAAAATTAAATATGGGTCAATGTCATTTTGAGTGGTGAAAGGTCAATTCAAATGTAAATTCCACCGTTATGAAAAGTCATGTTTGACGAAGAATGTCAATGGAACTTAATTACAATCACAGAATGCAGTGATTGGAACGTTGTTGTGATTCTTACCCAAGATGTGTATTTCTGGAGCACTGATTGTCTGAGGGCAGTACTGAGATTATAATCTTCAGAGCTGTGGTGGACCTGGTGGGCTGCCCACATAAAGTTACTCTCTGAAATAAAAGCCATCGGTCTGCATGATGATCACGTCAATAATTTGAGAATCATGCAATGTCGAGCTTATCAAGGAGCAGTTTCGCAGCTGCATTCCGGCTACTACATTTAAATGATGCAGAAGGATTGATAAAGAGCAATCAAATTATGGAAATGGCAGGGAATTAAGAAATACCGTGTGCAAGTCTATGGAACCAGTAATACCCCAGGTCCACACCAAAAAAGGCCAGCCACCAGGTGAATGCAGAGTTCCAGGGCAGTTCCGTGATTCTCCAGTTGTTGTACATCCAAATGTATGAAGCCACCTCAGCGGAACGGAATAACATTCTAACAAAACAAGGTGTGGAAGTGTGTAAATGTCACACCTCAAAAATCTTCGTTACTGAGGTTTTTTGGCAAAATGCTTAAAACGAAGCAATTATCTTTCTATGTAACGTCGTATATAAGAGTTTGCTAATTACTCACTGAAAATTAAATGAATGTTTAACAATAATTCCCATTAGAGGCCTTGTTTACGTTAGTTCAACAGTCCCGGACAACGGTTCTCTGATTAAAATTTTTACCTTGGCAGTTCAGAGCACAGTCCCTGTACAATAGAAACATATCCATCATTGTGAAGTCTCATTTTTCTACTGCCAGTCACATGACAGATAGCATACTCGAGCAAAATTGACAATAGGAAAAACGGTGTCACCTAAAATGAAAAAAATCCAATGTGTGTGAAATTATAGGATATTTGTCAATTAATAAATGGAAAGACACTCTTCAAAAATTGTGATGTCACGAGGATAAGCTGTGATGTCATTCAGGTCAATTTTTCTCGTTCAAACATTTTCTAAATATGAGAAATTTTCAAAATAAAGCAATATTGTTAGACTTTCAAGGTAGAAATTAAGCCTTTGGATTCAATGAGGACTAAAATTTTAAATGATTTATGATCCACTTTTCGGCACATATGACCTAGTTTCTTGCTTATTTTTCAACCAATCTTAATAGTTAAAGTAGGTTAGAATGTATAAAGTTATGTTTGGTGTCAAGTATTTCTAACAATGAAGGTAAACATTTTATTTGAAATAAATTCATAAATTTAAACAAAAAGTCCTTCAAAATCAAATTTTTGAAATTAAATTATGATAACATGGGATAAGACTATAATATAATCCAAATTGGTTTAAACATATTGGGCCTTAAAATTATATAAACATCAAAAATGTTAAATACGTATATTCAAATGCAGGCAAGGGGCATGCATGTGTAGTTTTTTACCAGCACGTTTTTGTAGCAGGCAGGGCCTTTTCTACAATTTTAGGTCTCGCCTGAACCACAGAGACATATTTTGGGATATAAAATCAAGATACACTTTCGAGTTGTATTCCCCCTAAACATAACAGGCTTGCAAGTATTAGTTCTAGAGTAAAATCTGCCATAAAAATGTTTTAAAAAGTACATGATGAAGATATATTTCTTTCGGTTTGAGCATTGAAGATCTCATGACTGTAGTCTAGATTTATTCACGACTGAGCGGTATTCAATGCTATTCATTGCAGTCAAAATAAAATTAAAGAAATATTTGAACATTGACCTTCATCTCGGTGATAACATTTGACTATCGTGTATATAAGAACGTAAATATCACAATTTTACAACCGAATAACAACTGTAATTATAAACATATCGCTATAATCACCTGTTCAACATAGTTAGGAACATCTTCTACATGTTCAAATGTGGTTTCATTTGGTGTCACGGCATAGAATAAGTATCTAAATCCAGTTGTTAATGGAACCTTGAAAATCCCATCCATGTTTGTTGTATAAATAATGATACTGTTGTTGATGCCTTAACCCGCTATAGCGAGTATTTGATTCAGTTGGCGGGAATATAGAAAGTTGAAAAACGTTAAACGTAGTTTGATGGGCATCATCGACAATAAATGAGACCAGGAACAATCGTGCATATAGGATAAGGTCCACGAATAACATTTATCTATACTGTACGCCTTGAAACACGTTTCAAACTATTCATAGTACTTACAATGTGGTGCTAGCTTGTTGGAAATTAAAATTTCTTTCTGTGATTGTATTGTATTGTAGTTTTGTTATATATCATACGAAAGTATAATAGGCCTACTGAACTATTTATAACAACAATGTCAAAATTATTAAATGGTAAACATACGTTTGCAAATAAAACAGAGATGAACCCCTTACGTCAAGAACCACAATCTATGAGGCCTTGAGAATAGAGGTTCATGGTTGATATACGAGTCGATATATGAATAAAATATACTTGAACATCTTTTAAAATGCTCAATCCAAAATTACAAATCATTGCAATGATATAATACATGTAGCCTTCTTTTAAAATGCTTAATCCAAAATTACAAATCATTGCATGGATATATATACATGTAGCCTTCTTTTAAAATGCTTAATCCAAAATTACAAATCATTGCACGGATATATACATGTAGCCTTCTTTTAAAATGTTCAATCCAAAATTACAAATCATTGCAATGATATAATACATGTAGCCTTCTTTTAAAATGCTTAATCCAAAATTACAAATCATTGCATGGATATATATACATGTAGCCTTCTTTTAAAATGCTTAATCCAAAATTACAAATCATTGCACGGATATATACATGTAGCCTTCTTTTAAAATGTTCAATCCAAAATTACAAATCATTGCAAGAAGGATATATTAGCCTGTACATTTTTTTGCATTAAATAATGTACCCATAAAACTGTTTGGGAATGGAATTATCTTTTGTATTAGTTAATAAAAATACAAAATGAAATCCTGTGCTAGGGGCTGATGTGAAAAATTCACTATTGCCATCCAGATATTTATTTTATTTTCAATTTTAATTTGTATATTGTTTTAATTCTAGCCTATACTGGCATTGGTGTAAACTGTAGAGTGGTCCAAAAACAGAACCGATCAAAATTTAAATCATTCCTGAAATACCAATGCAATCAGCTTTATATCAAAACTATGGCATCAATCACGTTTCGTCTCGGTATGGACAATCCGATAATACGAGTACCTATTTATTTATTGTCTGTCTGTTTTGAACTGTTCTCTATACAATTTAATATTGGTGCTATATGTAGCTTCCTCTTAGCTAGCCTTTATTAGACTGGAATGACTTCCAGAACCTTATTCAACAGAATCTAGCACAATGTTGTTGAAGTGTCCTTAAATCTAAGATATGATTTTTCTTGATGTTGATTTTCTTAAAATTACCATTACCTACTGGAGGTCCCAGAAAGTTTTAATAAATTACAAAAATGTTTGTTAAAATATAAATCATTTATTTCTGTAAATAATTGTTAAATCAGTCATAATAATACTGCATAGTGTAAAATTGTTATACAAATGTTTTCTTATTGTAAATATTGCTATAAAATTGGTCACCATTTATAAATCAACACACCCGTCAATAAATGTCACACATGTAATACAAATGACATGAACACAATGGAAATAGCAAAATAATATCATATTAAATCAAAAGTACATGTGATACAAGTAATCATACATCATTGTACATGTCTCTTTAATCAATCAAATCTGTTTGCAGTGTCACATTTAAGGAAAAATATAATATCAGTGGACAATATGTGATTAAAATATCTCTATAGAAATATTGAAACAGACTATGTATAAAGAGTGAGAATATCTTTAGAATAATATCATGGGCTTTCAATAACGCAAATGCAATTAGGTAGTTACCAGTTTCACCACCAGGTGGCTCGCTCGGGTCAGATAGCATGGCGGGTATAGTAGAAAGTTCCCTTTAACTTAGATTACATCTGTTTTAGTGGTTCAATTTTCATATAGCCCTAGTGTATCGAATAGTTATGCAAATTAAAGTATGTCCAGTAAAAGAAAATGTTATGTGTCCAATACAAGAAAAGATATTTCACTTTTTGTGATTTTGTAACATCGAGTCTATGAGGAATCAACCCGAACTAGAAGTCACATTTTCAAAAAATATTAAAATTTCAAAGTTGATAAACAATTTTCGAAACCATATTTTTTGATGTATTTTTACATGTAGATTTCAAATATGACATCACTTTGACTGAATTTTGAATATTTAATGACGTAAATGAAGATCATTTCTACTCGCATCTAGTCTATTAGAGTTGAAAGCCCATGATAATATTATTATTATTATTTTATTCACCTTTATAACGGTGGCACACCTCAAAAGGGTGCTATACATATATGAAACATTTTACAATCAGTCTTTCAATTTAATATGAATTTTGTTTAAAAATCTCTTGGTAAGAAAATCAAATTTAAAACCAATTTCATGCCCATAATTCAAAAATACATCATTACCAAGCAGCCAATGTAGTTTTGAGTCTTCTGGTAAGGTTAAAAATTCATTCCATACAGGAGATGGAAGTGTTGATTTGAAATCATTGAATAGGGCAAGGCGTCAGGACTGAAAAATGACATTTAAGCAATCTATGACGAAGGTCATCCCTACATTCATCATTGCATAATAGACAAATGCCAGTTCCCTTGCCCCATCTTTCTAAATCAGCCTGTAACATAAAACAGCCAGTCCTGGCTCTAAACTTAAGCTGGGTGAGGTAAAAATCCTTTCTATTGTTCATATATAGCTCCATACCAGGGTGTTGTTTGACATCCTTATAAAAACTAAGTGAAGACTGGGTTCCAATATTTTCTTGAAAATTAAAGATATCTTGATCATCCGAAATGACCTTATATGACCTTATATTTCGGAACATAACACCTTCAAGACCCCTGTCCATTAAAATATCATGCACATTATTCATATATTTCCAAGATAATATTTTGCCTTGGTTATGACATATTTTAAGCATACTTTGAAAAACTACATTTAAAAGGCTATTTCGAGTGTTCATCTTGAGGTATGTGAAATATATGAGGTATGTCTTCAATTTCACGCATAATTGGTGTCCAGCACAAGTCACCAAAAAGGGCATTTGTGGCTGGTTTACAGCGAAGTTGTAGGAGTGCTCTAGCAAGGTTATATTGAGCTGACTTAAGGTTTACTAGTTTTATTGACCAGCCAGACACCACAGCCATGTGTCAGAGCTGGGAGAACCATGGTTCTGTAAATACTTTGTCCAAAATTAAGCCTGTTAACATTGTTATGCTTGGCTAATGTATACCTCATGTAACCAGTCATAGCAAATCTTTCAGAATTGTGTAATTCTGATTTGAAAGATTACAATAAATTTCAACATGGTTAACATAAAAATCAAAAGACTAAATTGATTAAATGCTTAAGAAAAAGATACAGATTGCAAAAACATTGGTATACAATGTATACATGTATGTTTCCAGCCTGTCAGCAGACAAGACTGCATTGTTATTCTTAATCGATGCCTGTTGGCACTTGTAATTTTGGCACATCAAACTACTTTGATATCATACACCATGTACACCTGGTATACTCCAAACCTAATATTCTCTATATTCACTCTAATCTTGTTAATTTTAAGCTCTGGTCTTGTGACTAAAAACACCTTCATTGCTTTGTTTAGTCAACCTTTGTATTTGTGGTTGTCATTTCTGCTTTATAGCTGTTCTTTCCAGTCACAATATTTAGACTTTGTACTGCCCAAACTGCTGTGAATGCAATAAACAGTCCCTGTAGAATGTGCAGTATGACAGGTACAGTGTCTAGTTGACTAACAATGTACATGTTAATACCACAGAATGCAGCACATCTCAAACACTCTAGAACAGGTCCATGCGGCCTACAAAACACACAAAATTTGAGAAATTTAAAAAATGTCTCTCAAGTGAACTCTGCAATGTAAATGCTTTTAACCAGTCTTGTAGCAATCACATTTCAAAGATTTAACATTCATGGTCATGCCTGTTTGCAGGCTTCATTATGTATGTATTTTGTTAACCTCCGGTTAAGTTGAGCAGTTTTCGTTAATATTATATAAAATTAGAGCAGTTTTTGCCATTTTCGGTGAATTTGTAAAAGTGACCGATTGACCACCACTATATGCTTATTCGCAAAAAGAGGTTGGAGCTGGGATTGGACATATGAGGTCTTGCTGTACCTAAGGTAGCAAAAGAATATAATTTATCTACATAATGCATCAGTTGACTTACTGTTGGTCCAAGATGGCCCCTGAAGTGTACAATGTGAACATGAGGAAAAAAGCAGCTAGCAGAACTGTACTTTGAGACATCCCCTGAAAATAAAAGTACACACTACAGATATTCAAAACAGGATTCTTATTATCCCACCGAACGAAGTTCGAGGGGGATATAGAAAAGCCGTCCGTCCATCCGTTCGTCCGTCCGTTCTTCCGTCCGTCCGTTCTTCCGTCCTTCCGTTCGTCCGTCCGTCCGTTCGTGTGTCCGGGCAATAACTCAAATACCGGTTGACGGATTTCATTCAAATTTTATAGGCTTATGCCTTATGGGTGTAGGACCTCTGCTCGAGAAGGAATTTTCAATATGGCCACTTAATTCAAAATGGCGGCCATTTTTCGGAAAAAATATGATCTTTAATAACTCAAATACTAGTGGATGGATTTGGTTCAAAATTTATATGCTGTTGCCTGGGTACAAAGGAGCCTTGCTCAAGAAGACATTTTCAAGATGGCCACCAAATTTCAAAATGGCGGCCATTTTTCGTAAAAATCCGTTATCTTTGATAACTCAAATACCATTGAATGGATTTGGTTCAAATTTTAGATGCTGATGCCTAGGGACATAGGAGCTCTGATCGAGAAAGGATTTTCAAGATGGCAGTTAAATTTCAAAATGGCGGCCGTTTTTCGTAAAAAAACATTATCTTTGATAACTCAATTACCATTGAATGGATTTAGTTAAAATTTTACATGATGATGCCTAGGAACATAGGAGCTCTGCTCGAGAAGGGATTTTCAAGGTGGTAGCTAAATTTCAAAATGGCCGCCATTTTTCATAAAAGAACGTAACCTTTGATAACTCGAAAACCAGTTGATGGATTTGGTTCAAATTCTTTATGCTGATGCCTAGAGACAAAGAAGTTCTGCTCAAAAATAAATTTTCAAGATGGCCCCTGAATTTTAAAATGGCCGCCATTTTTCGTAAAAAAATGTAATTAATGATAACTCAAATACCAGTGGATGGATTTGGTTCCAATTTTATATGCTGATGTTTAGGGAAAAAGGAGATCTGCTTCAGAAGAAATTTTAAAGGCGTTAGCTGAATTTCAAAATGGCTGCCATTTTTCATTAAAAAAGTAATCTTTGATAACCCAAATACAAAGTACCATTGGACTGACATTCTTTGCTAAAGAAGAAATCTAAAGATGACAGCTGAATTTCAAAATGGCAACCATGTTTCATAAAAACATAATCTTTGATAATTCAAATACCAGTGGATGAATTTGGCTCAAATTTTTTATCAAAACATGTTTTGTTCGGTGGGATTTGCTACTCCGTGGAGTTGCTGTTTTTCTAGTTGTACATGTTCAGGTACAGTACATGTGAATAACTGATGTACATGTATATATATACAAAAGCGCATTGATATCTTGATCTTTATCTGTCTTGATGGTGACAAAAATCTTTATATTTACCAATTTCCTGAGAGTCAATTCTTGGTTTATCCCCAATGTGATGAAGAACTGGATATAGACATAGACATTTACCCACAATGGGTTCATTTTGTTGTAAGTCTGGACTGGAGCTTTCACCTATAACACATAATTTACCCTAATCAATACTAAAGAGAAAGACAAGCTCTTACACTGACTTACATGGATACTATAAAGTACAAAATTTGCTAGACTGTTGATGAGTCTTACTAACTTGGGGGCATCATTCACAGATAATTATGAAATACTTGCAAAATTCACTCAATCATTGTACAATATAGTATAGTACATGTAGCTTGATCTAGCTATCCGCAATGTTGTATCTGAACTTGATATTTTCTATCATTCATTTATTTTTTGGAATATTTAATGGGGTATGTAGGACTATACATATGTAGTATAATTCATGTAAGGCGCTTCTATTTCATTTCTTTGTTCTTGCAGGTCAGATATATAGACTTATATTATTGTATGTTCTCTACAGTTGTGCTTTCTCAATATATGACAAGATGCCACACCACAAATGTACAGTATGTTATACTAATCTAATCTAACTTTTTACTGAAATCACCCTGACGCTTTTATACAAAAAAAACATACATACCTCTGGAAGGTCATTAGGGTCTCCAAGTCGGAGATTAGGTTTTTCCGGAGTCCACCCGGGACCTTTGAATATGACTGAGAGCTTGTTTGACAGACCAGGGGTAGAGCACAACAAACCCCACATATACTTTAAATGGCCTAACTGAAATTATAAGACATCAAACATTGGAGCATTTAACATTCAGGACATAGGCCAAGATGATATGGGTAAGAATGATTCACATTACAGTGAAACCTGTAAAGTTGAACATCTCTGTAAGAAGAACCCTTCAGAGTCCCAAGACCAATTGTCGTAATAATAAATGAACCTCTATTGGTGGAACACCTCCCAAGTGGGACACTTATTAGAGGTACCAAATGTGTTACTGTACTAAATGAGAATGGCTTTAGTTTTAGAATGTTTTCATGTTTTAATTGTACATTCAATGAACTTGCACTGGTCATGGCTTACCAAGCAAAAAATGAGAAAAGTATATTAAGTAATAAAAATGTGTACAAAGTGACCCATCAAAATGCAATCCATGAATAAAAATGCCAATAACTTCCAGTTTTAAATTAACTACTAGACATTAGGCACAAGGGATCTTCAGTCTATATTCATCTGGACTGACAAATTTCAAAACTTAACACTAAATACTAACTCACTCATTTAAAAACATACAGCATCTCATGTCTTGCTATAAATAGCAAGGCATTATTAGAGATAAATACAGACACACGATTATTGGACAAGTACACAGGCAAATTACATCGGACCCCGTACAAGCCCGTACGGAGCTCGTTGTGTCACCGAACCCTGTACAGCCTCATACGGGCCTCGTAAGGAGTCTCGTAATTGCTTGTAATTTTCGAGCCTCATAACAGCTTGTGAGTACAAGGCCTGTAATAGCTTGTAATTTTCGTATGGTGCCCGTAACGAGCCCCGTAATAAATCGTAATTTTCAATCTCCGTACTTGCTCGTATTGTGCCTGTTACGAGGCCCGTAATGGCTCGTAATTTTCGACCACTGTACTTGCCCGTACAAGGCTCATAAGGAGTCTTGTAATTGCTCATTTATTTTGATAAACATTTTTTGATCAATGAAATAAAATACAGCACACTTGAGAAATGGTATTTCAATTATATCTAATTATGAATTAATATGTCCTCAATTATTTCAAAATGTGATGTAAATAAATGTTATTGTTATCGAATGTGTAAATAAAAAACATCACTCTGAAGTGATTAAACACACAGCATGTTCTGGATATACATGAATCATGTAGCATGACAGCAATTAATTACGAGCCTCGTACATGCTCGGACGGGCCTCGAAAACAACAATTATGAGCATCGTACGAGCTTGCACGGGCCTTGAAAACAAGCTTCGTACGGGCACGTACGAGGATGGTGCTCCTCTTTGCCCGTAATGACTTGTAATTCTCGAGGCTCGTATAAGCTTGTATGGCGCCCGATGTAATTTGCCTGTGTACATGTAATGGCAAAGGAAGCAGTCACTTTAAAAGTTCAAGCATAATCCTATTGATGTATTATAGAGGTATATACCATACCTGTATGATATCCATTTGCCAGGTGTTGATTGGATGTACCAGACCATACACAACCTCCTCATCTTCCTGGCCAAATGTTCCTAAAATAGAATTAAAATGTTCCTAAACACTGTCATGGAGAATGGTAAAATTGGCAAAATGTTCCTTAATACAATGAAGAATGGCAAAATGTTCCTTAATACAATGAAGAATGGTATTATTATATCCGGTACCATTTCAGGATCTAGCTCAATCAAAGTCCTCAAGTGCCTAAACTGGTTACCGCTCGAAACTAGAAGATCCCACCGCCGCATGAACATGATGTATAGTGTCACAAATGGAAATAGTCCAAATTATATACTTGACATCTTCAGAAAGTTCCAACGTCCTGACAATAGACGCGTTCTTCGCAACAAACCATCATATATCCTCCCCGCAAAACGTGCTATTATTAAATCAAAATCATGTGTTTACAGAAGTATAAACGAATGGAATGATCTACCTCTGAAAATCAAACAATCAAACACACTTGATACATTTAAACGTCAAATGGCCTCAAAATCACTACCAACTCCTATAATAGCAAGTTTTTCATTAAATCTTACTAGACATCGGGAAAAACTCTTGAACCAACTCCGATGCGACCTAGTCCTCCAAGCGCAACTACACTCACATAATTTTAACAATGTTAATTCCCCAATGTGCGCTTGCGAACTAGAATCAGAAACACTCAACCATTTTCTTTTCAGATGCCCCCTCCATGTAGATGATTTCAAGTTGCTTAATGATAAAATAACACGTGAAATTCCAATGATAAAGTTTAACTCTCTAACTCGAGCCAATAAGGCTAACACTTTACTATTTGGTCATCATCTCTGTAATAAAAATGAAAATTCATGTATCATCAAATCATTTGCTGAATATCTAGACATAGCATTTTCTAACCGCTGAGTCATTCCTTAGAGCACCACCAACATGCTACTAGTCGTGCGAGCCTCACTTGGCTGTATACCTTCAACTATGTAACACCGATGTACGTCAACTCCTATATTTCTGTAAACATGGCTCATAATGTCAAGTTGACCGAGCCACTGACTTAAATACTAAATAAATAAAAAAAAAAAAAAAAAAAGAATGGCAAAATGTTCCTTAATACAATGAAAATTGGCAAAATGTTCCTTAATACAATTAAGAATGGCAAAATGTTAATAATACAATGAAGAATGTCAAAATGTTCCTTAATACTATGAAAATGGCAAAATGTTCCACAATACAATATAGAATCAAACACACCTAAATACACCGTAGAATAGCAAAATATTCCTAAATACTGAAATCCTGAACAATGTCTAATGGCAAAATGTTCTAAAAAAAAGAATAAAGGTAGTCTCTCAGCTTTTCAACCACATTGATGTTTCCATAACCACGAACCCATAAGATTGGTGATCCTCTAAATCCAATTAGAATACTATCAAGATATGAGACATTTCTACACTGGATAAATATGTCTCAAATAACGTAGGACAACACAGATTAATATTTATGTGTGGAATGCTAAGTTAGTAAAACTACTCACAGGACATTCTAGTACAGATCATTAATAGACGAGACAGGACACCACGGATACATAAATACTCGAGATTAGATACATCTTGTCTAATAACATATAATTAATAACCAAACATAAATTATAGATTTCAATGATTTGGCACCTACGGGCGGCATCTGCAGTGTTAGCAATTGTTGTATTTATAACTAACATAATAATTCTTCAATTATCATTGACCACAACTGGCCCTGAGGATGATTTATTAAATCAGTGATATAATACGTCACTGATAATAAATAAACATACAAATTACAAAATAACAAAAAACCTGTGACAAAATAATTGTATAAGCTCAAAAGGAATATCTAAGGTAGTATCCTTAATTGGAGGGTGAGGTGGGAGGGGGAAGAAAAACTGACTTGTTACTTCTAAATCAGAAGGTACAATGAACACAGTAATTTATGCGGGAATTTATTTTCCCAATCACGGAAAGTGACGAAGATTGCCGACGACACTTTCACGAGATTGGTGATCCTCTAAATCCAATTAGAATACTATCAAGATATGAGACATTTCTACACTGGATAAATATGTCTCAAATAACGTAGGACAACACAGATTAATATTTATGTGTGGAATGCTAAGTTAGTAAAACTACTCACAGGACATTCTAGTACAGATCATTAATAGACGAGACAGGACACCACGGATACATAAATACTCGAGATTAGATACATCTTGTCTAATAACATATAATTAATAACCAAACATAAATTATAGATTTCAATGATTTGGCACCTACGGGCGGCATCTGCAGTGTTAGCAATTGTTGTATTTATAACTAACATAATAATTCTTCAATTATCATTGACCACACTGCAAACTGGCCCAAAAGCGCCCGCAATGCACACTAGGGTAAAAGCTGCTAAAATTGAACTTTCTTATGTCAAGCAAGTTGGGTGATTAATTACACCCTGGTAGGCCAGTAGCATATGTTTACTAAGCTTGCTGCTGTGTAGCCCTATTAACAATATTAACACTTTTGAATTTCAAAATAACGGTTTTGGTCAATTCTAGCAAGAATATACAAAAGTTTGTGACATGACTGTTAGCAAGAGATGACCGGGTTAATTTCAGGGTTCAAAATTGATTTGTTTTTAAACTTCTGTTCTGAAATTATGCTAAATCAGAATAAAGTTAAAATCTACTTTTTGTACGGGTAATTCTAGAGCATTTTCTAAAATCTTCTCTTGGTGAAACACATGATTAACAATACTTTGCAACAATATTTTTTTATAAAGTTGGATCCATATTATGAAGGACAGTATATTGCACTTCAAAATCAAAATATAAAGCTATAGTAGCAAGTATAAAGACAAGAAAATGACACATAAAAAACAAAAACACACATAAATCTGAAGGTAATTGATATTCAATACTTCATAAACAATACTTTGCAACTATTTATTTTTGCAAAGTTGGATCTATGCTATTGAGATAAGTCTGTAGTACATAGAAATCAAAATATAAACATGTAGTAACAAATATTAAGTACCTATAATATATATTTTATATATTCACTCGAACAATCCTTGTGTTAATGGTAAAATACTATAGCAAAACGGAAAGTTCTACGTACATTGATCTTGTTAAGGTACATATTTCCTAAAGTCAAAATTGTTACTAAAAGAAAAGAATTATGGATGGTGAAAGATATTTGAAAAGTCTAATTGCAAGTAAAATTTTGTTGAAATAAGTAGTTGCAAAAGTGCTTTAATTGTAACATTTTACCAGTGGAGAAATAGAAATTCCAAGAAATTGTTTCTATCTGAAAATTCAAATGTTATATTTGAGAAATGACCCACACTTCTTAATGAGTAATATCTAGGAGTTTTACTGGATCAATTTTCTTAAAGTCCCCATCTAAAGTTTAAACCACTTTGGCTTATATTGTAGTCTTACCCAATGTTATCAAAGTGTGATATGTGAAACTTTTTTTTTAAATTTCAAAAAGTGGTTTTTGATAGACTTTTTTGTTCCAAAATTTGTGAATTTATTTAAAACTAACTTTTAGAGGTCACACATATCTATTAATTAGCCAAAACCCATACCAATGCATAGCATTCATCCTCGCAGGTTTTTTGCCCAAAAAATTAAGAAAATCGGTTCATAAATAAGCGAGAAATGAACTTATCAGTGCATGAAAATGGTTCCGAGAAAAATGCATTTAAAAATTCTAGTTCTCATAGAAACCAATGGTACAATGATATCTAAAACATAATATATTCTTCCTTTTAACCTGGTTAGACAATCAACATTGGTATATTATTGAAGTCTAGCATATTCAGAAAAGAATGACATCGAAAAAAAAATTTCTATTTTTTCAAAAAGTTTTTGTTACCTTTGTGACATCACTAATGTTTCAAAATATTTTTGATATGCTAAAACATTAAAGTGGCCTATTACACGGTGTATAACCCAAACGCTCCTACATGCATGACGGAGCGTTACATTTACGCGGAAACGCTCCGGAGCGAAATAAAATGGCGGCTAATGAAGATTCTACTATCACCGTAAGTATTGTTTCTCTCGTTTCTCTTACATATCATATGTCATGGTGAAATATTATGTACCATTCGATGAACAATACCGTGAGCAAAGATCTTATTTATTCAACTTCTGGTGGTAAACTGTTATTTGCTTGATCAAAGCTCCGTAGTGTAGATCGAACGAATCTGAAGATGACAATTTGACCACAAATTACGAATTAAACTAGTATTTCTATGAAAACGTTAATCTTTCTGTTTAAGTAGTAGATCACAAACTCGTATATTCTCATTTCCTAAAATCCCAGTCCAAATCCATTACATGTTCTCGAGAAATCGCTTGTTTTCCTCGAAACGCTCCGTCGATTTAGACCACAATTTTAGAAACGCTCTTACCATTTTGTTTTGATATCATTTTCAGATTATTAGAGAAGAGTTCCAAATCGAATCTATCTCTCAAAAACGTGTTGTACTTGTTAGGCAAATTGAAACATCTGAACCTGGTGGTGCTAAACGTGCAACTAGCTGATTAAAGCCTATAGATTAGATGATGTCATACCTACATATGTGCTAAATCATAAAACTATAGAAAAAAACGAAAAGTTATATGTGAATTAATCTTTCTTCTATTGATGCCAAGGGGTATAATAGATCTTTTCTTTCTCTTCCTGAAAAGGAAAGGCAAGCTATATATTTCCTTAACTGATCTAGACTACCGGAGCGTTTCCAATTCACTATGTTAACCAGATCGGAGCGTTTCTTGAATATGAGAATGTCATCATTTTTAAGACTGGATTTTCGGTCATCAAATCACGATTACGATAATGTATGGTGCGTTGAAGCATTGGAATTTGACTAAAATATACGTTGGTGCTCTAATCTTGGCTCAACTAATCACATGTATCGACAAAAGGGGTTTTGACCGGAAGAATGACAAATACGTTTTTGAATTTTGATAACTATACTGCTTCGTACAGCTCTTCCTAATTGCTTCAAACGTCAACAGCCAGCCACGTACAACATGAATATCACACCCATCGAATGGTATACTCGAAATATGTAACTCATACCTCTTATTCCCATTATTGGGGAAATTGTCAGACGGCTCATCATTCCCGCCAGACAGTTTTCCTACTCCGGAGCGTTTCTTTGTTTAATTTCAGTAATGAAACGCTCCGTCGTGCATGTAGGAGCGTTTGGGTTATACACCGTGTATTAAATATGGCATTTTATTATTGAAATAGTGTGTCCTTTGATCAACCTTTGCATTGGTGTTAAAAAGATAATCTTTTTTGAAATGCATTAAGAAATATTTGATGATTAAAAAATTTCAACTTTTTTCAAAAATGGCGGGAAATTTGAATATTTGAGAAATGAAATGCTCACAACTTTTTTTTCAAAATAAATTTTTCTTTCAAAAATCTCTAGAATAACTTTTTAAGTCATGACAAATAGTAAATGAATGATAAAAAAATATTTTCAAACTTTAGACTGGGACTTTAAGATTTCACCATTTGGTACTTATTGGACAAGAGAATCCAATAGTAGGGTTCATCATTTTCAGAAACAAAGTTAAACTAGTTTTTAAATCACTTTAAACAGACATTCTTTATGCTGGTTAATTAAGCTAGCCTTCATAGCATTAGAGAAATCTATGCTATGCTTATCTCAGAATGCCTGATAAGGCTAGTAAACAAAGCAGTGGCTCTGGATCAAGGGGTAATTAATCTTCTGAGCTTTTGACATTAACAGATACATGGAGTCTCCAAGTGTGAATGAAAAATAAAAATAAAGAAACAAAACAAAAGGTAACACATAAATGTGAACACAAAGCGTTTAACTATATTGTTACCTCTCTCACGCGTTCAATACTTAGTAGAAAGCTTGTTAAACCCCTGAAAATATAATAGTGAAACTCATATGAGTTTAATGATTACAGGCTATGAATTGAGCAAGTCTCTCAGATAAGTATTGTCTCTGATCCTCATCGATCTCCAAATATAATTTGTAAGCATCTGAAGCCCAATCACCTTGCTTTTGAATGAACTCTCCAGGTAGTCCAATTTTAAAGGCAAAGGTGGCGCCACCCCTGCGGAAACTATGACCTGTGTAACGTTCACTATGCACTCCCAAGAGTTTAAGTTTTAGCCTAAGTGAAGAAACAAAGGAGTTGGCTGTGATGAACTCCCCAGGGGCAAAGGTAAAAGCTGGTGAATCCAATTCAACTGGTACCCTTCCAAATAATTCTTTGATAAGACGAACTGGGCAAATAGAACTGTGGGGTATTCGAGAAAGAGGGATCCTGACTTTTCTAGATCCCGATTGATTGGTTTTGCTCCATTTAAGGTTTACCCAAACCACCTCATCTTGAATAAGAAAATCACCCCTGGAGAGATGTTTGTTACAGTCATATCTGTATTTAGAAGGAGGAAAACTGACTTGTTACTTCTAAATCAGAAGGTACAATGAACACAGTAATTTATGCGGGAATTTATTTTCCCAATCACGGAAAGTGACGAAGATTGCCGACGACACTTTCACGACATTATGAGTGTGATAGGTATAAATGTGTAGATGCTGAATAACAGTTAGCCAGCCTATATACATGCATCTTCAGATGCTAAGCAAAGAATATGCACCATATTTTAACACTGTGTATTGTACAGTAAAAGAACAACTGTACATACCAAACATCCTGTCCCATATGATGAGTGTACCAGCATAGTTCTTGTCAATACAATAGGGGTTTCTACCATGATGTACTCTGTGGTGACTTGGGGTGTTCAGGATGTACTCTAGGGGACCCAATGTACCAACAAGCTGGAATGTAAAACAGTAACCAATGTACATGTAGTAAGAGAATAAGTTAAATATGGAGACTTTCAATAGATGGAAATCTTGTTCTTATAAATGAGAATGTTGAGATATTGGTCTCCTGTTGGTAGGCCTATCAAGATGTTGGAATATTGAGATATGTGTGTGTTGAACTATAAGGAGTACATACATGTATATTGTATGGGTATGTTTATATCAGGGCATTGTGGCAAATGATAAGTAGATATATGGCTACCAGTATTTTAAGATATGGACATGTTCAGATATTAATCTACAGATTATGGGTATGTTTCATCAGTATAGTGATATTTGGGCATCTTGACGATTGCATATCGTGATAATGTATCATTGAAAGGTTTGTGTGAGACCTCCACTTGGGGAGGGCATGGGTCTTTAATGGGAATTTGTATTGTATCGTATTGTCCCAAGGGTGGAATTTTTACATAGTCCTATTACCAGTAAATGGAATACTGACTATATTAGACTTGCTGCTCCCAGGATGAGGAAATCAACTCACTAGGTTGCTCTAAGGGTAATGAACTTGAGACTCAAATATTTCATTCTGTCAAAATACTAATATTGCGTGAGGGGTCTTACACAAACATTTGGGACTGCTATAATTCAATAATAAAAAATGTAAGGGTTAAGATAAAACACTGAAAGCTTAGTGTGACTAGCCAAGCCCCTTACAGGGATACTTTATATTAGTTATACATGTACCTCTGTATGTATCCAGAACTGGTAGAGAAGGTTAAACTGTATGTGGACCAGGAACACTGAGGGTGGAATGAAGAAAGCCAGTGGAATGTAGAACACCTACAATATAAATTTGTCAAAATCAAAAAACAAGAGTGGTCAACATGCAGGTTATTAGTGACACAAATAATTTTGTCCTTCAGCCCCTGGTATATCTTGAATGTGAGTGATCTTATTTGTTTTGAAAACATAAAATACTGTAATTGATTGGAACCTTGGTGTGATTCTTACCCAAGATGTGTATTTCTGGAGCACTGATTGTCTGAGGGCAGTACTTAGGTTATAATCTTCAGAGCTGTGGTGGACCTGGTGGGCTGCCCACAAAATGTTACTCTCTGAAATAAGAAATGCGGGGACATGAAGAAACTTGAATAATTCAATAAAGAGTGGCAAAGTGTTCACAAGATCCGAAATAGGCATTCTGATAATAGCATCTTTCTGTTTCACCTGAAACATCTCAGGGTTGAGAAGATTTGAGAGGTCATGGTTTATCATGATGCGAAATACTAAATAGGTGGCAAGATGAAGAATGGAAAGGAATGTATAATGGCAAAACACAGTTCCTAAATACAGTAAAACCTGTCTAATCCAAACATCATTGGGACTGGCTAGAAGCATTCAGATTCAAGGTGTTCACATTTCAAGGTTTTTGCATTCGCGATACAATAAATATCTATAGTTCTTTTGACCACATCACTTTATGGCATTCCAGTAATTTGAAAATTTGATTGATATGAACTTAGTCTTGTTAGGGGAGGCATCAAAAGTTCAATGTCTGATAGGAAACTAAATAAATCTAGTTTTGAGTTGGACCCCCCCCCTCCCCCTCAAAACTAAATACAATGAAAGTTGATCGCATACTTTTCACATGTTTTAGCGACTCAATTTGGACTTTCATGGGGCCAGTACTATAACTTATTCATGATTCTTAAAACATGTGCCAACAACAATAGGCATAATATTCCATGTTGTATGCATCTTGGTGAAGAAGGCATCTGGTAAAGTCTTTATTTTTAAACCATTCCAAGGCATTTCGAGTCGAAATTGCGAAAAATTTAAATGTTGAAATTTGTCGGATAGCAAACTGAAATAGCTTTGACCCCCTCCCCCCCAAACTAGATTTATTTAGTTTTCTATCAGACATTGATCTTTTGATGCCTCCCCTTAGAAAGCCCCATTGAGATTGAGGCCATTCAAGGTTTCTCTAAAATTTTTGATATCATGACAAATCAGTGTTTACTTTCAAATATTTGAACAATTTTGTATGAAACATGCCATATTTTATGAAAAATGTTCAGATTACACAGGTTTATTTTTCAAATATGAATGTTCACTGTTCAAATTGAGAGGTGTTCACATTTTAAGTCTTTTTAAACTATGAGTCAATGGGAGGAAAAAATGGGACCAAAAATGTGTTGGATTGGGAGGTGTTCAGATTACCCAGGTGTTCTGATATACAGGTTCTTATGTACAATGAAGAATGGCAAAACAAAGAGACTTGAAGAAATTTGGACATACATGTACAGTGACAATAATGATCTTCTGATTAAATCTGCTAATTAGTCCAATAATGATTCTCAAAAAATACATTAGAATATACATGAAGAAATATTACCATGTGCATATCTATGGAACCAATAATAGCCAATGTCTACACCAAAGAAAGCCAGCCACCAGGTAATTGCAGAGTTCCAGGGCAGTTCCATGATCCTCCAGTTGTCATATATGTACATATAGGCAGCCAACTCTGCTGACCTAGCGAACAACCTACAATACATATAAATATATACACCAGAGGTGGATTCGGGGGGATGGGTATCTGGGTATGGGGCCCCCTTTAGAAATATAGTTTTTGGGCCACAAATTTTGAAGGGCCTCAAAAAATGGGGGGATGGTCATGGGGCCCCCTTTAGTAGGCCCAGAAAAAAGTTTTTGTGCTCCAAAATTTTTTAGGGCCTCAAAGAATGGGCCTTTTGGGCATAATTTAGACATTTTATGCCTTTTATGGGCCAATTCATCAAAAAATGGGCCTTCATTTTTCAAAATTTGGGCCCAATTTTTGGTTTTAGGGGCCCAAATTTTTTATTTTTATATATTCATATAATTCTATGATTGATCCTGTTCAAGGTTCTGCTTTATTTTTTCATGAAATACTCATGAAATCCTTGAGTGTTAAATGTTGACTTACTTAGGAATCTCTGAGCACAACCCTTGACTCATGGAAATGTAGCCATCATTTGACAGACGAAGCTTTCGTGTTCCTGTAGCCATACAAATAACATACTCCAGCAACACAGCAAGGATAAAGTAGGGAGTCACCTGAAAAAATATTCTTTATTACAGGGTACCCATTCCAGGAAAAAAGATACAAATGCACTGATTTTTAGAAATTTGATTGTGTGAGGATGAAATTGCCACTCATTTTATATACCAGAATGGAGTTGCATATGGATCAACTGAACTCAGAACAAAAACAGTAAATTGAACTTTGAAGACATACAATTCAGTTTATTAATTAGAATAATGAACACTGAAATTTTTTGCGAATACAGTTTACAGCCATTAAAACAAGCTACACAAGGTGAAAATTGGGAAATAAAAAGGTTTCAATATTTTTGTTATTTCTGTTTCCCATTTTATTAAAAACAAGACCAACAATCTTTCAAAGAAATTCTGAATTGAGCCTGCGATGCGTGTATTGTCTATTTCTAGAGTTGTGAGTCAACAGATCCTAAACAAGGCATCAAACATGCAAAATGTCACCACCTGCCAGAGTTTGTGAAAATACTGGATAGCTGGGTAACCTATATAGTGAGTGGTTACCTAATGTTCCTTTCCTAGCAGTGTTGTTTTTATTCAAGGAGGGGACAGATAAAATAAATAATAGAATGCTAATTTTATCAGCTGAGACGATATGTGAACCATTGAGTTTGCTTTTTAACAAAATTTTTACATCTCATTGTTTCCCGAAGATTTGGAAAGAGGGTATTATTGTTCCATTACACAAGAAAGGAGATAGATCTAAAGTTGTCAATTATAGACCAGTCACATTGTTAAATGCCTTATCTAAAGTTCTGGAAAAGATTATTTATGATAGAATTTTCAATCACATGATCCAAAATAACCTCTTTTACAGTTTTCAGTCAGGATTTCTTCCTAAGCATAATACCACTTCCCAACTTTCATATATTATTCATTGCATTCAAGAAGAATTGAATAATGGAAACAATGTAAGAACTATCTTTCTTGATTTAGCGTCAGCTTTTGACGTCGTTCCGCATCAATTACTATTACAAAAGATGAAATCTTATGGCATCAACAATAATCTCTTACTTTTAATGAATTCATATCTGTCACAAAGACAAGTAAAGGTTAAAGTAAATAATTCTTTCTCGAAATGGTCAGAACCTGATTTTATCAATGCTGGTGTGCCACAAGGCAGTGTATTAGGGCCGCTTATGTTTTTAATGTATATAAATGATCTACCTGATAATCTAAATTGTAAGACTTTCATTTATGCAGATGATACATCAATCTTCCTTCCTTACTCTAAGAAAAGCCCTTTACTCTCTCAAAATCTGCAAATTGACCTAAATACAATTAAAACCTGGGCTGATACCTGGCAAATGAAATTTAAGGCATCAAAAAGTGCTGACCTGACTTTTACATCACCTTTAACAAACCCTGTTAATGAACCTTTACTCTATTTGTGAGGTGACCCCATTCCTAAAACTATTAGTCATAAACACCTTGGTGTTATTTTAGATCAAAAGCTTAATTTCAAGGAACATGTTAATGAGCTCACCAAGGAATTACAGACAATCTTAAATCCATTTAAACAATTAACTCACATTCTTCGTTCGAATCATTTGGAAACCATATATAATTCTTTTATTCTTAGTAAAATTGATTATGCTGATATTATTTACAATAGTGCTCCAAATATAGCTACCAGCAAACTTGAAAGACTGCATTATAATGCAGCTTGTCTAATTTCCGGTGCTCTGCATGGTTCAAGCACCTATAAGGTCTTGAAGACATTAAATTGGATTACTTTGTCTGAGAGAAGAAGAAGCCATCTTTGCTCATTTCTATTTAAAAGTAGAATCAATTTATCAGCTCCATATGTCACTGAATTATTTAATAAATACTTACATGAACCAAACAGAATTCTAAGGGCTGTCAGAGAGTATATTGTGCCTCTAAATATCAGCATTTCATTTAGAAAAACTACATATTTTGCTGCGATTGAAGAATGGAATGGTCTGCCTAATGATTTAAGAAATTGCAATAGAATATCAACTTTTAAAGGCAAACTTAGAAAGCATTTCGGGAATGAAAAATGTATAAATATAATAGCATCACTTGATATCACTAGAAAAACTGAAATTATATTTAACAGGTTAAAAGTGGACCTATTTCTAAAAAGTCAATTATTTGCTCATCACTTTACAAACATTGACTCACCAGCCTGTAACTGTGGTCATGAAAATGAAACCCCTACTCATTTTTTCCTCAAATGCCCCCAATTTGTAAATGATAGAATCCAACTACTTATAGATCTCCATATTATTGGTTGTTTAGAAAAATTCTTAGATGCTAACTCTGTTAGCAAAGTAAATATGCTCTTGCATGGTAACAGTGAACTTAGTAATGAAGATAATACACTTCTGCTGAAAGCAACTTTAAAATTCCTACAAGCAACCAAGATTGACTAACATGTATATTACACCATCCCATAATTTACACCACTGCACACCTTTTTTTGTAAAGCATCCCAATATCAGCTTTAATTCCTTTTTGTTTATATATGAATAGTTACGAATAATTGTAACAAATTTGTATTGCATATAAGTGTATGGTATATTTACTTCGAAGTTCAACACAAATGTTAAATTGATTAACCTTGTTGAATTTTCATTGTATGAAATTAAATGTTATAATATATGAACTTGAAATAAAAATGATTAATAAAAAAAAAAAAAAATTCTTTTTATTTTATGGCCCAAAATACATCTACATTTTGTGATTAATCTTCCTAGGGCTTATCATTAATAAACACTTGCCCATGCTAAATATTTCCAAAACTAGTTGGCCTAAACTAATTAGATTTACAACAAATGACAGATTCTTGTCTTGGCGGCATGGTGCCACACTAGCACTCCTTTAGATGCCAATCACCCAGCAAACAAACAATCCAAGGAATCAACCAGCCTCCCAACTAACCTTCCACTCATCATACTAGCCATCCATCCAACCAATCAAGCAACCAACCAACGCTTTATTGGTTAATTTCTTAGCTGGTTAGTTGATTGGTTGGCTTGTTTTGATTGCTTGGTTTGTTGACTGATTGGTAGGATGGCTTGTTGCTTGGCTAGTTGGTTGATTGATTGGTCGTGTAATTGGTTAGTTGGATGTCTGCTTGGTTGTTTGGTTCGATGCCCTGTTGCTTGGTCGGATGGCTACTTCATTGATTAGTTGATTGATCAGTTGGGTGGGTGATTGATTGGTCAGGCACAGTTGATTAGTTGGTTGCTTTGTTGGCTGGTCGGTTAGTAGGTAGTTGATTGCTTTGTTGCTTAGTTCCAGTCAGTTGCTCTTGGATAGTTGCTTTGTTTGATTTGCTAATTGGTTCGATAAGTTGGTTTGTTTGTTGGTTGAGTGATCACTTAGGTGGTTGATTGGTTGGTCGGTTGCTTGCTGAGTTGTTTGGTTGATGAGTTGGGTGGGTGATTGATTGGTAAGTTACTTGTTTAATTGTATGATTGGTTGCTGTTTTGATTGTTTGGCTGGTTAGGTAGTTAGTTGATTTCTGGCATCCTGCCGCTAAGGCGAGAATCTGTTAATGTGTCATTTGTTGTAAATCTAATCTATAAGTTATAGGTGCTGAGTATAACGCTAGATTAGTTTATAGACTATATCCTATTTAGTCTGAATTATATTCAGACTATAAGGCACCTATGTTAAAGTTTGGCAATTCAAAATATTTGTTAGCATAGGAAGTGCTATTCAAAATGGCCGATTGGGTAAAATTAATTTGCACATTTGTTACTTCAATTAGCTTTATTTCCACTTGACAATATGCTGTGTTACTTTTTATTGCATTTAGTTGTACCTTACTATTTAATTGACATTTTGTAATGTTTATTTTATTGAATAAATGGTTCCTCTAATTGATAATTTTGTGCAAAAAATTTCACTGCAATTTCCACAGGAAAGTAGTACATCATAACAGACTGACTTCTAGTCAGTCTGTTGGATACATACTAGATTAGTTTAGGCTAAATAGTTTTGAAAAGGCAAGTGTTGAGAATTCTAGATGCGTTTTGGGCTTGTTGAGAAATCAAAATCCCAATCCTCCTATTAGGCACCTTGTCAGAGACCGTATCTGTTGCAAGACTAACGCCTGGCGTAACCGTCACCATGTTATTCAGTGTTTTTTAAGTAGCGCAAGGATCCTGCCATGACCGTGGTAATGTTATCGTGAAAGCCTGGTATAACCGCGACGATGCTGTATTATATTGCAATGCCTGCCATGACCGTGATAATGTAATATAGTTCTACAAGGCTCGGTATGACCGTGACAATGTAATATAGTACTGCAAGGCGCTGGCATGACCGTGACAATGTAATATAGTATTGCAAGTTCAGGTATGAGAGTGATAATGTAGAAATTTACGATTAGGACTGCTATAACCGTGACAATGTGTATTGCAAAGCCTGGCATGACCGTGGCAATGTAATATAGTACTGCAAGGCCTGACATGGCCGTGACAATGTAATATAGTATTGCAAGGCTTGGTATGACCGCCGTGGCAATGTGATATAATATTCCAAGTTCGGGTATGAGAGTGGTAATATAGAAATTAATGATTTGCTATAAGTGACCATGACAATGTGTTTTTGAAAACCTGGCATGACCGTGGCAATGTATTATGGGATCGCAAAGCCTGGTATGACCGTGACAATGTAATATAGTATTGCAAGGCCAGGTATGAGGGTGGTAATGTAGAAATTTAGGCTTAGTCCTACTATGACCGTTATAATGTATTGCAATGACTAGTAAATATGTTTGACATAATGCCAGGAATATCCTTAACAATTTTATGTGATCCGCATTCAACTAAACAGTTTAATACTATGATCATGGTGTTTAACTACCTTAATCATGTCAAAATCAAAATTACTACTATTCATTAATATTCACATTCGCTTATAAACCACAATAAAGGCTACGGTCGCGCCAGGCTTCCACGATAACACTTCCAGGGTCATGACAGGCCTTGCAATATAATACAGCATTGTCACGGTTATACCAG